GCGACTCAGTTCGAATCTGAGATGAACTGAAAGATTTTTTGCCTAATTTTGAAATTTAATGTAAACGCATCCAGACGCAGTTAGTTTTGAGCTGCGTCTAGACACCCTATTTTGTTTCACCAGGGACACGGCCAGTTATTTCGATTTAGACGCATCTGGCACGCAGTCGAAACGTGTTTAGACCCAAAAAAATTTTACATGGGAAGTGGACGACTTGAATGAAATCAACTACATATAATTGTAACGAACTATTTGCGTCATGGTACCATGCATTACTTCTTTTGAATAATAAAATTAAATTCGCCAGAACTAATGAATATGGAATCATTGTGCTTATGAAGTCGAGAAAACAAGATTGTAAGATCAAGTTATCTTTAGTAGAAAAAATAACCCTACCAATTTAAATAAGAGAACATATAATATTTGAACGAGGATAAAGAGCTTTATTGATATGATTGGAATTAGTAAATACCGAAAACTATCGATAATATCTTTTCAGCAAAAACTTTCCAGGATTCTACCAATTATCTCTCAATTTCTTGATATTGTGCGATGCTACGAGAATGTCATAAAAACGGATGTTAGTAGATTTTGAATCTACTTATGAGCCGGTCTCATTTCATGCGAAAAACATCGGAATTTGATCAAATGGTATTTGTCCTCGTTTTCGATTTATTGTTAATCTATCTGATTTGATTGTTCACACGTTCATGTGATTCATATCCCAATCCACAAGTCTAATTTTGTTTTTCAGAAAGATCTTACTCTCCGGACTTTTATGGAATTGTGCTTTCATAGGATAGAAGTTTGTTAAATAAATTTTTGAACTACAATCTGAAGTAAAGTGCGGAAATACGATTTGTACAAAGTTGTTTATAAGCATCAATACGGTCTAATGAAATTTCTTCGCTTACAGCAGAATATTTGTTCTTTGGCTTTTTGCCGGAAACGTTTCGATGTTAATAAGAATGTATAGCAACTTCCCTGAAAATACATATGAATAGAAATGAAACTATCTCTCTATATCTTCAATTTAACATACCACATAATAGAAATAAGTTTCTAAAGTAACAATCGTAGTAGCAAAATATTCTTTCGTTTGCCGATCTGAATCTTTCGTAACATTAGATGTGATTAATGCATACGCTTTCGCAACACCATATGGCACTAAACTAATAGCAACGAGTGCAATATGAATCAATGTCATGCGTATCAATTGGCGATCGTAGTGTAACTCAGCAAGACGTATCGTTTGGCGAATATTACGATAAGTCAATAGTCCAAATAGTGTCATGATCCCGACAGGTATTGCGCAGATAATACCAAGTAAATAAATCGGTACGTAAACAGCAATCGCTGGGTCTTCACTCTTACAAGTTTGACTTCCAGGTGATATTCCATAAACAAAGAAAAGATGAGTACCATAGAGAGAGAAGAAAATGACGACAATGATCGATATTCGATGTGCCCATTTAATTTGACTACAATTTCGAAGGATATTAATCTTTGATGTGACGAAAAATTGATCAATGGTAGCCAGACATGAAAAGGCGATGGAAATAAGAGCAGGAACTGGTAGACAAAATTGTCGTACTTTACACCAAACATCTGAACCTCCATAGATATCAACTCCATAACTGTCAGTCAAAATTCGAATGGGAAGATTAAGACAAACGTAGAAGAGATTGTCAATTGAACCCATGAGAAAATAGAATGTACAGGGATTGATTCGATAAATTCGCACTTTAGTAAAGACTAGAATATTAATTCCATTTCCAATTATGCCGAATACAAGTAGGAAGAGACCAGTATAGAAGGTTATTTGTTGAAGATCGCGAGTTAGTGACATGATAAATGCTACTGTTCGGCGTTCTATTAAATACGTTCTAAACAAACTAGCCAAGAGGAAAGTCGCACAGAAATGAGTGAGCTTTTACAGAAATAATTTTAACCCGACCTTAATTTGATTCATTCGATAATATCTAATAACATGCGAGTCCGACATCTTCAAACATTTGTATAATTACCGGCAGTTATAATTAGAAAGAATGCACATTACAGATGATTGTATAAATAGATGCGGAAAAGATCTATAGTCATTTCATCTATCATGCGCTTTGTTTTAATGAGTAGCAGAAATCGCTCATTAAAGTCGATAAGGATCCGAATAAATTCATAATGAGCTAAGAGAGGATATTTCCAAGTCTGAGAACGGTTTCAATTTGGTTACGCGTGAACCTGCATTGAGAAAGTAGTTTGATATATTTTGTTTATTCTAACTGTCTAGGTAATTGAATGGTCGCATAAATCTTCTTAATTACAAGAGGCACTCTTAAAGAACCTGTAATTCGTATCATTCTGACGTACTTTCAAACACATAAGTTTTTTTTCTTCTTATTGCCAATATACTTATGTAAATAATATCAAATCGGGATTACGTGTTTTTCAGGTAATGTAGTGTTTCAATTTTAAATATAAACAGAAATGTAACGTGAGTGAATTGTTATTTATCTTGATTTTTTCCCATGTTGAGAGATGAAGTTTTTAGCAGTAAATGTTTATTGTACGATGCAATGTAATGGTTCCAAGTGTTTCGCATTCCAATTTATAACTGTCAGGCGTATAGACGATCGACTGCGAAACCCATTTTGTTGGGAAACTTCCAATATATTTTGTTTAAATACTCCAAAGTTTGAAAAGAAGAATTCAGTTTTCGATCCATCGCGCACGTGAGTTTCACAAAATATAAACCATCTTCATACATATATAACATACTGATTTTTTTCTCGTTCAGGGCACAGGAAATGTCACTCGAACGGCTTCCATTCCCAGTGTTTCAACCGCTCGGTGAGATGCTGTCTGATAGTCCAGGTCGCTATGTTGAAGAAGTGAATGGTAATCCAGTGGCGATTTTTGTTGAATTAGGTATTCACACAATTAGCATGTGAGCAACTGGTATCAACCATTAGTCAGTTCTTTTGAAATTATCCAATGAACAATGGATTTGCTCTCAATTTCATACAAATGGAGCAATTACTACACATATCTATCAATCAGAGCGTGACGCTGCTCAACAGTAGTGATCGATGAGAGAGAAAAAGTAAAAGTAAATTAGCAAAGACTAGGCTCATCTTATACTAACACAGTAATTGAATTGTCCGTACTGTCAAACGCGAAAGTTGAATTCTACTGTTCATCGAACACACTTTCTTGTAATAGCCCAGCGATATCGATTAAATAGATTCACTACAAATTGTAAATATTTGAGCACTCAGTTCGCATTACACTCATTTGCATGTCTCCCCCAAGTGAATGATGTTGTCAGATGTGTCTGAGCTTATTAATCAATAGAGAATGTTGAAATGCATCGAAATCTGTGGTTTCCTAGGAGTTCTCGAGTGTGAGATAGAATAGTACTGAGAGAAATAACTTGCATCCATTTGCTCCCATGGAAAAAAATCACTTGTTGATGGCGGCAGATTTTATTATCGATTTCCATTAAGATCAGATATCCGAATCGACAGAGCTCGTTCAATTCTATCTGACATATCAGCTTCAGCCAACTTCGTTTACATGATCACTACATATCATGTCTTTTATATTTATTCAAAAATGAGACAACTAGTACCAAGATAATTACTGTGAAACAATCGCCAGTATGACGCTGTAATTCCTCCGACATCAAGTTTTTGCTTTTCATTTGGAACATATTCGATTGTTCCAATAGTTGTCCAGTTCATACTATCATTGGAATATTGTACACTACCTGAATTTCCATGTCGTGGATCCCACGTATTTATGTCTTTGTGCAATGGTGCAATCGTGACACCATTCACAAGTACCGGATACGAAAACGAAGCTTTGATCCATGATGTGCCATAATCTGTTGCAGCACCAGTTGTAAAATCATCATCTAATAGAGATTCACGTGTATTTTCAGCATTTAATAGTTCGTACGTTGATGACATTGACAAAGTCCAATCATTTAAATCTTTCTTACAAACTAAATCAATATATATATATATCTCGTATGACAACAATGAATATGACAAACCGATTTTCAATGTTCTCATTTCCAGTATCGTCGGAGTTTGCATTTCTCCATTACTATTAACAAACAATCGCAATGAATAAAGTGTATCTGATTGCAATCGTAGTAAACGATATTTCGTATCTAAACCACGATAAACCTAAAAAAAGGATTTTCTATTTCGACTTTATCTTTTACAAAGAAAGATAAATTCACCTCTTGAAAATCATTATCATCTTGTCCGACTTGCAAAACATAGTCAGTTATAACTGAATTATCATCATCATCGAATTCTTCCCATTCGATGTCGAGATGATGAACATGTGCTTTACATTTTTCTCGACGAAATTTTACCGTAGCTAAAAGAGAAATCAAAGTATAACGCGCAAGAAATTTCGAATATTTACGCAGCGATCCAATAAATCCCAAAGTGTCGATCGTTTTTAGAATAGCTTGATTCGATATATGAAATGCTAATGAATTACCTAGTTGAGCTTGATTACAAAACTCAACATTTTCTTTTTCGATCCTTTTCATTTGTTCAATCAGATGTATCGATTGTGTCACATTCATCGATGCATTCAGCTGTTGACCTTCTTGAAAACATCGATTTATATTCGAATTTATGCTCGATAATTCATCTTGTCGAGAACAGATTTTCTCGCGACTTGTCTTGCAAAACAATTCGATGAATTTCTGAACTAAAAACAGTAAAATTTGACATACTTTCGATTTCCTTTCCAGCTGCTTCTTCAAGATTTGTCGTCGAATTTGAAGATATGCTTGAATTTGATCGAATTCCCGATCGATCTTCGCTTCTCCTTCCGTTTCACTGATATGAACATCTAAATACAGCTGAAATCAACTTTCATTGTGCAGGATTATGAAATTTCTACTTCGTAAAGCTTGTTCCAATTGATCTTGTTCATCAGCAAATGCGATTTTCAGTTTTTGAATCCTTTTCAAATGCTTATTTAACAAGTCTTTCTCTTCTTTGATTAAATCAACAACTGATTTCACTTGATCACTATGCTGTTTATGAATGTCAACTGAAAGACATGCAACACAGCAGACATCCTAATGAAATGTTGTGAGAGAAGAAAAATCTGGATTCAACAAATTTACTTGGCAGGTTAAACAATACAAACACAGTGGCATATGATGAACTTTACAATCCATCGGTTTGCTATGGTGATTTTCGTTGATGTGATGATGTTTTTTGTGAATCGGAACAATTTGATGTGACTTTTGAGATTTGAGAGTATGAGCGATGGTGTTGTGTTCGTCACAATAATTAGCATTGTCTTGAACGCAATACCATGTCGCATCTACATCGCATTCATCACAAATTTCGTTGTGTCGTTTCGTGGATGCCATGTAAATGTGTTAATGTAAGTCGAAATAAGGCACAGGCAAATGAGTGTGCGAAAAGAAATGCATAAGAGTTTTATACAGTGCAAAATTTGTTTGTTCTTTCTTTCTTTCTCAATTGTGTTTGTCTCGATTCTCTCCCACGTTTTTTGTTGAATACAATATATGGCTCTTTATTAGTGGAATGAAAGAATAAATCGAAAGAAATAATGATGGTGCCGATGTACCGCATACTCAGGAGAGAAAAAACTGCACAATATGTACTTCAAAATTGACACAAAAGTTTGTGTATAGCAGTGTTTTGTGTGATAGGAATACTCAATTTAGTCGTAGATCCTCTCTTAATGATTAGAACGGTAATTCTAAAAACTACAATAGTACTTGTGAATGGTAGACATCATGATCATTCATATTATTGAATACTAATGAGAGTAACATATGTTGTAGAGTTATTTTTGTATTGAATCAAATAGCGAAGTGAGCGACGCACCGATCGTTTGCATATATCACGATGATTAACGCCAATATCGTGCTCAATAGCGGCACAATATGCCGTTTTGCCGATATAGCAGCGTTACGATAAAAAATTGAACAACATGGGTACAGTTTTACACTTTTTGAAAACGAAAAAGTGTATGATTGTAATAAAGCTTCATGTTACGCATCACAGAGCATTATTGTACGCTGCACGCTGGCGGGTGTAGTTTTTAAGCGTACTTCAGGATAAAAGTATAGAGCTTAGAAGAAAAGATATGCTGTCGGGTTACATTATCTCGAAATGAATCACTGATCAAAAACTAGTATTTGAGCTTGAGTAGGCAGACAAAATGTGAATATTGCTCGGATAGTCGAACAAAATATACTATAAAAAAAGCAGGTGTAGCGATGATATTCTGCCTGTAAGAATATTTTTCTGAATTCTCCTCATTAATATCCGAAGAAAAATCAAAATTAAACCTTGAAATATAATTCGCAATCGCTCAAGCATATCTTTACAATCACCTGCACCAGCACATATTTTATCAAGTGCGCCTAATAAGGATATACCTTTTCAAGAACAAGGCAATGGGGACCGATGAAATCAATTTAGCTGTTCTCATCGCTCTCAATATTCTCATAATTCCTCTAACATGGTTTATATTACGTATTGTCATCAAACCCAAAACAGTGCAAAAACCAGACATAACAGATGAGCATTCTTCCCTGGTCATCAATGAAGAAGAGAAAGATGAAACAAATACAAAAAACATTCGTTATATTCATGAAGGTGAATCAGCCGGTGAATATTCGAAGAAATGGACATCAACATATGATCTGGTATTCTTAATCTTGATGGTTTGTTTTTTGATAATTCTTTCAATTTTGACAAGCATCTATATTCCATCATTTTGGACAGAATGGAAATTTTGGTTAAAGCAAATTTTCGCATTTATCTTCATTATGTTTGTTGTATTTTGTGGTGGTCTATTGTGTCGACATTATTGTCAAATAGATGAACATGGTTATATCATCACCAATCGTTCAAGTCATTTCAAAGTGAACTATACCAAGAAGATACAACATCTCGCTGTTCATGTTATACCTTTGGTTATATCTACACATAAAAGTGATCATTCCATATTGTACAACTTGATCTCGTTAACTTGGTCGTACTATACTGTTCTTTTAACAAACCTAATCTTAATCAAACCGTTGCGTGAACGATCAACGTTTTTAATGACGCAATTCAACTCAATTGATCGTCCTGAAGATCGTCCGCATACTTTAATGTGGGTCACACTTTGTAACAATGTACCAACGTATGCCGTCACAATATTTTTTCGTTGGCTATTCAATATTTATGGTTTCGATATGAATGCAGTTTTTATTTTTACATTGGTGAATACAGTTGGTGATGGTTTAGCTGAACCAGTTGGAATTTATTTTGGTAAACATCGGTATAAAACTCGAGGTTGTTTCAATCGAACAAGATATGAGCGATCATTTGAAGGTTCAGCTTGTGTGTTCATCTCAGCAGTTTTCTTTACATCGATATTTTCATTTACATTTCGAAGTTATCTCCAAATATGGATTACATTACTGATTTTACCAATATCGATGACGGTGGCTGAGGCAACTAGTCCACATACATGTGATTCAGCATTTATTCATGGTGTTGGTGGTTTGATAATCTTTTTTGTCTTACTTTTTGTATAAGATGGAACTCAAATGTCTCTTCCAACAAGGATTGACTTGTTTTAGAAGACGATGAAATTTTTTACATGAAGTTTTTTATTCAAAGTAATAAAAACATTTGCGAAACAAATGAAATAATGTGACTGACTGACTATATTTTCTTTTTTGGGTAAGGCTTCTGGTCGTGTGTATCCACTAACTAGCTATGCGTCTATATACTACTAGTCAGACGAGATATAAGTTCCAATAACTCGTTATGTTAAAAGATTATTTCATGAGCGTAAACTCATCTCCTATCAAATCATCAACATTACGACGATATATAAAATGTAAAAGACTTCGATTCGCCACAATCTGTGTATAACCAAATTGTTGATCATGATAGACGCTCCATTTTGCACCTGTATACGTATCGTAATCTAAATTATGTCCTGCCATTCCCATTAGTACGTGTGTAACACCATCATCAACGCATCGTTCGAGATACATTGGACATGATCGTTCATATGAATGAATATGTGCGAAAAGATTAAGATCAATACGATATTTGTAAAACATTGGTTCTAAAGAAAGATGTAGCATTTCTGTGATTTTATTACCAATATCACGGACGACTGTTGTATACATTGGTCGATGTGAACCAATGATCAACCAAGGTGTACGTGTATGATTTACTGATCGAAGATCTTTTTCGATCCAATCATATTGTGCTGATGAAGGAAGAAAATCATGTTCAGTTGAATAATAAACAACATGAATTGGACCAATTTCAAAACTATACCAAAATAATCCATTACCATTTGATGGCGAATGAAAACGATGTACCATTGGTACCGCACATTCACCACCTGAATCGTATCCATAATTGCCCCATTCTGGTCGAAATCCACCAGGTCCCGGTGCACCACTGGGATCTTTGTCTCCACCTGTCAGATGATCATATTCATGATTACCAATGCCAACCATATAAGGTACACGAGAAGCAATTGGTTCGATTTGCGTCATAAATGCATCCCAAAGTGCAGCGATGCCTCTCGCATAACTAATATCACCGATATGTAAAACACATGTTACATCATCAGTTAATACTCGTGCACGAACACGATCCATTGTCGACTTCGCGCCGGGATATACGGGTGAAACACCCATATCACCAAAAGCGATTAGATTCACTTGTGTATTTATATCTGTTGGACGATTTGTAAACGATCGTATCGAAGACCAACCATGTTCATCACTTCCGACACGATAGTAATAAATTGTTGATGGGCGAAGATCTTGTAAAAGTATTGTATGCATATAGCCAGGATCGATAAATGCTTGTGGTCCAGTTATATTCGCTGGTCCTTCACACATATCTGATGCTTGATAGGTAATCGTTGTTCCTTGTACGTTCCATTGAAGTGATGAAGGATCGAATCCATATTGACATTGTGGTACTACATTTGTTGAATTTGTAACAAATGAGATAAACATTTGATCAATTCTATCACCATAGGCTAAATGAATTTGCTCGGGCGCATTGTAATTCATAGGTTCAACAGTCGGAGATCTGGCGATTAGACTGTAATTACCAGAACAATGATTTTCTCGCGAATAATAACGAAATTCAAGTGGGCGACGTAAATTGATCATTTCCCAAGACATTTTTGTTTGGTTGGTTTGTATGAATTCATAATCATAATAAGCACAAGCACCTGAGAAACAATGAAATTCATAACTAACAAATGAAAACTATCGAGCTGACCTGTGAATAGAGGAATTTCAGTAAAATAAATGCCAATATAGTCATCTGTACAATATATCAACGTTTCATTCCACGTCACGGTAATTTCTTCGTCACTCGCATAAAGTGTTGATGAAACATATAAATCGTTAATATTTCTTCTAGATGATCGTAATGAAACACCTTTCGTTCGATTACATCCGTACGGACTTGGTCTATCTTCTAATGAACGATATTTATGAAAAGGTCTATGATGATCACTTCGAATAACAATGAACAATAGAACAAAAAGAATACACCAACGATACACCATTGGATAATATGATATTCTTATGAGAAAGATATCAAAGATAATATACTGATATCACGAGGAAAAAATGCACTTCATTCGTCATTTTATTTTATATTTACTTTCTATCTTTGCGTATTTTATGTGTATGAAAAGAAGACATAGAAATTATCAATATTCACAAATAGCTCATTTTCGAAGTTTTTTTTTCGGAGATTATAGAGAGAAAAATCACGTTAACCAACTATGGCAGTTTATTCCTTTTTTCAGTATATTAAAAAATCTTGTTTGTTCTATTTCAAAAGTCTTCTCTCTCTATTTGTCATACAGTTCGACAGATAATGAATATTGCCTTCAAAAATTAAAATCTGTAATATTTACGTGTGTTTTGATAAGTCTTCGCTTCTTCCTTTCTTTTTCAACGACTAAAATTGTACAAGTAATATGAATCAACAGACCTTAAAAAGGTCAACAACACACGTGTTTAACGAATCATAGGCCATATGGATACAATTAAAATCAGTTGCATAGCTCACTCATCTGTACGAATATTAGTATCATTACTTGAGCATAGTTTATCTTACGCGTCATTTTCAAACCAAAAGCAAATCAGTCAACAGGAGATGATGAAATTTCATCGCTAAAAAGTTACTAACGAACTAAACAATGGAAATTCTGAGGAAACGATTCGTTATATTCGCGAAGGTAAATCAGCTGGTGATTACCTAGAAAAATAGGCATTAATATATGACTTCGTATTACTATTGGCAATGATGTGTCTTCTTCTAATTCTAACTATTCTAACCGGTACTTTTAGTCAAATTCTTTGGAAAGATTGGCGATTTTGGTTAAGTCAATCCACGTCATTTGTTTCAGTTGTTACGATTGTACATTGTGTTGGACTACTCTGTCGACATTATTGTCAAATAGATGAACATGGATATACCATCTCCAATCGTTCGAGTCATTTTAAAGTCAATTATACGAAAAAATTTCTATATTTCTTTTCCCTTGTATTACCTTTATTGACAACAAAAAACGAAACTCATCAATCGGAAACAGAAAATGTCTTCTACTTATATTGGGGTTATGATAACTGAGGCAACTAGTCCACACACGTGCGATTCTGCATTTATTATTGGTGTTGGCGGGTTGATTATTTTTCTAATCTCAGGCCGACATCTTCTGATATTGAAGCCGGACATTTATTGCGAGCGTTCAATAGAATCGAATTTAAATCACCAATCTCGATCGAGTATCCTCCCAAAGAGAAAATTTATCTGATTTTTCGCATGTTACGCGTACACTTTGCTGAAAAACAACTTCGACTAGATGTGTAAACTAACGAGCATATCGACTATTTTTATTTTCAATTACTTGAATGAGTTAAACGAAGGAGTCTTTATTGATTGTCTCTAACAAAATTACAAATACAATTTTTGTTAGAAAGGTTTCGTAAGATAAAATAAAACATCGTTGTGTTTGTTTTTCAAGACAAAGCAAGTCAACTAGAGTAATATTTCATGTTCTTATTTCATAATTTTCGAAATTGACCAAAATCAGCATCCGAACTGGGATTGAAATGACCGATGCTTTCCTTATCATTGGCTATATAATCAAAGTGTTCATAATGTCTTTCATCTTCAGATCCATAAGCACAACATTAAATCGTGATACAAGAAGTGCCATATGGATCAACATCTTTTAATTGATGTATTTAATTTAAATTCGGTAATAACCATGTATCTGTCCCTTCGCGACAAATCTGTTCAAATGGCTCGTTTTGATGCGAACTTAAACTCGATGTTGGGTAAAGACGATTCGTTGATGAATGAGTTTGACCAGTATACTTGTGCGTATTCTTATTTCATTCTCTTTAACTGAAAGAATGATTAATTCTACAAGTATGAGAATTTCATAGACATCAGAATTTATATGGTTGATCGAAGTATTCAATGGCAACTTTGTCTTTAGGGCGATCATGTTTTAACGTGATATCTGTGATATTAGCTAAATTAAAAAACCAGACTAACGAATCGAATATAATGAGAAAGTGTCGAAAATCCTTCGTATTTTCTTTACCTTAAAAACAAATCTTTCCCATTGCGTATCTTCATGATGTTTTTCGTCGAATCGATAATACGTGTTACCAGTTTGATTCCAATTGCTCTCAAATGGTTCTGACTGTCCTTGAAGAAGTTTCATTAATCCAGCATAACTCCATAGACAATTATTAAAACAATATTTGACCGAGTTGACGTTTTTCTTATATATGGGACAATGAGGTATTTCTTGATTACCATCTGCCAGATCAAATTTTGTGAATCTGACAGGTACGATAATAGTGTGATGCTCTGCTTCGCATCCCGCAGTTTTACATTGACCTTGAAGACATAAACAATGTTGAACTTTACGTCATTTTATTTCGATTGAAGATCACATCCTCATCCTCACCCTCAGGATGCTGTGTTGCTCAAAAGGGCGAGACGCGAAATTATAGTTGCTCCCCGAACTTGATCTATTATCATTTGGCGTTTTTCAATTTTAATAATCACATCTGTTTATTTGAACTGTTTCTTGTGATAAAGAAAAATGCTTTTAGGAAAGGAAAGAGGGGAATCAAACGTGCACTCAAGTCTTTTAAATAAAACTTTCAATGTTGTTTCTTTATAATTTTGATCCAGCGGCTTTATCCAAATACCAAATGAGATCTTTGACTTGACCAATTGGATATTTCGTGCTTTTATCTTGTAAAACTTCTCTCACAATTGTTGATTTACTTTCACCCGTCGCGACAACAATTTTGTATTTCGCTTGATTGATTGTAGTCAATGTTAATGTCACACGTTCCGGTGGCGGTTTTGGCGAATCCTTAATCGATGTGACTATGCCTTGGTCGACTTTCAAGCCTGGATGATCAGGAAAAAGACTTGCCGTGTGTCCATCAGGTCCCATACCAAGTAATAGAATATCGAATGACTAAAAGTAAAATTCGATTTCTTTTGTTTCAACGAAGAAGTTGAAGAACACTACTTTGTCATCTTCGGTCAATGTTTCTAATAGTTTATTTTCATAATCTTGTGCACATTGCTCGACAGACGTGGCATCCGGATCGATTTTAATAACATTTTTTTCGGTTAATGGTAATTTGCGAAATAGCTTTGCTTGATAACTTGCATACGTTGAATCGTCAGATGTAAATGGAACGAATCGTTCGTCAACGAAAAAGAATCGAAGACGAGCCCATGGTAATTGTAACCGAGGAAGATTTGATGCTAATAAATCAATCAATGATCCACCGGATAAACCGATTGTGATCAATTGTTTCTTATTCATCAATTGTAAAACAATTTCCTCAAGTTGAAAACCGAGTTTTTCAGATAAAATTTCATTGTCGTCAATTATATTGATATTCGTCGATGACATTTCTTTCTAAAAATCTACAATTTATCAACAAATCTTGTTCAAACATACTTTCACAGAAATCTTCAGAAGAATTACAAGAATCAACAAAAATATCTGTTCAAAAGTCATTTATCTAAAACATACGATGTTTTCCTGGTAAAAATGTTTATCGGTTTATTCAGTTACATAATTCATTGTTTTACATTTTCAAAAAGAATTTTTCTTAGGCTTTGATAACAACCTAGTCTCAATTTCCCGTAACCAGTATAATCAAAATCTAATAATGAAACCCGCGATTGAACTAAAGACCAAAGTCCCCACATAAGATGCGCAAGTGCAGAGAATTGATCGACTAGATGACATAATTTATCATCAATAGTTTGTTCCGGTATTCCACGTGTCTGAAAATAAGTTTTTAACCACCGTTTCTGTTCATCACGTGTCGGATATAAATTAAAATCCGCATCATCAACACCCGCATATTCCACAAAATGATTCGCAATATCAAACAATGCGTAATTCATATGTGTGTATTCAAAATCGATGAATGATACTGTATCGGTTTTCTTGTCATAAACGATATTTTTAATTAATAAATCATTATGACAAAAAACAAGATCTTGACCTAGTTGAGGGTTCGACACTAAATCAGGAAGAATCACTTTTTCGATTATTTTCACGTCTGATTTGATCTGAGAGATATCGGTAATTTGGTGTTCGTCAATCAATTGAATAAATTTGTGTATCAGCGTGATGACATACGGTTTTTCATTCGTTTCTTTCAAAGGCACATTGTGAAACTGTGCGAGTTTAGCGGCGATTAATTTGGAAATATGTTCATCTCGTACCTCTTGCTTCGAACACGCTTTCCCGGCTGCAAATTCATAGATAAGTCCATTCTTAAATTGGATTAGAACACGTTGAGATAAAACATTATTCTCCGATAATTTCATCATTGCATGAATTTCTGCATTGCGATCAATGAATAATTCGGTGTGTTCCCCGAATAATTTGATGACTAATGCATCAGATTCGTCATCCGGTGTGCGAGTGTTGAAAAGACCTAAAATCGAATTGGTGATACCTTCAGTAAATGTAACTAGACGCGTATTCGAAGCATTCCAATCCGGTCGAATAGTCGGTATAATTTCATAAATTTCATTGGAGATGTTCGATAAAGTTAAAGTTCGATTTTCCACAATTGGTTGCGTAGTCATCTTGAAAAAAGAAATGAATATGTCGATAACAATCAATGATATGCTTCACAAGTTTTTCTTCTCCTACTTGATATTTACGTGCAATAAATACGAATGATATTTATGTGCTTTTATTGGATTATATTACCTTATATACTCTGTCTCCCTCTCTCTCTCATTTTTTTTTCTTATCAATATGAGAAAAAAATATGCACATCCAGGGCAAAGTTTAAGTATAAAATTATCTTCAGTTAGAAAGAGATGCGAGATTCTACTCAGGAGTGAAACAAATAGATATTCTTGTGATATTAGTAATGATAATATCTCTCGTTTATTGTCAAGGTTATTTAACAGCAAGAACAAAAATTCTGATTGGAAGAAGTTCCCGAACGATTTGCTTTAATTTTGATCGTTGATCTTTGATCACAGTTAAACCAGCTCGATGAGCAATATCATAAAATTGTTCACCAGTTCGAACGTAATATTGGTCATCAGGATCAAATTCGGGTTCGTGTCCGTTGGCAACACAATTGTCTTTGATCACTATTAAACCATTCTTTTTTAATGTTGATTTGAGTTTTCGTAAAAGTTGAACCAGATCATCACCATTCAGATAACCTAAGACCCCTGAAAAGAAATACTTTGTTTTAGTTTATCAAATCATTTTCTAGATTTTACATTGAGCCCAAATAACATCGTATTTTGGAAAACTCTCCAATTGCAGATTACCAATTGAACCAACGAATGCTTGACCGATTTTGTCTTTTTCGTCATTCTCTTCAAACAAAGCTCGTGTTTGTTGACAATATTCTTCTAATAAATCATTGATGTCAATGTGATCAAAATAACGAGATAATAACGATTTTGTTACACGGCCAATTCCACAACCCAATTCGAGACAATAGGACGAGCCCAATTTACCACTAAATTGCTAAAATATGAGAAGAAAATCAATTCGGTAAGAAAGAACAACATGGTTCCTTTATAAACGAACTTTCATTAACGCTTGTATCAATTGACTGGACTCTTGAATATCTGGATCGTGCACTTGTGTATATCCGCCTAGCATTGTATCAAATGTTTTTGGTCGTGATGAGTAATAATCTTTTGTTATTGTTTGTCTTTCTTGAACATCTTCGCGTTCACCTTCCATGCGTGCAGGAATATCCGAATTTTCTTTCTTCTTCGACATGTTTTAAAGAGAAAATAAATTTCCAAATGTGGATGCCAGTATCTACTGTTTATTCTTTCATATTTAATGGTGACTTTTCAACCAATACGAATAAATCGTAAATGTCTCGTGAGAGGACACACGTTAACAGAGGAAAGAAAAAGGGAATGTATTGATCAAATATTTCAATTCACTTGAAAATGTTGAAAATCAAAAAGAAAATGAAATTTTTCACATTTAACTCACAACTTGATTTCTTTTATTTAGTTATCAAACGATAAGCATAGTTAGTGAATTATGAAACTTCGAGTAGGAATTTATTCAAGCAGTAAAATAGAAAATTAGACAGTAATGGTTGGTACATTAAGAAGTTAAACGATATTACTGAATTTGGTATGAATCAGCGATCTGAGGTTAAGTCTAAAACAATCGATGATAGAAGAACATGCATATACATATGTGTTTACTAGAAAAAAGTAGAAAACACATTCTATAATATCGAGTCATTTCCATCGATACGGAATATGAGATCGGTCTACGTTTGTGTGCTAACCAACAGTTCGAATTCGTCCAATTAGTCAAATATCTATCGAATATCAATCGAAATGACTATTTGTTTCTTCGTCTCTATGCATCTGATGATGGCTTTCGAAACAGTATGGCGGATATGTCAGACGAAGAATCGTACGTATGACCGATATTATTCAGACGAACATCAGACAATTCAAGAAAAGGTCGCCCAAATTGAAATCAATGAAGTATATATAACCGAATAGCGAGGACGAAAAATAAAGAGAATTTAGCTGAGGTTCTAGACATGACAATAGAAAAAGTATGAAGTCTATATCATTGAAAAGAACTTGATTCATTTAGCATAACCCATCTTTTTTTGTCATTCAGTATTCAATTGATTGAATCTTTCGTTGTTTTGCTTTAGTTATTAAAAATCAAGACCAAACAAATGCAGTTGGCAAGTGATTATGTCGAGGCAAGAATAAAACTATTTATTCGTACAGAAATATAGAGCAATTACTGTAGAATTGCACAAATTAAAAGGTAATCGAACTTGAAACCTTACATTATTGTAATTGTTATGATTCTTTTAGACATCCATGTCGATCAGAAACATGGAAAGGTGCCTTACTAAATGTATGTTCAATGATTCATTCGTTTTTTTTTCTCAATGAAATCGTTGAAAGTCTTCTTGCTATTACTCAAATACAAAGTTCTTGAAAGTAGCAGTTTACTTATGTTTTCAATAAACCATTTCGATACAAACGAACCGAAAACGTAAATCAGTCAATCAATCACATCACATAATTCAATTCAATTCATTCTTTGGTTCTTGTGAATGGCATTTTAAAAACCAATGAAATTTTCGTAATACATCACATGAGAGGACATATCTTAACAGAAGAAACGAAAATGAAAGAGAAAATTCTTTTCGAACATTTCGAAAATTTCAAAAACTCAAAATGACAAGTACAGGACAAATACCAACGCCATGGAAAAGTACAGCTGCAACTTTATTCAATCCGTATTTGAATATCAATCAAAGATCCAATACAACTCGTCAACAATCCGGTCGCACACGAACATCGACTGCAACTACTCAACAAGGACGAGTTCCACCAGAAAGTCTCGTTGGTGCTAGTCATCCCAAAGTGACTTCATCAGAATCACAAAAACGACCACGATCGAAACATTTTCCAAGTTCGAATGCTGCGGAAGAAGTGTCGATCTACGTTCAACAAATGATTCATTGTCAAAATGATCTTGAAAATGAAGAGAACCTATCGAATCGTACAATGAGTACAGCAAATGAAAGAAATTCCAATCGAAAAAGAATTCCGCTAACGAGAGAACAGACACGAGGTGAAAATTTTCACTAACGAAAGATTCCTTTTTTTCCAATGAAAATATTTTAGTGTCATCTTACGAATTAGACGAATTTTTCAATTCAACAAATGATCAAATGTCGCATTTTGCATCGACATTACTTTCTCACGAATCAGATTTTTACAAACATTGTCCTCATCGGAAAGAAAGGTTCGTTTGATATTTGAAAAGAAAAAGAAAAGACAAAATTGAATCTCGATTATGAAAACAAAACTTTATATTGTCTTTAGTCCAAAATATAAACCAAATAGAAAACGATCAGGTTTCACATTGGCTGATATGTGTAATGTAGCTTCTAATATAGGAGATAAAATGATTCAGAGTAGAGAAAAGGTATTTTGTTTTAATCAAAATAATGTGTGACTAACGAAATCTAATAGTTTTCCTGAATTTATTCACTTTTCTTCAACCTTATTCATGTCTGAGCGATTGATTAGGTTGGTCTCGAAGCGATTCGTGGTTTTCGTTTACCGTCAGCACGATTAACCTATGAAACACATGAACATTATCCAACTGATCCGTCAATTCTTCTTGGTCAACCTGTTAACAAGTAGATTGATCAAATTTTGAACAAAAAAATCATTACTATGAGTTAATTTTTAGTGATCGAATTCACCTGTGTGATGTGCTGGCTGATGATAATTATTCTCGGGAAGCAATGGTTGAATTTGTTGATCAGAATGTTCTCGATGAACGGACTTCACGAGCGAGCCGAAATCATCCGAAATCAGCAACATCAACACAATCGAAGATTATTGAATTAAAAGATTGGAGAGGAAAAATTACACAAGGAAATCTTCCTGAGTGAGGAATTTCAATTTTTGATACTTTTTTTATTTAGTTTTTTTTCAATCTAGTATACGAAGTCAATCAAGACGACAACGCGCTGAATCGGTTGAATCTCCACAACGGCCATGTACGGCTGCCAGTAATTTATCTAAATCACGACCTGAATCTATTGACGAACTTCTTGATGACGATGAAAAAGAAGAAGAAATCGTTAGTTTAGCTTATTTTTTATTGGAGTTTGTTCTTTTTTCTGTTTTTTATTTCCATAGAAAATTGTCAAATCTGAAAATGCTCGTAGTGCACCGGTCGGTTCCGCATTGAAGAATCGATCGAATTCTCAACAACGACAACGTAGTTATCCGCTCAATGTCCGAATTGACGATACAAACGCTAAGCCTAACGTTAATCAAGTAAAAACATGTCTTATTTATCCTTCTCAATTGAGTATATTTCCTCTTTTCTTTCTAAGAACACTGACAGAGAAGAATATCCTAACGAGAATCGTAAGTAAAATAACTAACATATTCAAGTAAAACTTGTATGTTCTAGTCGATCCAATGGCTTTCAGATCTGCAAATGAAAATCGATTGGATCAAGAGAAATTCAATGAAATTATTCGTCCATCATCAGAATCCATTCTTTCCAGACGTACAACACCTGCGGGAATGTTTGCACGAGAGTCTCCACGAGAGAATCTCGCACCAGATTCCACACCTAATAGACGAAGTTATAAATTAATACGAAGTTCAACTAGTTATGTTTATCGAACAATTCCTGAAATCAGTGAAAATCCAATTTCATTGAATGAACAGTTTTCGCAATTATCACTTCCACAGTTAGAACTTTTGGAACATTACGATCCATTAATAAGCACGAAAATTGGCGCACCGTTTATTCCTGTTCAAATGTTAGCGAGACCACGTGATGCTCAACTTTCCGCAAAGCGTTCAGCGGAAGAAATCGAACGGGATTATCCAAAGTAATCAATCATTCCTTAAGGATCAAGTTGTGAGTAGTTTTCTTTAGGAAAAATGGTCAACCTGTGTTCGAAAATCCTTCCGCACGTGCAACTAATAGCATCATCGAAATTGCTCAGACACTTCAAGCAAGTAAATCAAAACGAATACCTGTAGAACGACAAACAACATTCGAAAGACCAGATAATGAAGAACCAGTTGAAGAAAGTCTACATATCAAATCTATTGAAAATCCCAATCGATTAGCCATCGAACTGTATACACCACCAAAGCAAAATGTAGTTGCTCAAACTACCAATTTGTCGAAATTATCAACAAAACAAAATTCAAGTCTATCGGATTATCTGTCAATTTTAGACAAACAATCAACTGCCATTGAATCGTAAGAACGAATTTATGTCTTCTTTTCCAATTTATTTCTTTGACTCTTCTAGTTCGCAAATTGAAGAATCAGCGAAGTCGAACCTGAGTGTTATCAACATTCGAACACAACAAGGTGAATTGATCTTTTTTCATGTCATTAACGATAATTTTCTTTTACAGAAGTTGATCAAATTCGTCCACGAAAGAAACCTCCACAAAAACGACTAACATTTCCCACAACGATTGTTACGAATATTAAATCAAATCCTAAATCACAGGGAAGACCCATACCAAGTGTTTTTCTTACACAAGATCCAGTATGACTTTCTCTTTCTCTTTGATCTTCGTCAGAAATACTTTTAGGATGAATTGAATTACTCAACATCTGTTTATCGTAAAGCAAAAAATGATGTGAATATCAAACGAGTATTCAAAGGATATGTTAAAGAAAATCTTTATCGAAGATTATCTGCGGATGAAAGACGAAAACGTGAAGAAGAACAACAAGCTGCTGTCAAAATTCAGCGGTGGGTAACATAAAAACGCTTGTCGGTTTAAAAAAAAACCGTCAAGATCTTTAGAGCTTATCGAGAACATCTACAACGACGAGACGAAATTGAGAATCGTCGACCTTCATCAGGTGAAAAACGCGAACGAGAAAAACTTCGTCGTCAAGTTCTATCAGCAAAACGGGCACAATATGTCGAGCAGAAATTAACCGAACAAACCAGGTTCGATTTCTTTGTTTCATATGATCATCTCTATTTATTTTTATGCATAGAATTCGAGATGCAAATGAACAATTAAAACAGTTGGTTAGAGATACTGGACCGTCCGTTGAAGTATTCGGGTAAATGATTGTTAAGGAGAAAGAGAAAGAACAAGAGAAAGTGTTTGTTTAGACAATTTAATCAAGTCGAAGCACAATTTTCTAAGGCAACACTCAATCGAGCTGCTACATGCATTCAACGATGGTGGAAAGGTTTTCTTGTTCGGCATCGAGCGAAATCTTTGAAAGAAGAGGTTAGTCTCGCCTTTTGAATATCTTCTTTTACTTGAAATTCGATCGTTTAGGTTGCGACATTTGGATCAACATGGTCACAATTTATTTCGCATTATCGCGATGTCATTCGACGAATACAGGAGTTGCGTGAATCAAAAAACCGACAGTTTCATTTTACGCGTGATCAAGCGAAAGATTTTCTAACAACGGAAAAAAGTCTGTTGTCTTCTGAGAAAATTCTGCAATGAAATTTCTTTCTTTTTCTATTTGAATAGAATTGACAACTATTTACAATTCAATGGCTTTTAATGATAAATTCGATAAAGAAGAAATTGAACATTTCTTTGAATGTTGTGATTTATCAGCCACATCAGGTGAAATTCAACAGGCGTTAACAGCCGTTCTTAAATGTAAAATAAGTTCTCATCTGACTTTTTGTTTTCAAAAAGACTTTTCTTTTCTTTAGATCATCCTCGTCGAACTGATGGATTAACGAAAGAAATGGTTTTCGACACTGTTTACTACATTTATCCACCATTAGGTACTGGATTAGAATCAACAAGACAATCAACATGGGTTCGACCAATTATTGATGGAGAGGATGAAACAGCCATTCAAGGTAAGACAGACAATCACTTCGATTGAATTTCGTCGATTGAGAGATTTGCTTTTAGGAACACCTTTCCTGGAACCAATCGATATGAACGTTGTTTATAAATTCTTGGGTAAACCACATTGATTTTTTATGATCAGAGATTTTATTTTCACTTGAAGAAATTTCTGCTCCGTCTTTTTTCTATGATATAAATAAAAACAATCCTTTCAAATAAGAATTCAGTATGAATAGTGTGCTTTGACTTTGACGAGTTGATTTCGATCGTTGAATTCAAAGTATTCCATTGCGATCATGTTATTCACACTTTTATAATGAATGACCAATGAATTAACTGAGATGAAAGTACTCAAAAGCTCAAAATGTAAATCAGGAAATTTTTTCAACGCTCGAATAAAATAATCTTCTAAATCTTTTTTATTCGAAATTGTTCCAGTTGGATCATTGTTGAATTGAATTATCAATGGTGATGTAAAACTAATCGAATCATCATAATGACTCATTATCTTCTGAATATCATGACTATTCCATGAATTAATCCAATCATTTGTAAATTGACTTGCGAATTCTTTATCAAGCATTTTCCGTTGAAATCGAAGAACGATTTAACAAAATATATGTCAACCATCAATGAATTTCAAATCTTACTTTGCCTCTTTTTTTCACAAATAAACAGATGGCGTTTAATATCGACATGTATCGAATGAAACTGATCGAGTGAAACTTTTCTAAAGATACCAAAGTGAACAATGACAAAATTCCAATAGTATTCATGTTAGGAAAAATGAAACTCAAATGTTGTGTGTTATGACAATCAATATCAGATGAAAAAAAACACTATGCAAATGAATTGACGTTTAATCAATTAAAAATAATGATATTTTGTCGAACCTTGGTCATATCTTTTGCATAAAAAATACCTATGTAGTCAAATCGATTTGACTGAGCAAATGACCTGTATTTGTCGTGTTTTTCTTTCCTTTTCGAATGACGTTATTTCGAATATGATGATGAATTAGATAGAAAGAAAATTTCGGATAAAATCTGATCATGACAGTGGTGATGATGCAGAGGAGGATGTACAGAAGAGAAAAAAAATATGTTTTCCACCTATGAAAATCGACATAAATATGCCCAGTTTGTTTTCTTTCTCATAATTAAATGATATATTCGTTTTAAATGGTAGAAGTCATGGCTCAAAACACTCATCCATATTTACGTGTTGAAATATTGAAATTTCAAATTAATAATTCTAAACAAGCCATCGATTTAAGTCAAGTGAAAACAGAAATTGAAATTATAGAAAAAACTCAATCTACACAAACATGTATGTCTGATCTGTATGAAACAGATTCTTCTGACTTATTTCACTTTAGCACGAATAAAAAAACCAGTTTACAATGAAACAAATCAATGCATTCGATTCGATGTTGGATTATTTATTAACATCGAACGAAAGATTACTATTCGAATCAATTACAAGGATATTCTATACACATTTGAAACGGATTTGAAATCTCTTAAGAAACTAGCAGACGGATTTCGACATCAAGTAAAACATTCGATTTATTTCTCTTGTGATAAATTTCTTTTCTTCGAAGTTTAATTTCACACCGAAATCTCAAGTAGAAGTGATCATTGAGTACAAAGGTTATTGAACATTTTACGAAAACAATGTTTATATTCTATATTGAAATAGATCCATCCGTTCTATCGGAATCTCGATCTCCCGTTAAAATCCATGGACAACGTTATGCTGAACGATATCAAAAAATTTATAAACATTTCGGTCATCGATTTGTTGCGAAAATTTTCAAAACGCCAACGTTCTGTTCAATTTGTAGTGAAATTCTTTGGTACAAAACATCTGATTTGTCGACATAAACAAGAAAATCTTCTTCTTCCTTCAGGGGTTTCACTCATAAAGGTTTTCAATGTCAACGATGTGATTGTGTCGTACACAAAGATTGCTACGATCGTTGTAACCATCCATGTACAGGGAAGAAATATCCTGATGTAAGAAATATCCTATTGAATCGATTCAGAATCGCTGAAATTGATAATTTAGTTGGAAGTGACCAAAGCGCATCAATTCGAACATCAAACCTTTTCTCTACAAACAATTTTCTGCGATCATGATGGAAGTTTCATTCGACCTGGTCATGCTTATCGATGCACTGGTAGATACTCAAAGAAAGTTCGAGTATTTTCAATGATAAAATTGATTTAGAATGTTCAATGGTTGTTCATCGACGTTGTCGATCGAAAGCTGGCGACTATTGTGGTTGTAAAGAGAAATCTATTGAAGCTTATGAACAGTGGAAAACAGATGTAAGTGAAGTGATTGAAAAAAAAGAGAATAAAAGTATTTTGATCATTTGTGTTTAGCATAAATCGGATGGAGAATATAATTATCAATATAATGGAGATTTGTGTGAAATTTATTCGAAATTAACCAAATTAAATCAACCACACGAAGCACAAGAAGCGATTCAACGCGTGGCGAAAGTTTATTCACCAAATATCACTGCCGGTTTTGATTTGAATCAAATTCAACTTTTACAAATGTTAGGTCGGGGAATGACTGGATCGGTAGACGTCAAACATTTTCTTCTTTTCGTATTTAGTTTTGATTGATTTTGTAGGTATATTTGGTGAAACATAATGAATCGTTTTATGCAATGAAAACTCTTCGTAAAAATTTGGTTTTGGAAGGTCAAAATCTGAATTATATCCGGTCGGAGCGCGATATTCTCATTCGTTGTCAATCAAATCCATTTATCGTTCAGCTTTTTTATACATTTCAAAATGTTGAACGGTTATTTTTCCTTATGGAAGTTGCTCGAGCTGGAAGTCTATTCAATCTACTTGAATATCAAGCTCCGAAACCATTTCGACATGAACGAATCGTTTTCTTCACTGGCGAAGTGGCGTGTGCATTGATGTTTCTCCATTCCAAACGAATTGTACGTAAAATAAAGGGCATCAATCGAGAAAATTTCATTCCATTGTAGGTCTATCGTGATCTTAAACCAGAAAATATCTTTCTTTTTCATGATGGACACGTCAAACTTGGAGATTTCGGTTTGGCAAAGAAAGGTGTTGATGAAAATCATAAAACAAAAACATTGTGTGGAACAGCAGAATATATAGCCTATGAAATTTATAATAAAGATTCTTATGATGAAAATGTTGATTGGTGGTCATTGGGAATTCTAATTTTTGAATTGACAACGTTTCGAACGCCGTTCTATGCAAATAATAGTACAGATATTACAAAAAATGTTCTTTCAAATCAAGTGATTTATCCAGAAACAATGAGAGAAGAATTTCAACAAATTATTTCAGGTTTACTCGAACGAGATCCGAAAAAGAGATTAGGAAATCCAAATTCTCCTCATGGCCTTCTAAAAGATCAACCATTCTTTCAGTAAATTAAAACCTTATTCTCATTTACAATGATAAATATTGTTCTTCTAGGGAACCATATTCTTTGGACGCGATTAAAACACGTCGTGTTACACCTCCATGGACTCCCATTGTACGTATATATGAATCTACTTTCGTAACAATACTTTTTCCGTTGAATTTTAGTCATTAGTACCATTGAAAGCGACAAATAAAGCTCCAAAACTGTCTGAACTTGATCCTAAAGATGCAGTGCTGTTGTTATCATCGCCACCCGATGCTTTTCGTTATTTTTCATATGTTAGTCCGAATGCTACGAAGCTTTTTTAAAAAAAGATTTTCATATACATACATAAATTATCTTTACTTTTCTTCTTTTGAATACATATCTTAAAGGTGAAAGCACCTTTATTCTTTACCGATTGATTCAAATTCATCCAGAACAACTAAAACTGTAGATCTTTCCAACGCAAGAAACACCTGGAACGTAGGGACGCTTAATCGTTGAAAAGCCGAGCACTTTAAGCTACAAGCTTTCTTAGCAATGATTACTCTCAAATTAATTTTTTGCCCGGAAAAAACAATGGCTTAAGAACGGGTCCATCAGAATACCGACCGCGTCGACTGTGGAAAATTTTCCGCTTTTCCAATTTGACCCTCTCAGTAGAAAGGCCATGAAAAGTTGCTATGAAAGCTGAAATATCAGCTCGTTCTGATATGTCTTTGCAAAAATAACTGAGACATCAATTTCTCAACTTTTGGAATCACAGTCTATACAATCTGATTTTTTCAGTTGAGATCGTATTTGGCGATTTTCTCGTCCGTATTTCATCCGTTTGAGGTACGGATTGTCCCAGATGGTAAAGAATGTTTTTCTCTACCAAATGAACTATTTTTAATATTTTTTAATGCATATTTTATAAAGAATTTGTATGAAAAAACGAAATTCGACAGAAAAAAAGTAAAGAAATTTAGTGATCAAATAGCATTGCTGTTCAGCAATGTCATAGTAAATCAATGGGTCCCAAGCGGGATTTTTAATATGTTGTAGCCCTGCTCGCGGCGCATCTTTTGGTATGTTTCTCTTTAAAAAACATCTCGACCTGCCCATAAAATTTTTCATCCCAAAAATTTAAAAAGATCCTTATATTTCTCCTCTAACGTGAAATAACCGAATTATGTGGATAGCTTCAATTTTTCTTATCAAAAGGACAACATGAAAACCGATGCTGTGTGACACATTTCATGGGCCATTGAATGGATCGATGTTGGCTAACGTAGTAGGATATCTGTGGGCAGGATTCAACATTTTATTGAGCCGATTCGTTTCAGCGTAGATTCCAGTTGAACCAGCACTGATTTTAAGAACAACGTCATGAGTTCTAACGGTTCCCAATCATAAAATTTTACACCCACACCCACACCGAAGTAATGACAAATAGGATGCGTCCAACGCACACAACCAAGTTCGTCACAGAATAGTTCAATTTTCCATTCCATGCTGCTAGATTGAAACTGGCTTGGTCGCAGATTGCACATCTATAATGCTTTCCTTGAAAGCAGATATTGATTGGTAAAAATTGGACATTTCTCAAAATACAGCAAGGCGCCTAGCCGAAAGAGTGAGTATTTAACATATTTCTGAGGAAAAAAACAGAGAAGTAATAATATCAGTGAAAAGACAAAGTGTAAAACAAAAAATCAAAGTTGATAGTGTACACGCTGTTTTCACCACAACGTGTAAAATAGCGGGTACATTGAATTTCATTATGGTACTGTACACACTGTTTACGCAAGTCCACTAATCACTGGAAGCTGTGGTTTACAGAATTGAAATGCAAGGTGATCGTTTTTTTTTAAATTAATGCGACATGGAATATCTAACATTTGGATTACTCGAATCACATTAGAGAAAGACAATTTTTTATATAATGATCGGCATATTAAGCGAACTGCAAACCAAAATCATATGATCTGATCAAAGAAGAAAAACGGGACTTCATCTACTTCAGATAGTGTATGAAAGTAGTTTAAGTTTCGTCCTTCTTTCCTTGAATATGAGTCATATCAACGGAACTTACTTGATCACATAGGGTATAAATGATCTATCTATTGTATTTAACACATGAGTGACAAAGGAAAGTCTAAAGTAACTATCAAATAATAAACATTGCAGAATAGCAGACTGACTGAGTCAAAGTTTTTATTTTTATGTGATAAACAAAAGCAAAATGTATAAAATAAATTTTACATCAAAGATTGTAAGGGTTCTAGATATTTTACCATTATAGTGTGTTCTTACTGTTAGGAACACTGATAAGCAGAATGGGCTTTTGAAATTTCTCTTCAAGACTGCCTAAAAAGAAGTCTGCATCTCTATCGGACTCTTCTCATTTTTCTTAATAGATAGGAGGAAATTGACTCGAGATATATGATATATAGGAGGGCCACGAAGCTTGCCAGTCAGCGGTCTATTCCACGTGAGCAAAGGAAACATCGGGTATTGATCGAACGTCCAACCAAGTGTTCATTCATCGATAATCAACGGCGTCGAATAAGAAAGATTCCGTTGTTCCAGCGGACGACGAGAACGGTCAATTTGAAGAAACGGAAGTGTTATTATAGAAATAGAAATATTCGATGTTAATCAGTAGAGAAAAGTGGTGCAGTGACGTGAGACAAACCATGTTCATGTTGATAAGATCGTTCGATGTCAATTTCAATGATTTACCTGATGAAATTCTGTTGATGATCTTTCAATTCTTGAATTATATTGATATTGTTTATTCTTTTTACAATCTCAATGATCGATTTAATCGAATAATTCGTGATCCAGTTTTGACAAGATGTTTCAAGTTGGTGAAGAAGAGTTGCAATCATACTTATCAGAATGGAAATTTTTCGAACATGATGCTCAATCGATTGTGCTTAGAAATTTTACCTTCAATTGGTGATCATATTCATGAATTTATTCTTGACTCATCATCGATGCAACAGATTTTACATGCTACTTTCTATCGAAATTTGGCACATCTTTCACTTTCTGATTTGAGAAGGGAAACAATCGAATGGCTTTTCACTGGTAAGATTACTGATTGAGAAAAGAAAGATGATCGGCTTTTCTTCTATTTTAGATGAAAAACTTTGTCGTGGAGTTTTTCGAAATCAAATTCAAACACTTCGGATAAAACTCGATGACATTGATGATGATGCAACATTCTGCTCGATTTCCTACATTTGTGAAAATATATTCACTGTTTTTCATTCGTTGTTAAGCCTTGAACTGGATGAATCGGCGCCATCAATTGACTTTCATCATGAATTATCTTTTGAGGATATTCGAGTTGACCATTTTCGCTGTTCAACTCTGTCGAAATTAAAGATCAATGTATCATCTTTTGAAGATTGTCTTCATTTGTTCGATGGTCGTTTCGATCAACTTCAAAGTGTTGATATCAATGTGTGTAGGATTCGTCGTTCAGAATTAATTCCAAAGCAAGTTAGTTTCTAATCAATAGCATTTTGTTCGGAAAAAACATCGATTTCGTTTAGATTGATTTACCTCGGATGAAGCATTTCTTCATCAGTTGTTCTTGTTTGACGTATTATTTTGAAGAAGAAGTCCTTCCACTTCTCCATCGAATGTCTAATCTGGAAAAACTCAAAATGTGTTTTCAAATTGATCTTTCTCGAGGATTTCTCGATTTGAATTATTTCGATCGAAATATTCTTTGTTCACTTCCGAAATTAAATCAATTGAGTTTCTTTATTCATTCAAATCGACTGTTTCCGAACGAAGAAGAACTTGCAATACTTGAAACACTTGAAGAAAGATTTCATATTGATCCAGGTGTTGGAATAACTTCCTATGGAGAATATTTTTCTGAAGAAAGAACCGCTCAATATCACCTTTATTCATCTCCATCATTCAACGAATATTTTTGTGGAATCAGTAATCGCTTTCCTGGTGGAGCATTTCCTTATGTTCGTGAAGTTTCATTGTTTGATACCAAGCCATTCGAAGAAGAATTTTTTCGACGTATTGTCCAATCATTTCCACGAATGGAAACCTTATCGGTTGTCAATTTAAAAGCAGAAAATCATGAAGAAGATAATCAGGAAGATGTTTCTGCAATCCAATATAATCATCTTGTTCGACTGGTTCTTCTTCATACTCATGATCATTATATTGAACAGTTTCTTCTTGAGAGCAAAAGCAATTTGGTTGAAAAAGTGAGTCTCTTTGTCAAATATCAATCGCTCAAACGAATAACAGACAATTTCACAAGAGATCAAACAAGAGTCAATTGTTTCAAAGTGAATCACTTATACTTTCCTGATTATGATCATTCAGACGATTTACACAAATATTTTCCTTATGCAAAAATAGATGAATGTATCGCCCTGTGAAATGTCAAACTGTTTCGAACATAGTCATAGCAGATTCGTCGGAATATTGCCAAAGATATCACTTGGCAGACAAATGATCGGATTGATCTTTGTTGTCATCGAAAATTATCTGCTTACATTTACAATGTGAATAAAAGATTTCATATTTTCAACCGAATTTCTCCGAGGAAGAAGTCATTGAAAAAATGGAAAGACGTTTTCAACATTAAGTTCGAGTTCAGTTTGGATTCCGTATGTTATTCGTTCGAACGTCAGTTGTTCACATGAAAAATTGTCGAATGCAACATCAGGATTAGTACAAGAAAGTATCGATTTGTTTTGTAATCTCTTCTGCTTATATATCTGTTTCGTCAAAAGATTAAACATAATGAAATTATCTTATTGAGTATCATTTTCTTGAAAGCAACTGATCAAGAATATGTCGGAAATATTTTCCTTGAAAAGTCAAATGATAATATTAAGAGAAACTGAGCACAAGAATCCATCGAGTGTTGATTGATTCTAAACAAGTGAAGCCTGTCTGTCTATCAAACATTTGCGATGATTCCCGATGCTCGAAAGAAATTTTCTTGTCCAATAGATATGGATGCTCCTGTATGGTATCCGATGGAGCTAAAATTGATGCTAATGCTATGGGAACGGATGGAGGAGGTCCTGGCCTGATCGTCAAATCAAATCATGGCACCGCTGGTCGACTGGTTCAAATAACACACTCAGTCCATCACACTACCAACCAAGGTATGTTCAGTTGGGCGAACGATGATAATAATACAAAAATAATGGTAAATGCAGTTCGTTATGGGCCGCTAGACTTATTTAAAGTTTGCGTGAAGATTTCTTTACTTACGAGTGAACTACATTTATATCGTGCAATTTTCTGAAACAATCGATAAAAATAAACGTGAAGATGACGAATGTTCGAGATGTGTATTTAATAGAGTTAAAAGGAGAGTTTTCCCGACGGTTAATTTTGAATTTCGGAAAACATATTAGAGTTTCATCAAAAACTGTATATCCCCATGTATAACTACTTTGACAATTGTCAAAATATGAGAAAATAGAGAAAAAAGATTTCGTAGTCGCGAATATCCAGCCGAAAATCGGCATTTACATTCGCAAAATTTGATGATACAGATCTGAAATTGACGTGCCAAAATAAAGTCAACACTTACGCTTTCTAATTTCTTTTTATTAATTTTTCGCAAAAAAGGAAATGTCAGAAATAGAAACTCCGTCTCCTTTCACTTGTAAACAGTTCCGAGAAAGACAAGGATGTGGTTGTATCGATCAAATACACATCCTCACCGAAACATATAGTTCAAGTTTCTCTCGTATTATCAATGGTCTCCTTTTTCTGTATTAATCTTTTGCCGTTGTTTGAGTTCAGTCGTTTCAATTCGTACTTTCGCGATGAATTCTTTTTGAAAATGGCTTCACGCACTGTTTGAGCATAATATAAGATTGTTACAATGCTTAAACAACAAGCAATGGCGATGAACATAAAACCAATTCGATGTGAATACGACGGTGCGCGTCGAATGGAGAAAGCTTCTAAGATAATAAAGACTGTGTAAGGTCCGCCAAGAACAAAGATAATTGTAATTAAAATGAGAATTCGTTGAGTTAACACCATTTGACGACGTGCACGATGAATGTTATACCTGTAAGTCCCTAAAGAAACAGATTCTTTGAGTAAAAACGCCCTAAAAAGCTCATTTGTATCATACCATTATTCACTTTTTCTCGCACGGATTTTGTAATTTTATAATATATCAACACAATCATCATAACCGGTATGACATAATTTGTTAAATTAATATAACAGATCCCTTTGCTATTTTCAATGGCAATCTGACACAAGTATTCATGTTCAATGTAGACTTGGTTCTTTCCAAGTAGAATCGGTAGAAGTTGTACTACAGCAAATATCCATTGAAGACCAATTGCGTATGTATAAATCTTCAGAGATATCTGATGGTAATAGATTGTTCCAATTAGACGATAACACGCTTGAATAACATAAGAATACATCAATGCACCAAATGACACGTGTGCGGCGTAACCGCGGATATGACAAAAAAATAAACTTCGCATTTCGATGGATGTTTGGAGTTGTTTGCGTTTGATATCGCGATATAAAATATAAATTCCGATCAGGAGAGTGTCGCTTGAAAGAATAAGCAAAGCAAAGGCGGAATTCAATGTTAGAATATTCGGAAGTGTTCGTAATGAAGAAATTGATGAGATAATGTAGATAAATGTGAGAGAAAATAGAATACCTATTCCACTAGACAGTAGAGTGATGACATTAATTGATAGAGAAAGAGAAAATGATTCGTAGAAATCAGTGGAATTCATTAGTGTGAGTTCTTCTTCGTTAAAAGATGTTCTGCGTGTCTTTCCATTAAATAAAGCAAAGAAGAATGGGAATGATTGACGTCATTTGATATTTTAGAAGCGACACGAAGTTTCGTGCAGTAAAATCCTTCTTGAATATCCTGTTACTTTATATATTCCTTGCATTTGGAAGAAAAAATTACTTTCTCTTTGTGCACTTTCTCACATGACACTTCGCAGCTAGCGAGTGCAAGAACATACTCAACCGCGTTTTCTGTACTATTCAAGGATCAAGCCAAATGGTTACATTTTTCTAGTTGACATGACATCTACAGAATAAGAATGATCATATATTCAATTGGGCACGCATATTTAAGATAACGTATCTTCAAGCCAAAGAAACAAATCGTGAATTATTTTAAAACTATGACCGAGATTTTAACAACACGTTACTCTGATCCAACATGCGAACAGATGCGGAAGTATTTGTGTCATGCGAATAAAATTGCGAAACGGGCATTACAATTTGGTCACCATCCATTTGGTTGCGTGCTTATCGCTCCAGATAATGAAACAATTTTAATGGAACAAGGAAATATCGATACGGTGAATCATGCTGAATCGACGCTTGTACGAAATGCGTGTACGAATTTTTCGTCGGAATATCTTTGGAACTGTACACTTTATACAACGTTTGAACCGTGTGTAATGTGTGCGGGGACTTTGTATTGGGCGAATATTGGTCGGATTGTTTATGGTGCAACGGAAAAACGTCTACTTGAATTGACTGGTAATGATGAAAAGAATCCGACACTGGATATTCCTTGTCGTTATGTTTTTGAACATGGACAGAAAAATGTGAAAGTATGGGGTCCGTTTCCTGAACTTGAGGACGAATTAGTCGAACCTCATAAAAATTTTTGGAAATGAATAAAATAGAAAAAGATTTTTATTAGTTAATGAACTCGTGTAATTTTCAGCATCTGTACGGCATGTCGTTCGATATTAGGCGAAGTATAACTGCCTATGAACACTCCAAGATCTTGATGAGTCCATAAATCTCGAACATTTGCTCGTTGATTAGCTGGCCATCCTAAATCCATCCATTTAATAGTAATCACTTCACTAGTTGTACTATTTCGATTAAATAACAGCACAGCTTGGGATCCATCAGATAATGGTCCAGCCCATATTTCTATAATTTGTGGAACGGTTAAACATTCAGTATTGGCAGCACTTCGAATGAGTCCATCTGTTTTATTCAATTGCCATAGATTATTGCTCATCCATTGTTGAATTTTTCGTGGGCATGATGATTTCGAAGTATTATTGAAACATGTGGTTGTTACAATATTCGTCAATCCATCACTACCAGAATCACATTTGTCGATTGTTAAACATTGTCCATTTAATGTTGATCGAATATGATCATTATTAACATCGTAAATCCATTTTTGTCGTTGATCATGAGTAAGGCATTTAGTAGCGAATACATTGTTGAATGTTTGTGATGATGAAACAATAATTTTTTTTCCTTGTATTCCTAATGGATCTTGATTAATAGCGATTACTTCACGATTTAAATAAATATTTAGAGTTGCTTGACTCATGTTGGTTACATCACCGCCGATCAGAAGCGGAGCTTTACTGATAGCCCAAAGAGAGAAATAGGAGATGTATTCCGTATTTGTCATACCACCATTGCCTATTCGTAGCACTACACTTAACACCGTTGTGAAAAATACTGTGGTATCTTTTAGAATCTGATATAGAAAACTTACTGTCAGGATCGTTCCAGCCACCAGGTCCAGCTTTATCAGCAAATTGATTATTCTAAATGAAATAGAATCAATTCTTTGATAGCTTACAATTGTGTCGTACTATATCTATTGTGTGAGTCATCGATTCCCAATTATCAGAAATATCATCAGTTGTCCGCCAACTATTTCCAACATTTGCAGCCCATAGTGCTGGTGTATCAACGCCCCATTCTATTCACATATGACTTTTTCTTTTTGGACTCAGCCATGGATAGAAAACTCACCGCAAAGTGAATAGAAGATGGGTCGACCCGTCGCGTTCAATGCGTCACGCATAACTGGATAGCGCACTTCTGGTTTCGTTCCATCAGTGTTACAGTTATCATATTTTAAATAATCAACACCCCACAGTGCATATGTATTGGCATCTTTTGTTTCATATCCTAGAGAACCAGGTCGACCCGCACACGTCTTATAACCAGCATCTAACAAGAGATAATTATAGATAAAATTTCACGCAAAGGGAAGTGTTACCTGAATATACACCGAACTTAAGTTTACGAGAATGAACATAATCAACCAGTGCTTTCATTCCGTTTGGAAAAGCAACTGGATCAGCTAGAATCGTTCCATTTGCATCTCGATCTACTTGCCAACAGTCATCAAGATTAACTAAATCAACAAAAAACCTTTTCAAGAACCAAAAGTAACATCTGTTTACAAACTATATTCATAGCCGGCAGCAGCCAGACCACTACTGATGATTATATCAACCGTTTTCTGGATTCTCTTTTCAGAATAATTGCATTGAAAATTATACCAACTGTTCCAACCTAAACTCAAATCTCTAGATTGATAAAATTGGCTTTTGTATCATATATTTACCCATTTGAGGAGTTCTTCCAAGGCCATTATTTATTCCCAAGGAAAGATTTGTCAATACAAAAAGAATTAAAAATTTCATCACTCCCGCCATAATGTGTCTTTTGAAAGACATATTTAGACGATAATATCCTTATCAGTTATCTTTTATCTGCCATTGAAACTGTCAGTCCTCTCCATACGTTTTTTTTCCACATCGAAGAGAAAGAATTTATTAAAGGTTTTGTTTGAATAGAATTCAGAGTTTACACAACAACAACATCACACAATCACAAATAGAATCTTCATTTTAATATTCTCTCTCATTCCTATTCTCTTTCAATACTCAACTTTGGTGTTGATAAAGACAGATTATCTGTTAACATTTCGATTTTCATTTTGTTGCATGATGCACTCAAACTTTTTGTTCCTCCTATGTTCAAAACACCATCTGTACAATTTGCTTTTATCCGATTATATTGTTTCTTTCCATACCATATTTTCGCTTGATTACACGTTGTTGTCTCATCTAAAGTCCATCCAAAATAGTTCTTGTCAAAATATCCAACTTGCAAATAGATATCCAATCGAAGAGCATCGAGCGCAAAGCAAATCGTATAAGTGACACCTGTAGCGGATTGTGTTGATCTGAAACCACGGATTTCGAGTACACTCACATGTGTATCGTTGCCTGGTTGAAGGGTATGAAGAGGAACGTGTAAATGGCCATACCATCGATCAGTTTGAACGAGAGTGAGTGTATTAGGTGATCGATTGGTCATTGTGAAAAGAAAACGTCGATCAGCAGAATCATAATCAATATCTAAGGGAGAAACTAAAAAGAACTGTTTCATAGTTATTAAAAGAGATAATCATTTCTTCGGTGTGAGTGTAAATGAAGATACTCATTTGACATCAGATCTAAACTATACCTGTTGGTGTTATTGGTACACTTGTGTACGTTAATGGTTTAGCTGTCATAATTGTTGTTGCTGTTTTTACTGTTGTTGCTGTTTTTGCTGTTGTTACTGTTGTTGCTGTTATTGTTTCTCTCATGAGTGGTCGTGTATTTTGCCTTTTGAGTTTGGTAACAGTTACAGAAGTGACCACCGCTACTGCGATCACGGCAATCACGATTATAAACAACAGATTCCTTACGAAATTGCATAGCAGAGAAGATAGGCACCTAAAACAGACGATCCTGTTTATTGTTTATTCGAATATCAAATATAATTATATTCACTTCTTGTCTGATGAATTTGTCGTATTTCGAGCTGAATGAAGTACGTTCGGATGGGGCTATAAAAGCATTCAAAAATTCTTTTGTGCATTTTTTGAATAAATATATTACTTTAATAATATCTATTCTGTTGCTTTTCATAAGTTAAGGTTAATATGAAGGCTCTGTTTATAAAAATAAGAAATCAAGAAGAAGAATGTGGGAATGCTACAATGAAAAGACTTTTCTTGATATTATGAAGAAACAGATGTTCACAAAAAGAGGCTGTTTCTCATACAAAGAATACGAACTCACAAAAACATGACAATATTTGCTTTTTTTAAGTAATATCCTTTAAACTGTTGGATAAAACAACATTTTGTTCGCATTTCCGTATTCTGTCAAAAGAGAAACTACTTTTAAAAAGAAATGAAAAAGAACTACGCAGTTTATAATGCTGACAAAAGTCCTAAAGTGTCATTGATCGTAAATGCACATGCATGAAACAAACATAGCCCGTAAAACTTTAACCATCTACCTTGTTTATCGGTTACGCAAAAACAGTCTTCCGAAAAGTCTCACGAGCTAAAAGGAACATATATTGTGAACTATTATTCTGTGTAAATAGGCCGAACGATAGAAATATTTCATATCTATCAAACGGACAAGCTCATTTGAGTAGACACTTCGAGCTATTCTTCTTTGAAAACCATCAATAAATTGATTTTCATTGAACTAATCTAGTTACTCTTCGAAAATAACGTTATTTGCGTCTGATACAGCTTACTGACACATTCATTTCTATATGTAGTTTTCTTTTTGTTACTCAAATTCTGATAGTACCGGTGAAGATGCTGTACTCTAGATCGAATTTTGTCACACTTAGTGATACTCTCACCTTTACTTTCACCCACATCTTCTCCTGCATTCTCAAAATAATGGTAACCATTCGAATTTCGACTAAAATGTAGTTGTCGGGAAAGTGAATGAGATCCTGTCATTTCTAGTTGCAATTCATACTTAAACTTCGCAAACTTTACATTTACTTGCAAGTTGAATGTGCACTTGCTTTCCTTCACGTTACCGTGTTTATCGTTATCCTGAAACGGATGTTCAACATTTTATGCTAAAATTTATGCGTGTTATTGTTCTAGTTTCCGAGTTCGATTTCTTATCGTATGTTGAATTTTCTTCAGGAAGAAAAATAGGAGACAATATGGCAACCAGAATATGAGATCTCGTTTCATTTGATAGAAGTACTTCTACTGGTGAGAAAAACGTCAGAAGAACTTTACTATGGTTAATGTTTGTCGTCAAGTAATTTCTGCGTTGAAAAGTTATTTTCAACAGTTGAATCTTTTTCGACCGACACTTAATAGCGGCGAAAATGAAAATGAGCAACAAGATCATTTCAACATTCTTGTCACTCGAGTCTACTTAGTTCTTCTCGTACTTCTTCTCATTTGTTTTGCTTCTTTTACGACATTCAGACTCAAAAGAACGATCATTGAACTTCAAAATCCCACTGAAGAACAGTTTAATGCTTTACCTGCCGATGCCAATTGTCCTTGTTCTCAAATTTCACTATATTATGGTGAATTCGTCTCATTACAAGCGAATCTACATGAAATATGTCGCAGTGAGTTCGTATCGGAGCGATGGATAAAAGCGATTTTTTCTTATTCAAATTCGACGTATTTCAATTTCAAAGACTTTCGTACATTCGGTAGTGCACAGTTTCAAGCACTGTCTGGCTTCTGTGATCTGTCGCGTTCTCATCTTCAACAGAATATCGATTTTTTCAAACGAACAATGTTGGTTAGTACACAAGTTCTTTCGAAGATCAATTTCCAACAAGAAATTGAGTCAACTATCGCCCGATTCAAACAAACCGTTTCTCGATCATTCGCCGCGCAATTCAAATTCATGCGGCAAATAATCACGAACAATAGACTAATCTCGGGTCTTCAGACAAACTTTTACCTTACATTCGACGCAATTTATCCTCCTGCTATTTATGCTGTTATGTATAAACGTGCGGATAATACGAGTTGCAATTGTCTCGTAGATTCCGAATGTACTTCAAATGCCGTCATTGACAGTATATTTGGAGCTCAAACACAGTATGAATCTGGTAACATAAAAATAATACCAGGATTAGCATCGGGTTGTTTACCAGTGAATTCAATTCTTGCATCAACACTTGAATGTTTTTATAATCAAACATGTTTAAATGAATTGATTTCATTTTTTCCGACGAATGAAAAATTCTCAGCAATGATCGTTAACAATCAAAGTCGTTTTAATCCGTTTACAGTCTTGCGATCAATCGTTGACGATTTGATGGTGGAAGATTGGATAACCAACGCTTCTTACACGAAGTTTTTCAATGCATGTGCATCTCTCTCGTGTACCTATGTGAAAGAAAAACGACAAACTTGGCAATTCGTTCTTACACAACTCATCAGTGTACTCGCAACCTTAACGATGGCACTTCGAATATTAGTTCCAATCGTTGTTAAATTTATTATGGACAAAATAAATCAAGTTGTATATCCGGAAATTCCTAGTAAATATTAATCTGATGAAATAGTCGAATGTCTTTCATTTTTAATATTCTAGTTCGGATTCGTTTGGAAGAACTTCTAAAAACAACAAAAAAATCAATCATCGAATTGAATTTATTTAAAGATTCTTCTTGCAACGATCGACAATCTCGCTATTCACGTTATGCTACTCGTTTGTATATCATTCTAATTATCGCTTCACTTTCAATCTTAACTCTATACAACGTCACGATCCAAATCGTTCATCATCGTACGATTTCAAATCCATCCGAACATCCATATCTCAATCTCGATCAACTAACATGCCCATGTACTTCATTATCGATACCATATTCTTCGTTTCTTACTATACAAGCTCAGTATCATCCGATATGTTCAAGTTATTTAACAACTTCACAATGGATCGAATTTGTTCGTCCGAAAGATTTGGATCAACTTGTTTCGTTCGATTATGATTATAATGCTGCTACTTATTTTCAAATCTTAGCAATGTTTTGTGAACAAGTGAAAGTCATGGTTGATAACACCCTTGACGATTTTCTTCAAACACAAATTGTTGGTTCACATTTAATGCATCGAGAACTTTTTGAGAAACAAATGATTCAACTGATTAGAAATTGGAGAGAATCGACGGCCAATCAATTCAAACGAAGTATAAATATTACTCAGCAGACTATTTCAATCAATCAAGCAATGAACCGTCTGAATATCTATTATCAATATTTATCACCTAGTAAAAAACAAGTCATCACCGAACCGAGACATTATGACAATTGTAATTGTGCTTATGCAGAATGTTACACGCCGATGAAAATAATTCACCATCGAAATGACAGCGACTTCTTTTTTATTCCGAATTTTTTCGTGGGATGTTATCCGGTCGATGCTCTACTTAAATCGACATTGGAATGTTTTTACAATGAATCGTGTAATAGAAAAGTTCATTCATATTTTACTTCATCGTCTAGCGGAGCCTGGACTTTTCCTGCACTTCATTCGAGGAGTAATTCAGCTGGTCAATCGATTCAATCGATTGTCAATCAATTAATGGTTGACTCGTGGTCAGAAGATATCAATTTTACTTCTTATTATAACAGTTGTGCGCCGAATTCATGCACCATTGAATACACGGGCCGTTATCACATCTTAACAATTATTACTACTGTTAGCGGATTATTCAGCGGATTATCATTTGGTTTTCAGAAGATTATCTGGTTTGGTCTGCGGATAATCGATGAGTTTTTCAAAGCAATTTCTTTTCGAGCATTTTTACGTTATATTCGAACGCTTTTCAATCGGAGTGATGTGGAGCAAATAACGAATCGATTACATGTTATTCTTGTGATATTAGCTCTTTACAGTCTTTACATGCATCACGTCTTTCGTTCTGATTTGACCATCGTAGATACCAAAAAACCCAAATTAGATTTTTATCGTCAATTATTTGCAGAACATGCTGGTTCTTTACATTGTCATTGTTCAGAAATATCCATCCAATATCGTTCGTTTCTAAGCATAACTCCTGATTTCTATTCAGCGTGTTCGAGGAACATTGCGGACGAATTTTGGGCTATAATTAGCTCTATTTCACTTGTTGATTATATAGAGATCTACACCCAAAAATATGGATATGTAGGTAGCGGACAATTAGCGGCCCTTGATAAATTTTGTAAACTATCGAAGGAAATCGTAGAAGAAGCTCTCAATCAATTATTAACCAGTCATTTCGTCAATAATCGATTATTGCCAGAATATTTATTAACACAGCGCATTCAATCAACTATAAGTGATGTTCAAATCGGAGTGTCGAAGACATTTGTAAATACATACGCATTAAGTCGATTGGCAGTAACGGCAAATCAGTTAATGAATACATATGGTACTAGTTGGGTGTTTGCTGAGCATCCAAAGGTTGGGTATCTGAGTACTCTTCATACTGTACCAGTTATTGTACACGGATGCAATTGTGGTCTAAATCCAAAAAAGTGCATTGATGAGCTTTTTAAACTGAAGTTTGGCTGTTATACGATTGAAGCTATGTTGCAATCAACAATCCAATGTCTCTACGAGAAAAGCTGTTTAGATAAAACAAATAGAACGAAACCACTCGAGATTTTATATAATCAGGGTCGTTTTTCACTCAATACAACGTTTGAAACACTGTTGAATGAATTAATGTTAGAAAAACTTGTCAGCAACTTATCTTATGAGAATTATTTTGAGAATTGTTCACCCTCATTATGTACTCATTCTATTCAAAATGCAAACAATTTAATCGAAGGAATTACAATAGTCATTGCTCTCTACGGCGGGGTCGTAATCATCTGTCACTCAATTGCGGTTATTCTCGTCAAACTACTCCCACGTCGACCTACGGCAATTACACCGACGACCGACTAATTCATTACTTTGATGTTGTTAGTAAAGATTTGTTGTTGTTGTATGCGCATTTCATATTGTTCTCGAATATAAAATAACACTGCTTGATAACTATGAAATATCTCAATGACAGATAGAACATTCTGAGAAAGAGGATAAATATATGTGAATTATGTAATAAGCAAACGACTTGAAAAGTTCAATTATATCAATTATAAGTCAAGTTTTATTCAGCAGTTGTGTCCAAAGCCACTTTACCGAAACGACAGCATCGATTGTGAATTTGACGAAATACTTTCGTACCATGCCAAACGATTACTTGCAAAGCAACTGTCAGTCCACCGTAGAGACCTACCAGAATTGTAACAAGATAAATGATATCATTGCGTTGAACATAGGAATATTCACAGATTGTCGGAGCACACTCAGAAAAATAATTTGAATAATTCGAGGCATTGAACCACGTTTCGATGAAAAGATTGTCAATCATCAAACCGATTGGTGTTGTACTGGACTTATATAGAATATTCTTCGATAAATCGAGAGGTTCCGCTGGAACTGAGAAATTCATCAATGCATTGAGAGAATTTAAACATGTTCGATTATATAGGCATTCAAATGTTGATAAACGAAGGCCTAAGATCGCCGAACATCCCGCATTCAAACCTGAAAACTCCAAATGTGTAATACGAAACAAAGATGACCTTAAATTACCTGGGATAGTAATTGCAGTAGACGAATTCAAAAAGCTCAATGCTCTTGAGCATGTTGACGTCCCTCTGGCACAAATACATGTACCATTATTATATACAACAGGAACTGTGCGAAATAAATAGTTTTCTTGTGAAGTTGAATAAACCATTTTCCAACTGGACATGAATTGATCTTGCAGCTGATTAGATTGATGTCCATTTATGATGAAATCAAGTGTACGACGAAAATTTCTCGGAGTATGTGTGATTAAAAGTGTAACCATGGAATTGAGTTGAGCCTCAAACAAACTTTTTGGAATAGTTACGGCACTTACAAGCTTATTTGATAGAAAACTGGATTTCGATTGGTCGACGGTGCTTTTAGTAATGTTACACAATGACGAAAGTAGACGAAATTGTGTGCTAAGGAGAAACCAATCAGGTACTGACCAAGTCGAACCCAAATTGTATAAACCTGTGGACCAATTCGATGTAATAAATTGACTTGAACATATCTGATGCGTTACAGGTGATACGTCGAGAAATTTCTCGTACGAAATCGAAATTTGCGAACAAGGACACATCAATGTTGATGAATACTGAGAATAAAGATATTCAAATTGAGTTTCACTTGGTGAATCAACAGTAAATGAATGAGATTGTTGACTTAGTCCAACATAAAGTGTTATGATAATGACTGACATGAACAACAAGACAAAATAGATTCGAGTAGCTATTATATGATAGTTTTCAGGCAGTTCTTCCTCAAAGACATTTAGAGTTCGAAGTTTTTGCCAAATATAATTAACCAGCTGACCGAACGAACGCTTTTTCGATTTATCTACAAATAAAGATGATATTTTTGCATGTTAAGTGAGTATTCGTATGTCTCACCGGTTTTGTTTTGTTGTTGCTTCCTGTTTTTATATCGACAGTACATTTGCTGAGCAAAATCGACCAAATATGGAACAATAATCTTGAGAATAGCGGTCAGTCCGCCTAACAAACCGATGACGTTCGTAACGATAAAGATGGGCTGACGTTTTTCAACAATTGTATATTTACAAGTCGCTGGTTGACATTGAGCATAATGTGAAGCATAATTAACACTTTGTACCCAGTTTTCGATGAATAATTTTGAAATGATTATATCAAGCGTAGTATTCGGATGATATTGACTTTGTAATGAACGATCTAATGCAGTTATATTAGTTAAGTTAACTGGGACGATGTACGCTTCGTAATCATAAACACGCAAATCGATTAACATTTGAATACACGATTGATCGTAAAAACATTGGAGTGTGGACAGAAGAGTTGAATCAATAGGGAAACAGCCGACATATAAACCCGGAATTGTATAATTTGGTAATGATGCACCTGCGTGACAACTGTTCGCGGAACAATAATATCCTTGCGGTTTTGTACAAAGACTCGATGTGCCACATAAACATGTCGTATTGCCATTTGTATAAACTTTCGATTGATAACGAACGTTCCATGTGCCGTTGATCTTTTGAGATCTTGGAACAACATTTGTTGCACCAGCTACGAGATATTGGTTGAGACGAATAGTGTTATACACAATATCAAACAGTGAACTGAATGACTCAGTCGTCTAGAAAATCATATAATCGTGTACGGAAGTTTCGAACTGAATATGGTTTACCTCTTGTTTAAATTGAGTAAATAGAGATGATGTTTGTGCATTGAAATCATCTTCTGCTAATGGTTGAGCACTAACGAAATTTGTACTATTAAATACTTCGACCGCAGTTGTTATAATTTCAGCTGCTACATAACAGAATGTTCTTAGTTGATCGAAAAATGCTTCACCAGTTATTCGATAATCACTTCCGAAAAAGGCGGGAGCATTTGGATCACTCGCGTTAACCGATTCTAAAGGCCAATATTTGAGCCAACCATCGGCTCGAACAAATGTACTTTGGCAAATCTGATGATACCGAGGTTCGATGGCCATTATAGTCGAATAAAGCATTGAAAGTTGTTTACAGGGACATGATAATGTCGATGGATATTTCTGATAGAGTTCTTCGAATTGCGATTGAGTGGGATTTTCTACTGTGATAGTTGTTAAATTCTGAATAAATGCTGAGTAAATGGCCAAAACGATGACGCCTATACCGAGTAAAACAATATAAACGCGAGTTGAATAAATACCCTGACGGACATTTTCTATTTTCTTTTTAAACAAATTTAAAGTGAACAAGGCGTTTTTAACCTTCAGGTAAAGTTGATTAATATAACCTTTAACTTCTACGAAAGTTAAAGAGAAAAAATTGGATTATTTCATCACGAAAGATAAGACTCACCAGGTTTAGTTTGTTTGACTTCACCCTTTAATTCCTCGGCTTCTTCCGTCACTTTGTGCTGCTTCTTTTTCGTAATAAGTCCAATAAGAATCGGAGACGAACTGTGTATAACAACACTCAATCCGCCACAGAGACTAATCAGGGTTGTTATCACATAGATTATACCAAATCTTTGCGAATAGGAATAGCTGCACGCTTTTGGTTTACAAGCTTCGAAATAACTCGGAAAATCAGCTGTACTACGGATCGATTCTATCATTAAATTATTAACTATATCACTGATCAATGTATCTGAATGATAATTCGAAACATTTTCTGTTATATTAAGTGCACTAACATTACGAAGACCACCGATTGAAGACAGAACACGTCTGAGACACGTTTCATTAAAGAAACATTCAAGTGTTGATGATAATAACGAAGTTTGTGGAATACAACCCGCTTGCATACCATTCGCTGAAACCATCGCAGGCGGATATGGCCATAGGGTTTCTTCTGGTACAATTGATCCCGCTTTTGACCAATTGAATATTCCCGATGGAAAATTACAGTCGAATGTATCCAGACAACTGCAACTATCATCTTCACTGATTGGTACAGACGAAATATTTGATTGATTGAAAGAATATGGATAATATGTATAATAAGTGCTGTATTTATTTGACCCTGGTGTATTTTGCACGTAGAAGTTGGTTCGAAGCGAAGAAAACACATGATTTTGAGACAAACTCAACGATAGTAATCGATGAGTACGGTTGTAGCTAATCGTTGTTAATGATTGTAATTGTTCGACTAGCGTTACCATTTGAATATCGAAAGCAGCGCGAAATAATGCATTCGTTGAAATCATTTCCGACGAAAGAAACTCTTCAATTGCATCAACAACACTCGTATTTGTTGTACGACAAAATAATCCAAGAAATTGAAATTGTGATGAAGCAATCAAACGAAAGTCCAGTGGATAATGATCGGTCATTGTCATGTTGAACAAAGATTGAGTCCATTCATCACGAACAAATGCACTTGAACATACTTGATGATATTCAGGATCAAACGAGAGAAATTTCTCGTATGGAATGGAAATTTGTGAACAAGGACATGAAAGTGTTGATGGATATTTATTGGAAAGTTGCTCAAAAGTTGTTAAAGATGGGAATGGGACAATGACGACGTATGTTTGGTTACTAACTCCAGTGAAGATAAAGAGAATAAGCATAGATATTGCAAAGACAACAATGTAGAGTCGAGTGCTGAAGATCTGCTGATCTGGAGCTAAGGATTCTTTGTCTTTGTAAAGATTCAATTGAACAAGCCGATCGATAATTCGACGCCAAAATGTGGATGAAGCTTCCTTTTCAGTACTCATGACTGATATCGATCAAAAAACAGAAGAAAACATCAATCTATGCTTTCAAACAACGTATTGATTTAATAGAAAAGAGGATAATCATAGCAATCATCCACGATCGAAATCACAGCCATGATCTTGTCCACAAAAACAATGTCTTAGACTATCCAATTTTCAATGACATGAAAAAAGAATGTAACTTCTAAATTCTTTTTTACCCGAACATTTCTTGCCAGTTGAAACAATGAATATATAACGATTTTAGAAAAAAGTACTGTCTTGTTTATACGGCAATGATATCTGTCGTACATAGAAAATCAAATTCAGACTAGATTAAGAGAAAACAAATCAATAATTCTCTCTTATTTCTATGTTGCGAAAATAAAGTTTATCACACGTGAAGGTACAGAGAATTGTGTACACACTTGAAAAATAAGACACATTTGTGATAATTAATCTCAAATTGAATTTAATACTTTCTCGATTTGTCACATTTTTGGATAAGGTATACACGAATTACGTTTAACAGAACACGACACCTTATTTTGACAAGTTTTTACTAAATAGATTCTTTTGAATTGAGTTGCTCAATAGTTCTGTATAAAAAGTAGAACACAAATAAACAAGCGTTCATCGTACGAAGAAAACTTCAGGAATGCGTTAGTTTGAATGAAAGTTACGGAGTATCGCGTTTTGCATTCCGAGAAAGTCGGTTTCGACGCTAATGATAGTCTGCATACTAAAGTTCAACTAATTGACATATAATAGAAAGATCTCGAATGTATTTGTCTCATTTCCGCGATAGGTCAAACAATTACCTACTTTTGTCTTCATTTTTGACGTAGAGTGAGGTAATGACATACTTGAAATGAAGAACATTCAATGCTCTCGGGATATTTTCTAATGAAAATGCTCTTTTTTAATAAAAAAAATTGAATAGCAACCATTAACAATTCCTTTCCCTATACAAACAGTTTGCTATACTTTTTCTCCATATCAAAATCAAAATAATTGTAGTTTGCGTTTGTTTTACTTTGATATACAAAGTACCACAATTTTCCTATCATTAATCGATCGGGAGTAGTGTCATTGTGAATTTTCTCGACTAAAATGACTTATAAATGGTAATTAAAACATCTTTTTTCATGTTCACTTCATAATTAACACTCTTATTTTCAACAAAACAACTTTCTTTCAATATTATATATTCTATCTGATATAGAAGAGATTACGACAGATAAACACATAAGTGCAAAACTTTTTAAACGATAATTTGATAGTTAGAGATCGATTATTGACTTAAGGATGCTGACAGAATACGTGGTTGACCTGAAAATCTTGAGCTAACTGAACTTCGTTGTGTTTGACGAGGATGAAAAAGTATTTGAAATGTTTTTGAACGAATTACCGAACTTGTCATTAATAAAATAGGGAAATGAGAACAATGATGAAGAATTTCCATTAATTCTAAGACCAATGCGATATTATTTGTCGCCATTTTCTGGTTATGTACAGCTGATAAGGCATTTAAAACCCCCGTCGGTGTTGTTAAAAATACAAAAGTGATACTTGAAAGGAAAACATATAAAATCACGCTTTGTTCTCGCCAATCTTTATGTTTACGCGTTCCTAAACGAATCCGCCGTTGATACGCTCGACGACGCAACCCGAGGATTAACACAATATTCGTCGAAATGATTAAAATCGGTAAAATAAAATTATTCAAACCAATACTTTCAATAAAGATCAAATCAGTTAATGAATACGAATAACCATATGATTTATAATGTGCATTATCACATGAAAACAAAATTTGTGAGTTGAAAAGTTTGACAAAACAATACGAAACATTATAAGGTAAAAAGAGAAATGGATGATCGTAAATTACCACAAATATAATCAAAAACATCGATATTGTACATGCACGTCGACGAGTTATTAAACAACGACGATCAGTAATCCAAACTTTTAAATTACGTTCAATCCCTGAAGAAAAAAAAACAAAACAAAAAGTACAAATCGATTTCTTACGATAATTCTCGTCTCCTACCCAATGCGCATAGGAATAAATACGATAAATTTTCACTACTCAATGTAAGAAACCACGTGATTGAACAAACGAGATATCGATGATCAATGTAAAAGTAGAGAATATGCACGACATACTCAGCGATAAGCTTCACTATATCAGCGATGGATAATGCGATAATAAAAATCCCATAAGGAGTTTTGTCCAACGATTTTGCACGGTAAAAAAGTAAACACGAACAAAGATTCAGCAAAGTGCCAATTATGGTTAAAATACAGCCGAGAACGAAAAATAATAAAACAAGATTTTCACCAACATTACCACATGACGAATTTAGCAATAATGCCGAAGCTGTTCGGTTGAATGTTAGTCGCATTGAGATGTTATTTGGAATAAGAAATGACATATTTCTTGTTTTATATATTTTTTTCTTTACTCTGTCTGTCAGAAAAGGAAAAGAAAGCGGATGGTAGATAAACACACCCTAATAAATGCGTATACTTAATTAACTCGTTTAATGTCAACAGACGTTCATAAATACAACTTTGACAATTTTTCTTCAAACATGGCTCGAGGCACATCTGTCCAACAAATCGACTTTTTCTTTTTATTCACAGAAAAATCATCAATCAATAGAAGAAAGAACAATATGAGACTTGTGTTTTTATTAGAATATAGATTTTTATACGTGTAAAGTAGTTGATTCTGGTTCCCCGTATCATAAATCAACATTAGTGAGATTTTATAATGGTTTCAGACCATGTTTTTCTTCGATTGACAAATATTTTTTACATAATTATGTAGTTGACAGACAAATAATCATCGCAGGACAGATGAAAAAAGGGGAGATTTGTTGACAGAATTGATGACTTCCCTTTGTTGTTAATGCTAAATACCATCTTTATTGATTTTCACAAAGGAAAACCGACTTCTTCTGACATTTCAAGTGAATTCATAATGAACTTAATGATATACTGTATTTCGCAGTTCGTTTATTTTCCTCAACGTGGATTGAGTCAATACGTAGGCGGAAATACAAGTTCAAGTTAAAAATATATCGACTCGGAAATCCACTCTGAAGATGAATAACTATATGTGACTAATCATGGGACATAAGCGATCATATTTAATTAGACTCCGGCTAATAGTCATGTCCAACACTAAAAATCTATGTAACAGATTGGTGGTCCTGATAATTTCTTACGCATATTTGCCTTTCCAAATGAATTTCTTCGTTTTATACGATCTAAACCACTTAATCCCAACAACAAACTCAAATTCTTATCGAATGATCTGTCAACTATGTGAGTCTCTTGTATCAGGGGATGTGATGAAACCTCCAGCTACCGACTATATTGTAAGCTGAATCCACTAATCGAACGAATGGTCTGATGTAAGATCAAGACTCACGTCGTGGAACCTACCTCAGGTGACTGGAAGGGATGAGATGATAAGGGTGTTTTATTGGATGAAATCAAATAAAACACTACAGAAAACGATAACAAAAGACTGATCGAAAAGAGAAAAAGAAATACATATTATATATGTATATGTATAGAAATGCAAGAAAAAAAACTATGTAGAAGGTAGTGTCATGAAGTAATATCCAATGACGCTAACAAACTAATATTCATCTTTAATAAAAGTCATCGGTATTTGATATATTTCGAAAAAAAGAGGACAATTCATCGTCAACACTTGTTCAGAAAGTACTTGTGATCTTGTTTAATCTCATTATATTATATAAAGCTTTATTAATAAAGTGTCTCATGTCGACTCATGTTCGAGTAATGACATATTTATCTAAAAATAATCTTCTGTTCACATGAAAAGTGTCTATGTTGCTTTCTTCTTTGTTGATTCTGTAAAAGTCAATTCGTTTCTGATTGAATCGAAATAATTGATCGTCATCTGTGATGGATAATCGTTTTGAATTTGTGAAAACTTTTTACTGAAAGAATTTTTCCACGACCAAAGTTCGACATTCCAACTGTGCTGCAATGCAGTGCGAACTGTTTCCGGGAAACTCGTTCGCCCATAATTTGAATTGCCATCTCCGCTCAACAAAACAAGAACTTGTCGTCGGGTTCTTTTACTCGGATGACTAAGAATAAGTCTGAACACTTGACTGTGTAACATATCATCGAGAAACTCTTCCTAAAAATCCGATAGGACATTCATTTTTCGGGGAAAATTTTCAATTGACCTTATTGGAAAACGTTCGTTCACCTAATAAAACTGTGTATCCACGATTTTCCCATTCTTTCCAAACACGTGCATTTTTCGGCGGTTCACTACCGCCAACAATACGGGTTTGAATATGTCGTGATATCTTCTTGCTCTCAATCAAATCAGCAAGTTTATCAACGTTAAGTCGAACTATGCTGGATTGATTTCTGTTGCACCGGTCTTTTTGTTGAGAATATGCTGTGCACCGATAAAAATGTTCGAATTGTCTACAACTATATGAACATCAGTCGAAGTTGAACCGTACAATTTCTTAAATAAACTTTTTAACGATATATTAATTAGATAAATACACAAACCTGAAAATAGTAGAGAATGACGCTAATAAGGATAATTACCGCAACGACGAGAAGTTCGATCGATGAAACCATTGTTTGATTTTAATAAAGAAGGAATTTTTATGTGAAAGAAGGAAATGTTATTTGTCCAAAGTTCTACGAAGTTGATCTTGTTTTCGGCAAGTACATAAGTCTGTGTTTGAAAAGAAACAGAATTCTTTTTCTTATTCTTATCAAGAGAGATACGACAAAGTATGAAGACCTTGAAGTAAGTGGGAAAAAAAGTGAAAACAAACAAAATACATATTCGTCGAGTAGTACGTTTTGTTAATTCATCGTTGAAATAAATAAAAAACAATTTGTCGCAGCAAAAGGACAAACGACTTCTGATTATTGTTTCTATTATCCATTATCCATTATGTAAGTGGTAAAATGTATCGTAATCATTCACGATGGCACATGTTAATGACCAAAAATATCAATTCAATTAAAAATAAACGAATCACCACGCGTTATTTTTGTCTTTTACAAAGATTCGCGAAAGGCTGTAAGGGTATAAAGGATAGTTGAAGTTATCTTACTTCCACATATACAGTATGTTGAATTGATTTCCACTTTAATAGTTAACCTTCGAAACTAGTTTTATCGTCTATTTATCGATTCATTTCAAAATTTGATCTACGCAAGATTTAGCAATAAAATCTTCAATTTTAGATACTCGTTTTTCAAATCACGAGCAATGGTCAAATGGGAAGTTCAGACACAATACGCAGGAATAACGAATACTATGAAGATAAACATCTTGAGTGCAATACGTACTTTAATTGAAACGCATGGATCGTCGAAGATGTCTGAGATTGGTTGTAGTGTCAAAAATTGGCTCCAAGAAACATATGGAGGAATATGGATCGTCATAATTGGTAAAAAGTACCAGTTTTCGGCAGCTGCAGTTCATTACGATCAAATGTTCTTGCGCGTATACGAAAATGATCTAGACTGGCAAATTGATCTATTCAAAAGTCAACCGAACGCATCAGGTAAAACTATTTGCACAATGACTGCTATACATGAAACGGTTAAATTAAGGCTAAGAAATCAATCAGTTCACACGACGACATGCAAACTTATAACCAGATACAATAAAATGCATTACAATTCAGCAACATTGACTATTTTTTTAGAAGATCATTTATTAAATAAAATCACATTCTTTTAAAAAAATGAATTATTAAACTAAAATGACAGCGTAGACACAAGATCTGGTTTTCGCTCACAAATTTCCAGGATACTCATATGTATATCCATCGAACAAGATGAACGTCTTTTTTTATAAATATAAAAATATGTTATTGTTTGTAATTTCACAAAACATTAGTCATCGATTTCTTCCGACAATGAGTCATTATTTACATACGACAAATGTTATGTGATAAAAGCGAACAGCATTCGTGTCACGATTTTTATATCAAAATGCATTCGACAACAACGACAGATCTTTCGATTCTCCTTCAGAATTTGAGTAAAACAAATGATACTCATAAAGAAAAGGTTGTCTTAATCAAAACTGGTGCTTTGAATCCCGTTCATCGTGCTCATATTTCCAATATGATCAAAGCCAAAGAACATTTAGAACGTGTTTATGGTTTTCATGTTATCGGTGGTTATTTATCGCCTACTCACGATCAGTATGTTCAAGGAAAATTATCACGTGAAGATTTTCTTAGTGGATATCATCGAATTCGAATGTGCGAAGAAGCCATTAAAGAAGCGAATCAACAACATTGGCTTGGTGTTGATAAAGCAGAATGTACAGGTAAGAGAAAATCTTTTCATTTAATCGCATTTTCCGAATGTTTTCCGTCTAGCTCCAAAATTCATTTCTTTATCAAAAGTAACACTTAGTTTGCAAATGTTCATCAATGAAGTAATTCAGTTGGAAAAACCGATTCGCGTGATCTATGTTGCTGGCCTTGATTTATTCAATCGTTGTCATGGTATGGTCGCAATGAGAGAAGCACCTTGGAATGGTGTTGCTGTTGTGTATAGATCAGGAGAGAAGGAAAGTCTTATCCAATCGTCACATTCAATTTCAAATGAAAGATTATTTTATGTTCGAGATGATACTCCGGAAAATCAGGCAGAAGCGGTTAGTCAGATAAGTTCAACACAAATTCGACAAATGATTAAAAACGGACAATCGTGTCACAATTTAACATATCAATCAGTTCTTGATTATTTAAAAACAATTCCAAGTCCGAGATCATAAAGCAAGTGACAAACAACGGAAGTGGCCAAGACTTACGTTTTCACCATTTCTACATCTCTGTTTCTCTTTTGTTAATATGAACAAAACGATACGTTTTATTTTAGTAAAACACAATAAATCACACACATCTCACTTCATATATTATTCCATCAAATGGTTTCTAACCGTCACACGGGAATTTTCACTGGATTTACTTGATTTCGCTTTTTCCAACATATCATTTGCTCTTTCATATTCTTCCGAAAACGATCTCATCAAATCAACAATGTATAATAACTTCCCTAAAAAACAATTATATTTTCATGACAGACATCCTTTCATTTGTCAATCGAGATCGTTCATTCACTATCACCGTTGCCATAGTATAGACAATTTATCCATTCTATGATACCAAACTAATGAGATATTTCGAACGATCATAGAAGAAGACGAAAGGAAAAGAAAGTGAAGTTAAAGATTAACTTTGTTCGTACAAAGATTTTCAGCATGATGAAATTGATGGAGAGAGAATAGAGAAGAGTAACTATAGAGTCGATGGTTGAAGTCTGCATTTGTAAAACACACGTATTGTAATGATTGGTTTGACTTTGTCTTCGACTGTAAATATTCTTTTGTGATGGAAAAAGATTTTCTGAATGGTTCAACGTTAAATAAAACATTTGAAGAACAAAAAGACTTTTTTCACATGATGGAATTTGAGAAAATAAAGTTCGATTTGATAAGAAGCCTCCTTTTCTCTCTGATGAAAAGAAATTCCATAGTTTCAAAACGTATCAATTTTATTTGATCGATGTAACCTTATTCTTCGATATCTCGACAAACGTGCAAAAGCACGAACAATAGCTCCACCGATCAAAACAATCGATGTTCCTGTTATTGCATAGAATGCATAAGGATTTTGTTCGATTCCATTGGTCAAATTCATTCCAAATGTTCCTGCAATGAATGCACCCATTCCTAAGCTCATTGTAATGATATTGATACGAATTTCAAAACTGAGTAGTTCATTTCGAACAGCATCTAACATGAAACCAGTTGCACTTTCTAATGTTCGAACTGAATCTGATAGATCTGAAATTGTTCGACGAACTTCGGCCATTTGTTTTGTACATGCTTCGAGTAACAATTCTACTTGAATATGATCAGAAATATCCCGTTTGCGAGTGTCAGTCAAATACATTCCAATCATATCTTCATCCTGTGCAAGAACATCGACGATGGCTTGATGTGCAAGATCGGCATTTCGTTTGTATTTGTCAACTTTTTCTTTGAGCAAAGCAAGTTCACGTAAACTTCCAATTGTGATTCGACTATATGCACGTTCACGAACATTCTGAAATTGGATAAGTAATTCTTGTCCTTTCAATCTTAAACCATGAGCAACAGATTCTAAATTGATTTCAGTTAATCGAAATTCAAATGGAATCGAATCAACATTGATCAACGTTTGATTAATAAATCTTTCTTGATAAGTCTTGTGAATGTAAAGCACTATACGTTGATATGCTTGAGCAATGCGTTCCCAGTGTATATCATCTTGGAATCCTAATGGTTCTCGGGCGATTTTCTCAGCAGCTGGAACAAAGAAAATGCTTCGATCTAATTCGATCAAACTACGAAGTCGACGAAATGAAAAAATAATAAATCGATTTTGTCGAATATCAATGATAGGAACATTAATCAAAAGATCTGTATCAATCTTCTGTAAATCCCGTGGTTCAAGACCATATTCTTGACAAATTTTGGCTCGATCGAATGGACCTTGATAAGTATTAAGTTTTCCATCTTTTGTTAAAATGTAAATGTCACAATTTAATTTGTGTGTTATGTGTGGAATTTTGTCTAATTGAGAAAGAACGACATCCGATGATTGATAACGAAAACAATTGTGTGCAATAGATATTTTCTGAGATGCAGTTTGAAATAAAGTTCTTTGAGTATATCGTTTGCATAGTAAAGACAAAAACAGTCGCATTATCTGTTTAATGAATATGTATGAGTAATGAAACGAATACACATTGTTTTTATTTCTATTTTTGTCGTAAAGGAAGAAAGAAAGAAAATGTTCTTAAGTATCAGTATGGCTAGACTTAGAACGAATGTATCGATAATAGTCATTGCCCGACATCTATACTCATTATAGTAAATAATTATCGATTTTATTGAATTGAATTTGCAAAGTAATATTAAAAAAATCAATAGGAAAATGACGAAGTATCAAAATCTTTCGTAGCTGACTATATGCAATTCGTGATAAAGGTGATCGTTTGGTCAATATTGAGTCATTCTATGTTTTTATCAGTGTGTGAACGCATGATCGATTGCTTGATTCTCTGTATACCAATGAAGTCATCACCAACAGGAGTTCTTCTGCGGTTTTATATAGATTCTGAACAGACAAATGAGATTTTATTGACAGAGACTAAGATAAAGTCCAATAACAAAATATAGGTCATAAATAAGAGAAAAACAAGATGTGTTTTCAAACGAAATCGATAGATATTGCAATTGGTAAATCTATTTTACACTAATCTTTAGTTTCCTTATATGAATTCTTTGCCTTTATATGTTACCTATGAAGAAAACTCATAATTTTACTTGATCTCTTTCTGTTCTTCTTGTAGATCTCTACGAAAATCACGCGAACATGTCGCGTAGGTGAAAAAGTTCGTTATCTGTCTACTTTTTATCTTTTTCATTCAGACCTTATACCCGGTGGATTCAAAGCTGTTCTTTATCATGATCAACCTATTCCTGAACTCCCTTCGACTGATTTAATTCAAAAGTGTTCGGACAGTCAAAGTTTTCGTTCGATTTTGGAACAAAATCATTTATCGGTACGGGTCTTGGCATGTACGTCTGAAATATTTCGTCAACTTCCATCCAATCTAGTTCCATCTAAACTGGACACAATATACTTCATGGAATCCTCATCGGGTGCTTCATCACTATTGACAAATGAAAATGCAGCTCCTCAACCAATCGGCGTTCTGTCAGAAAAAGAATTGATCTTACGTGTATTATTGGATGTTGTCGACTGTTTTTATCGGCAATCGATTAATTATCGAACGGAAGGTAATAATGGTTTAGCCGATGCGTGTAGACAAGTTGTGGTTAATGTATTGGAATATATCAAAGAACACAATGAATATCTATGTCCACCTTAATGAAATATGGTTTTCTCGAAAGAAAGAACATGTCAAATAGTTTTAACGAAGATGGCAGAACAGTGATTTGTTTCTCGAATGAAAAAATTAAAGGTGTTTATTTTCTAATTACTGTACGGGAACTAATCTCTTCTCTACATATCTCTCTTTCCTCATTTCTCTCGTTTTGTTGAATATCGTTTAGTAACAGAAACTTAAATTTCTCTGTTTATGCAATAAAAGTGAAAACGAAATTTTGCTGTTAATTAATCGAACTATCATCACAAATTTTTCAACAACGAAGACTCTAATTGTCGTTATACTACTTTAGACTTAACTAATTAAAACAGTTACCGATAAATATCAGTTTTTCTGCTTACCGTTTTTACGATATGCTTTGCAATACCTTTACTTTTTATACATTTGTATGGCAAAGTGTCTGTAATCTTTGGTATTTGTAAGTAGGTAGAAAAAGAAAAATTTTTTTTATTCTGTTGTTTTTTTCCATTCTTGGGTAAAAACCGTTGCTTGAAAAATACCAACCTGAAAAAAAAACGTCATGCGTTTAATAGGGTAATTACAAATGAGGATAAAGGAAGTACAAGAAAAGTCGATAAGAAATTATTACTTATTCGTATGTTTCATGAAAAAGGTGCTTAGTTTGATTATGATTTGGAAATTACATTTGCAATGGGAGCATAATGGAAAAAACCTCTTTTCGTCAAACGCTTAGGTTTTTTTCCCGATGTATTTCAGCAACTCATGATGCAAAGGAGAATTCCAAATTTCTTTTGATTTATATATATATAACGGAATAGAAGATGATCTTTATTTCACCTTTTACTTATTTTACTTTGAAGCTGATTATTCGGAAATGGATCATGCAAAAGAGAATGTGATCATTGCGCAGCAAATCGCCGACAATACGTCATTTAATCACTATGTTGATAGAATGCTGGAAATGGCCAAAAACGATTGGCATTCACCTCAAACATCTACTCAAGACACAAGTGGTTATTCATCAACTCCATCGACTGATGGATGGAGGCAGTAGATAAATCTTTCGTAATGAAGCCGCCATGACTAACTGACTATGTTGTTCAATACATACTCGCAATGTATCATATTCAAACCACAATGTCATTAGTCATGAAATGACTTTGGACAAGTCACTTATGGCTACTTGTCTTGAATTATCCGTGTACAAAATATCCTGATTGTATATGATATACGTCAGATTCTGTGTTTAATAATGCTGTCTGGAGAAGTGAAAGGAGTAAGAGACTAATAAAACTCGAACTCAAGCTGATCTTCTCTTTCGAATTCTAACGACAAATATCGAAATAGTGGAATATTTTTTTATTATTTTTATTGATATCCAAGATTCTCTTCCTCTTGTAAATATAACACTTTCCCGTAAGGTCTAGTCAAGAATAATTATGTACAGAAGATGTTTCAATAAGAAAATCTTGCTAAAACGAATTATTGAAAATAAACTTACACTGGATATAACCCATATTCTCTCATTCGAAATCGATGTTGATGTATAATGACATGAAGACATGTATGTTGGTTGAAAAGTTTCTGTCTATCGAATAAATGGAAAAATCCCGTTATCGAAGAAAAGAGAGAGAGAAAGAGAAAGAGAAAGCAATACACATACGTGAAGAATATCTATATGACTAATATATATTTGCTTGTGATTCCGACTGTTTCACATTGATTATTCTGAAACATGTTGACTCTGAATATTGTCCTGTTAACCAAGAAGAGTAAAACATATAATCGTCGACTAAGATTGGACATTTCGGTGTATCAGATTTCTGAGTTTCAACATTGAGATCGATGCTTTTCATTATTTGATCTGTATCTGTATCTTGTCAATTGCAAATACAAAAGGCATACTTGACATGTAAGCAGTACTATTATCATCGATAGTAGGTGACGTTATGTCATCATTGTCGGTCATCACTAAAGGTGAATACCAATTCCAATGTACTTTAATATAACATGTTAAGATTTCGTACGATGAAACAAAGTATTTCCATGGTGAATCGATCATATTTTGGTAGAATTTTACAATAATTTATTTTTGTTCACCTAAAACAAAATTTGCATCTTGACCGTTAAGTTGTGTAGTTATGAATGAGATTTTATTTGTTATTTTTGAATTTTAATAAATTGCAATTTCCACCTATTCATAACAAATCACCTGTATTCGCATCAGATCGATAACGTTCAGTCAAACCAGCACCATGAAAATCTCTATTTGTCCTTTGTATTGCTAACGTTGTTTTGTTCAATGCATCTGATATTGACCCAAATTCATTATCAGCCACATCCGTTAATAAAAGATTATATTTCTCACTCATCGACAATGGTGATTTCGTACTATTGTACAATTCACAATTCTCAATACAGTCTTGAGCAGGACGTGATGTTGGAGCATTAATAATTCGACAAAGATTAGATGAATAAGTTATCCTCGTCTGTCCATAAAACAATACAGAACAGTATTCCTTTTCAATCAGATATTATATTAGATGCACTAAGTGGTAACATGTCTATAGTACGGGTTTAAGATCAATCGTCCATCAAACTATTCCATTTGTGGTTGAGCAAACCAAAAAGTCAGTTGTCAAGAAAAAACAAAGATTATCTTGGGAAATTGTCAAAACTACGTTAACTTGGTGATATTTTGACAAACTTAAAGTAAAATAAATGTCGCCATTAATTCCAGTATCAAAACTAAATTGAGTCAGATCTTGTGATGTTATATACTCATAAGTCCAAGATATATCCAAATAATTTTTTGGCATTGTTGGTTTAATATAATATGTATTTTGTCAACTGCCTTGATCTGTTGATCATATAACGACTCAAGATCATTAGTATCAACAAAGATTATAGTATTGATCGATTCCAATGACTGAATACAATACAATAATATCAATATTTGACTAGCAGTTATTCTTCGCATTAACACATCTTGTGGTATAGAAAATCTGTGCGCATTCTCATCAAACGTTGACCTTGTTACTATACGATAGGAATCAATAACGGTGCATATCTTATGCAATAAGAAATGTACCCTAGCTGATTCACTCTTTCACCATCATATCGTATTATGTGAAGAAAAGGTATCAACGCATTTTCTTAGTGACGTTGTGACTGCTTTATACTATTTCATTTTGGTCTCATGCAATCGACACAGATGTATGTTTGTGAGCGGATCATTTAAGAGAAAAGATGAGAGTGATTGAATGAATGAATAAGTGTGATACCTATTGAAAAACATCAGAGAGATGAGAATCAAAAACGATGATGTCATGAGAAACGAAAGGAAAGGTGAAAACCAAAACGAAATTACTCAAACAATATGAACTTCTTTTTGTTCTCTATTATACAGTAAACAAAAAACCGTAGCCACTATAGTATGCCCGTCATTTCATTTATTTTTCTTCTTCTCAGGGAGCCTGATAATCGTCCTTATAACGATGGTAAGGTCAAGGTCGACTGCGGTTTCAACATTTGAATCTTCCATTTCTAAGTCCAACAATTATTTTTTACGCAATTAAAAGGAAAAGACATATTTTATCTTAGTAAATCACACACATCTCACTTCATATATTATTCCATCAAATGGTTTCTAACCGTCACACGGGAATTTTCACTGGACTTACTTGATTTCGCTTTTTCCAACATATCATTTGCTCTTTCACATTCTTCCGAAAATGATCTCATCAAATCAACAATGTAGAACAACTTCCCTAAAAAAAACAATTATATTTTCATGACAGACACCCTTTCATTTGTCAATCGAGATCGTTCATTCACTATCACCGTTGCCATAGTATAGACAATTTATCCATCCTATGATACCAAACTGATGAGATATTTCGAACGATCATAGAAGAAGACGAAAGGAAAAGAAAGTGAAGTTGAAGATTAAGTTTGTTCGTACAAAAATTTTCAGCATGATGAAATTGATGGAGAGAGAATAGAGAAGAGTAATTATAGAGTCGATGGTCGAAGTCTGCATTTGTGAAACAAGTATTGTAATGATTGGTTTGACTTTGTCTTCAACGATAAATGTTCTTTTGTGATGGAAAAAGATTTTCTGAATGGTTCAACGTTAAATAAAACATTTGAAGAACAAAAAAGGCTTTTTCACATGATGGAATTCGAGAAAATAAAGTTCGATTGTTCATTTCGAACATCATCTAACACGAAATCAGTTGCACTTTTCTATTTGTCAACTTTTTCTTTGAGCAAAGCAAGTTCACGTAAACTTCCAATTGTAATTCGATTAGATGCACGTTCACGAAAATTCTGAAACTCGATTAATAATTACCTTGTCCTCTCAATCTTAAACCATGAGCAACAGATTCTAAATTGATTTAAGTTCGTTAAGATATAAATATGAGATACAATCCAATTGAGGACGATGGATGGTTTCTTCTAGAATCCACAGCTGATTTGAACAGATTTTTGTCAGAAATTTTAGTATAAAGTTGTTTGTATATTCGAGATAGAAATACACGCATTTTCTTCTGAGACTTTTGACGAAAGAAAGTCTTTGACTATAGTAGATATTCAGAAATGGGTATATATTTGGTTAAATTATAGACGTATGAGAAGTTGTATTACGACATCTATACATCAAGGAATTGCTCAAATTAGAACACTGAGGCAGTATTTTAGAAATGAATTAAAAATTCATGAATTGTTGAGAAGGAATCTCATAATTATTTGATTTGATTCTATTTGGTATAGAATGTTCCTGTTTGATGATTCACTTGTGCGATAACCCCTTTGATCACGCTGTCGCTCAGGTCTCGAAGAGGAGGATTTGTATTCTATTGGATGTTATTAATTCAGTATTTCAATAAATAATTTCACTACTGAATGAAATAACAAAAAATCATGTTTTTTTCGTTTATATTTAGATTCGTTATTATCTTATTATCCACTGGATAAAACTCTACCAAAATGTCGTGTAAATACGTTCTAAAAATCAAGATCGAAAATACGATTTTTATCTTTAGACTTTCTACCGAACTTTCGAACTATTGTTTGTACACAAACGAGATTTCCTCTTCTTGAATCATTTGATTTTATCGAAAAGTGCTCAACTGAAGGCGAACTTCTTGTAAAATTAGCCGAGAACACGGATTCAGTACGAATTCTTGTCTGCACTCAAGAAATGTTCCTTAATTTACCGAAAGAATCGATTCCACCTAATCTCGAAACAATTTATTGTATTTCTGACCTATCTGACATGATCGATTCGTTTGAAATCATCGAAAAAAATGCGCAAATAACGAAATTTTCCAACGAAAATGAATTGGTGTTAAATTTACTTTTCAAAATCATCCTCGCTTATTATTCTCAATCGCAAAAGTATCAAAAAGACGCTGAACAAAGTTTAGCTAACTCGTGTATACACATTGCTCTGGAAACCATCAAACAAATCAAAACCAATCGAGACGTTTTCTGTCCATCACTTTAAACATGTATATAAACCTATTTTCTTATTTAGTTTTTTACCTATTCGAGAATAAAAATTCGACTAAAAACAATGGAGTTTGGAAATTTTACATGGCACTTGTCCAACTATAAATAAAGAAATGCAATGGAATGTTTCGTTACTGACAACTTACCTATGAAAATGGTGTCGAATCTTGTTTTATTTGTCTTTAGTTTTAGAAAGCTTTATGTGTTCTGCCAGTTTGTCTAGACGCTGCGTATATAACATGTTGGAAAAAAACGACCTACGCGTTTTTTTTTCTTTTGCTTATTACGAAAACAAATCGTGTTTGGAAGAAAGCTATTTACATGTAAACGATAACGAAAAACATTTGTCTATCCCACATAATTCTTCATTGGAGGATGATTTGAATGTGAAAAAAAGACATTTGACATATGGGAATTTTATGCATGTCTATACTATCATTTTGTATCAAAATGTCGATGGTTTCTCATTCGATGTAAAAGAAAATAAACACAGCGAACGTGCGTCATGATGTTTATGCGATGAGAGAAGTGCAGCAAAGACTATATTACGAAAACTGTACTTGGGATTTTCACCAATATGATTGGTTTTGTCCCTTACTTTTCAATGAGTATTTACATATGAGCACATTCTTTAGTAGTTTGCATATGTATGGCACAGTATCAGTAAGTCATTCGTGCTATACGATTTAAGACTAAAACTTGGAATTCATCTATTTTTCCCTTTTATTCGTTTGGTTTAAACACTACGCATTCGGAAATGGAAGATTTAGTTCATCGAGCAGTGTGTTCGCAGAGAGAAGGCAATCAGAGCATGTTTATGGAGAATTTAAACCAGATGCAGACTATTTTAGAACGCGACTACGGATTAGACAAACAATCGGTTGAAGACTCAAGCGTGAACTGCCAGTCGGCAAATCAAGGAAGCATTCCATCAACTAGGTAAATCAAACCTCGTAATATTGTTTCTCTATGCTAATATATAAGAAATAAAAGTGGCTGCACGTAAGAATAGGATGGTGCGAAGAAAATTTCTCAAATCCTTAAGCTTAATAGTCAATATCCGTCTAATTCGACTTGATATCAATGCAGTAAATCATATAAACCACACTGTGATTCTGATCTTCTCGAGTAGATCTATGTACAGCTAATGTTGGCGTCGATAGAGAATAATTCTCAATGGAAACTAAGCAAAGTCACTCGTATCGAAACTGATCCCCAAAAAGAGGGAATGATATTATCAATGATACAATACTCGTTGGTAAGATACCCCAATAGAAGGGAAAGAAAAAGAAAAGAAGAAAAACATAGTTTTATTTCATGGAGAAAGTAAATGACGACATAACAAGGAGAAAAATTGTTTTTCGCACTCCACCCTTACGTATTGATATTCGAATGATATTAACCTTAGGTTACTCTTTGTTAAAACAGCGACTCATTCGTCTTTTACTTCCAAATGCATATTGTAAAGTTCATATTAAATGATCAAAAATGGGAGAAAATATACTCTCGACTCGAAGGATATAAATCTATCAATTAAAGCATAAACTCTTCAGCGTTTACAAAATCCAACGGTATTTGTTCTCATCTTAAGAGTGATTTTACTCATCTGATCGAAGCGTAATGCAGGTGCATGCAAAACTTTTCGTAGTACGTCATACAATAACACTCACAGGCACTATTCTCATCCACAAGATTCAGATAACGTCAAATGGAAGAAATATTTTTATACAATAACAATGGAAAATCTCGAAACTTGCATCCATTCATCACAAAAAAATTCAAATACTACCCTTGACAAAATATAAACAGATAAAGATGACAAGCACGAAAATACCCTTAGAATCAGCTGGTATTCGTGATCTCAGTTGTCAAGAAAAAGAGTGTATATGTATTATCTGGCAAAATGAGTTAATAGTACATTCATTTACAAATGAACACTATTCATCAATGGCTATTTGTTTTTCTGGAACATTTAATAAATCTGGTCCGCCATGTTCATCATCCTCACAAAGGAGAAATTTCTCAGTCTTTGAAAAACTTGGCCGTTGGTAATACAAATAATTCGCAATTTCATCGATCGTTGTATTTGCACACGGAAATACTCTGTTGCGTAACTTATCTTTGTTAATAAATATCATTGTATCATTGACTTGAATCGAACACACCGTTTTCAGAAAGTGTTGACCTAATAAACAATATTCTCGTTTTTTTGTATTTATCATGGACGGAAAATGATCTTCGAAGTTGTTAAGAAATCTTAATGTATCTTCTAATAACGATTTGTCCGCTTCGGAAAATAAAGTTTCGTTCAATCCCGTTAAAACTTGTATCGATTCTTTATCTAACGTAAAACGGAGATAAGGTAATTCAAATTGTAGCATTTTGAGATCGGCATGTAAATGACACAAAATTTTTCCATCTGCTCCATTGCTTTCCACCCTTCGTTTGATGTGCAAAGATGTATTCGGTAATAAACCCACCCCGTATGCAGTACTAATTGTCCACAAAAATCCACTTGATGGAAAACATCTCATCAATTCATTCAAATCTAATTTATTGTTAACATTCATCGGTAACGGCAGAAGTGATGAGTTTGATCCACTATCGATTAAAACGTACGGAATTTTGATCCCACCAAACGTGTTTTCCCCGCTACCCAGGTCGAACAATCCGGCGCGGAAACGGCCGGTTCCATGGTATTCCAGAGATTTCATGGAAGCAGTATTCCCGATGAGCGGATCCGGTGACCGGATTTATCGGGTTTGGACCGGAACAGACAGAAGCATGCCAAAACCGGTAGCCGGAAATGGTTACCGCTTTTCTCCATCGGATTCCTGACATTTTCCGGGCGGGTTCCACTCAGAAATGGCGACTTTCCTCAGGGATTTTGTCGGGAATTCATGGAATCCTGCTTCAGGAATCATCGTCCTGGGTAGGAATCAGAAAACGTTCACGATTGTTGACTACAGCGAAACCATCGATATTGTTTTCCGTTAAACATCTGTTCAAACGAAGTTTATAATCAGTAGTCGACGTACCACTATTCATTATTTGTTGAGAAGTGAAAGAACGTATATGAGAGAGAAAATCAATTCAACTGTGATCGAGAGCTCTGTCTTTTATCCCTGCTTCTGAAAATTCATGGATAAAGAGGTCGCTGCTATACAAAACAACTCAGAGTATGCAGATTCTGGGAAAGCATCCACTCGTAGGGTGGCCAATAGACAGTAAATTGCAGTTATAAGCAGCATTTAATTATACTTTATTTATATCTGACACGGAAACAGGTTAATCTGTTTATGCGCACATGAAGAAAAAGATTGAAGTTTATGTGCATAGAAGGATGAAAGAAAGATAAATCAACCGTCTGGGTATGTAATTGTTTGTGTATTTTTATTCTAATAATCGATAAACTTCTTCATAGGCAAGAAAACAAGCCGCATTAATTGGAATGGCTTTTAAAATTCCGGGAAAAAATCCTCGATAAAACTTTTTAATTGAATGATCTTGTTCGTAAATTTGTTTAATACAATCGAAATATGACGAATATTTTCTATGTCCAGGTCGAACGTCATCGGCTTGAATTTCTAATCGAATTTGATCTAGTGGGTAACAAATTGAATATGCACAAAGACCACCGAATGCTCCACTCAAAAGTATATCTGTTCGTAAATGTTTCTCTTGTTTTTGAAAAGGAAATATCCGATAGTGAATTTCATACAGATGCTTTTTAATATATTCATAACCACCGAAGTAAAACATTGACGTTGCCATCGAGTTAATCAATGTCGAACCAAACCCATGATAAAAACCTCTGATACCTCCATTATTCTTGTAAATATATTTGACACAATCTTTGAGATAAAAGTTAAATGTATGCGTGTGTCGACGATTTAAATTTCCATGAATTTGTGCAAAAATAAAACAAATTGGAGTTTCAATTAAAGATAAGCCAAGACCAGTCAATGCTCCACACAACATATACTGTCTTATGTCATTTTCATTTCGAACAAAATAACGTGTTAATTGTCCGTAGAGGAAAAATTGTATTGATGTTATTAACGCTGGACTAATCAACGGTAGATTCAAATTGCCACGGTAAAATCCATTGATAATTCCTTGTCGCTTATAAATCAATTGAAACGAATGAAAAAAATTTCGATAAACACCTGGTGAATTGATCTTTTTCTGTATTAATAATGTTTCAATCGGATGTGAAATGGCAACACTGGTTACTCCACAAACACAGCCAGCGAGAAGATCATTCAAAAACGGATTCTTCTTCATTTGAATACATCACATATTTCTACTCAAACACACATACGATGTCATCATATGTAAAATCATTCGTGCATGACTCGATCCGCCCTTTATAATAACGACAGAATAAAAAAAGACGTGTTACATGAATCAAAATGTTATTTTTTATAAATCTTGTTCATTTTCTCTTCTAAGCGAGTTTTAATTGAATCATTCCATTCGTCTAACGTGAACATGTATTCGTATTGTATAAATGAATAACCATTCAGTTCCTTAGGTTTCTTACTGTCTAATTTGAATCCTGCTGTGTTTTCGCACCAACCTCTCATCTCTTCGTTCAATTCATCAGTTTGCATAATTATTTTCTTCACGCCTAACTTTTCGAATGCGAATACAATCGATGTATAAAGCGCTTCGGTTGCATATCCCAATCGCGTTGTTTTATGATCACTAATGATGCCTAAATAACCAATGTCATTGTCAATTGTAACAAAACCTGTTGTGCCAATACAACGATCAGTTTCTTCTCCGGATATTGATGCTAATAAAATGATGTTTAAAACACAGCTTTTTCCATTCGCTCGTGTTGCTTTTTGGACATTAACTCGATCAGTAAAATCTTCCACCGTCCATTGTTGTTCGGCGTTTTTCCATCCATTTGGCGGTTGAAGAAAGAGTAGATGTTTTCGTGAAAATGGATCAGAAAATATCGACGCACAGCTTGCAGTATCATCATCATGATGAGTTCGTAGACGAAGTCGACCAAGATAGGATGGAATGCTAACTGAATTTGTTTTTACAGATTCATCAAAACCACTTTTAGAAGAGTCCATACTAAACAAAACGGTAAAAAAGATTTGTGCGGGTCGATTTGAGATAAAAAAATCTCGTGACGATGATAAAAGATTTCATTCGTTTGTTCTATGAGTCAGCATAAATACAATGAGTCATTGATATTTTGTAATTCGTTCTTTCATAATAAAAAGAGATTTATTAACAATATCAAACAATCATTGTAAGATGCCTTGATCTCGTGGTTATTACACAAATATTTCAAAATAATGATGGAACAGAACTGTTAAATCAATCACTCTTGATGATCCAACTATTTTAGACGAAATAATTCCATGTTGTCTTATGCCTCAATTTTCTAGATACTCCGTTGAGTCCCCACATGAGTGTAACAACAAACACTGTTGGCCAACCATTCGATTATTATTGTGTATTGGATTTTGAAGCGGTATGCCATCAAGCAAATCCTGGCTCCAAACGACGATCACCAGACGATGTATGGGAAATTATTGAGTTTCCGATCTGCTTGTTAGAAGCACAAACAAATACAGTTATTGATATCTATCATAGTTATGTTCGACCAACGATCAAACCACGTTTGAATGATATTTGTATTCAAATAACTGGGATAACTCAAGATATGGTTGATCAATCTCCCACATTTGATCATGTGTGGAGAGATGTTCAGAAATTCTTATCAAAACATTCGTTAATTTGTTTGGAAGATGAAAATAAGCCGATGTTACGAAGTTTTACATGGATCACGTGTGGAAATTGGGATTTGCGAACAATGTTACCCTTGCAATTACAACAATCTGGTTTCGATAGACCGAAGTTCATCAATAATTTCATTAATATCAAAGATTTATATATGGAATATAATCCATCAAATCGCATTAATGGAATGAAAGATCTATTGAAAAGATTACATTTGACTTTAGATGGAAAGCATCATTCGGGAATCGACGATACGAAAAATATTGCCAAAATCGCACAATGGTTCATTGAAAACAATCAAATCTTGAAATTAACAACAAATGACACTCATCCTTTAGATTGAGGGTAAGGGTGTAAATAGGTATTAGGAAGATGTTCGCATCCACCCTCAAGTTTATATTTGATGTCAGAATAATAAATATTTACAATAAAACTGAAAATCACTCTCGTATAAGAAAGTTGGTTATGCGACAGTAGAAGTATCTTGTCTTCTGTCATTAACAGTTTCTTGTGAAGAGACAATTGTATTTGTTTCGTAACAATCTGTAGATAATCGCGTAAATTTTATAAGAAAATTCGTGATTACTGCCGACCACTTGTCTTGAGATTCCTTTGATTTTTGGTTCGCATAGTCATTTAAATCGTTGCGAAGTTTATTGAATAAATTTTTTTCATGATCAAACATGCCACCTTCCAGTATACATTCTTGCTCTTGAGCCCATTCAACTAAGGAAATCATATGTAAACAGAAAATATAGACGACTGGTTTTATTGATGATGATACAATTTGAACAATATCAGGAACAATTTCTTTGGCATATTTGCCTTGAATAATGCAGAAAAGTTTTCGATTTTTCACATATGGTAGACATTCTCGACAACTTCGTACAGAATCAACCATCTTTAAACTAGTTGTAATTTGACGGAATTCTGCTTTAAGTGCTCGACAATTTTCATCACGACCAATATGATCATCAAGCCAAAGTACCATAATGTTATTTCGAGTAAGAATATCTTCTGAATTCGCAGGCTATTTCAGAAGTAAATATTTAAACAAATGATATAATCTTAGAAAATTCCATCAAACATAAACACATACCCGAGCATTTACCAGTTGTTCGATCTCAGTTCTGGAGTCTGTTTCAGGTAATATTGTTAATCCATTCGAATTTGACATTATTTTGCAAATAGTCTTATTGATCTTTTCAACAGCAACATGGGTTGATGGAAGCATTTGGAGTAAATTTTCACGAGCTTTTTCAAAACAATCCAATGCTTTTCGATAGTTTTGTTTGGATTGATACATCATTCCCATATTTGCATAAGTTTGTCCGATTTGAAGATAATTTTTTGGATGACATTCATCATCAATACTAAGCGCCTTCTCAAAATATTCCAGTGCTATTCGAAATTCTTTTGTATTTGTAAAAATATTCGCCAAATTCTTATAAACAGCTGAAATTTGAGTTGGAGATGTCAGATAAGATTGAATATGTTCAAGTGCTCGATGTTGATATGCTATTGCTTGATCATACTTCGATTTTAACCAGTAGACTTTACCAATAGAAATATAACATGAAGTGATCTCTTCGAGTTGATTGTCAATATCGGGCATTTTTTGTAATATATCAAGTTGTTGTTCGTAAAGTTTTATTGCTTCATCATAATTTTTTAATTCAACTTCGACTGCAGCTAATGAACGATAACATCGACTTAAGTCAGAAGCATTTAGAGATAGTTGCTTTAGAATATCTTGAAAATACTCGCGAGCTTTCAAATACTCACAACTCCAATATAACCAGTCGCCAGGCGAGAAAAGATCTTTTTGTTTTTGAGCAGCTGAAGTCATTTCTATTGTTATATATATACATTAATACTTACAGTATTTCGGTCTCCATAGGTTGATACAACTAATATTTGCCAGAGCAAAACGGAATTATGACGATAGTATATAAGGAGAAAAAGAGTGGGATAAATCCATATTACGCATATACATAAACTACCAAGATTAGAACAAAAGCAAGACGTCAGTGTAAGCAAATATAGAGAATAACCAATCATTAGATTATTTATGGCAGTTTCCATTACTACGAATTCCTCTGTTCTCTTTTTCTACCATACCTGTCTCTCTTCTTCAAATATTCGACAAATAGAAATTTTTATGCATTTACAATCTATAACAGGCTCTTGTTCATTTATGAGTCACTAAAAAAATGAGAGAAAACCGCTTATTATACGTTTTAAATTCAGAAATTCTTGTCTTTCACAAAAACATGAAGATAACCATAGATTATTTCTATTCGTATAGGTCTAAGAAGAAATCTCAGACATAATTTACGTACGAGGATATAATGGCAAGTCAAGAACGAGAAGAATCGACATTTGTGTACGTTTTTAAACGGCCAAAATCCACATGTCAAGAAACTGTTCTGCATTTTCTACTTTTTAGAGCGTGTCCAATCTGTTTTGACGGGATAGATCTTGATGACCCAACAGAAATATGTTCGACATGTACACAGAAATACCACAGAAATTGTATTCTTCAATGGCTAAAGAAATGGTCTCATTGCCCTTATTGTCGTGCAAATATGAGTAAATTCCATCTAACTAAGCCTCATAAACGACCTTGGTTGTAATTCTAGATGAACTCAGGAACTTGTTGAGATTACCAAATCAAACGATGCAACAAACTGCACAGAACAATGCTATCAATAATTATGATCTTATGAACGATGACGAAACTGCATTAGAGGAAGATTTTGGTGTGACTTGCCCTTGCTCATAGAAATAATCGGCCAAAGCGTCTAACGGCCAACTAGTGTGATTAAAATAGGAGTTAAAATTCAGTAAAACTGATGGTTACCATATTAATGTAGAGCACATTTTTTTCTGAGTAAGACGCCCTATTTTGTTTTATTTATCGGCTTTTTTAAATAAAAAAAAAAGCTGTATGAAACACACTTACCGATTCATTAGTATTATTGAATGATTTTGACCGGTAAGAGAAAAGTGTGAACAACGCGAGAAGGAAAGCGATATCCATCATGCATCTTATATAGTTTTGAAGCACAGAATGTCGGTATTCTTTTTCTCTGTGCAAAATTTTCCTTGACTGTTTCTGCTATGAGGAAAGCGCTTTCGAAAATTTGTAAAATACACTATGTCTGTGCGTTACTTCATGTTTTCTTACGAGAGAACCCATGGGCCCACCGAGAAACCGAGGCACTCGTCAGAATTTCGTTCCGTACAGCATCATTAGAAACTCTTAATGCCACATTTTTAGTGCATTTGGTCGAACCAATGAAGAGCTAGCTTAATTTTACTGTCGGAAACTCGAAAAAAGATGAGAGATATTCGATTTCTCTCGAAAACCCTTCAAAAACGGCTAAAAACCAAAACTTGTGACATGATTTTCACACCGAGCATACCTTTTTAAAGTTTTTTTAAAGCCGTTTTGTAGAGGAGAAGCGAATGTACAACATATACAACTTCATGGTAGGGTCTGGTGTTTTGATGGAATGAGAGCTAATACACTGAGAAATGTTCAACTTTCAACGCTGCATCTTTTGATGTGTCACAGTAAGAATTTCAATCAGTTTTCCTATTGAAATAAGCCTCAAACTGTTGGACAAAATTTTGAACGAAATTCGAAAGTACATTTTGGAGTCTTTAACAGTAAAATAAACCAGCTCTTCACTGGTTCGACCAAATGCGCTAGAAATGTGGATTTAAGAGTTTCTAATGATGCTGTACGGAACGAAATCATCAAATCGCAAAAAAAAAATTTGACGAGTGTCTGGGTTTCTCGGTGGTTCCATGGGCCCTCTTTTCAATGAACAATCAGCAAGTTCTATAGGAATATTTCCTTACAATTCTCTTTCATCTACATATGTAAAATCCACATAATGATCGAATCGTGTTTCTACGAGCAATTGATTGTTACTCATAGCTAGTTCTTTTGGTATGTCTGCGGCAGTTAACACCTAAACTATGTAAGTAGATAGTATATTTCAACTAATTTCTTCACTTTTGAACAATTGTTCAATATGTCCTGATGTTGTTTATCAAATGAGAATTGATTTATAATAATTATTTTTTGTACTTGTTCACAACAATGAATGGAAGACACAAGATCACATATTAAATTACCACCGACGAAAATAATGGATTGAACTTTTGGATCTTCATTTATTGCATTGATAATATAATCAAAACATTCATCAACATCTGTAAACATGTATAAAATCTTAATATAATCTGATTCGATCAAGTTCAGTTGTTTGAAATATTCTGCTTGTATTTTATTATCGTGAACTAGGATTAAAAATCTGTAAATAATAAGGATTGAATAGTGTTTTTTTTTGTGCTTCCGCTAATCGATGAAAAATTCTTAAAAAATCCTTTGAAATATTCGGTTCCACCATTTACTTTTTTCTATGCACCAAATGCAAAGAGAAATCGAACGACGCTTTTGAATTTGGATGTAATTTCCATATTTTTTATTTCTAAAAAATCAAAGTATTCAATCACGAGAAACTGATGAAACTATGCCGACGTTGGGCTGACGATGGTTTAAAATCTTGAGAATTATTTCTTTCTTGAAAGAGGTGTGTAGGAGAATTCAGCTGAAAGATCCGCTTCACCCTCACCCTCAAATATATATTATGGAAATATATTCGATGATTCAGAATGAATAATCAAATTCAATCTGCAATGCTTGCATTATTATCGGCATGCTTTTTTTTAAAATAAAAATCTTGAATGAATGGCGAAGAAAAAAGATAGTGTTCTCGTCTTTTCTTTTTTTTTATGAAAATGTTTGTGAAATTGGAGTCATAAAGATATGACCTTGACCACGTCCAGAAACTGAATAAGATCCAAACGTATTTGGTCCATGTGTTGTAAACACTAAAATATATTTGATATCCGCTCGAAGTACAGCTGTTACTTGAAATTGATTACGAGCAGCTCCATCATCATCTTTTGCATGAATATTGTATTGAGGCATCAATGGATAAAAATTACCTTGATAAATATATCCATACGTATCATAAGAACTTGCGCTTGTAAATGTATAATTTCCTGTTTCATCAACTCGAACTTCAAATGCTTGATAATAATATGTTTGAGATCCGCCTCCAGTACGATCGTAATGCGGATTTGATGATGTTAAGTCACTATTATAGGAAGCACTAACAATTATTGGTCGTGTTGTTGTTGTTGTATAAATTATTTGTGAAAAATAAATATTACTCGGACCTTTTCCAACAACTGTAAACGGTCCTGTCGAACCTGGATTATGTGTTGTTACAACTAACGTATAAGGTACACCAGCTTCAAGATAAATTGGTATTTTAAATTGACTTCCACCTGCTCCATCATCGTTATACGCAATTAAATTCAATTGAGGATTTGATGGATAAAATGTTCCATTATACAAATAACCATGTGTATCAATTCCGCTCATGCTTGACAAATCATAATGACCTGATGTTGGAACAGTTAATTGAATAGCTTCATAATATGTACCAGATGAACCTCCCGGTCGAGTATATTGTGCATCGGGAGGTACTAATGAACTTGTATAATTTGTTATATGAACTAAATATGAAATATTTCATTTCTTTTTCCTTTTGATGATGATAACAATCTTTACTTCCTGGACATGATTGGTCACTAAACAATGATGTTGGTATACAAAGCGGTTGAGAATCACATCTTGTATGACGAACACAAACTTGGTTTTGTTGACAAGCATCATTTGGTGCTTGGCATCGTGTAAATTGTGAGCATCTTGAAGTTGCTGTTATAGCACAAACATATGTTGTAGATGAAAATGAGAACTGTAAACATCCACATTCAGGATTTTGTGAACATGTGCTATATGGAGATTGATTTCCATCATTGCATGTCTGACAATTAATTTGAACTATTTTGAAATAAAATCATTTTTCAACAAATGAGCAGCTTTTAATACTTACTGATTACACTATAAAAGACAGAAGTTTTTATACTGAATAAAACGATGTTTTTTATTCTTACCTTAGAAGAATTACAAACGTTGTTCGTAGCATTTATGTGTAATTTTTAAAAAATCCAATGATATTTATATGAATAATTTTATGTCAATATAATCATTTTCTTTATTTGATATGAAATTTAATTCAAATGCTATACTTCTTCTCAGATTTACACTTAGAAAAAATGAGTAGAAATCGTTCTCAATATTTTTTAAGTATAGATTTCATATTTGTCTGTAAATATTTTATTCTAAACATTTTTAAAGACCATCCGATCGTGTTTCATATATTTTTCGAGGAAAAATAGTGAGTGTAAGCTCTATATCCAGGGTTTGTGGACCCCCTCTCTCCCATGGGTCGCAAGCCGCTACGGGGTCGCGGAGTACAAGAGCGACAGTAGCTATACAGGGTCAGCCTCACAGGTGCTACACGAGATGCAGGTACTGCAATGATTATTATAGCCGTATGACCTATAGAAGTATTAGAAATGTAGAGCGTATTAGGGTTATGGAACATAGAAAAATGTTATCAGCGTATTAAAATCTCTATTATTTACCATTCAAATAAAAATATTTGCATTTCAAATGCAGATTCGTTATATTTTGCTGTGGTGTTTGGATCTTACTCGGTATTATTTAAATTATACGAAAATGGCCCAACGTACACTTTACTTAGAAAATTTCGTCTTGTCTGGAACTCTAAATTATTCTCGCCGAATATTTCTATTTTAAACGAAGGACAGTCAGTTGTGTATTTGATTCTTCAATTGAATCAACTGCTTTTACCTTTTACGACTACTAGAAACGCTACCAGCCTAGGGTGGATGTGGGTGTGGATGAAAACGGTTGTCAGGAAAAAAGGATTGGGAGAGATCCAAGTGATGTCATACATAAGTGTGAGAGAGCGAATATATACTTATGACGTCATGAACATATGATATGAGAGAATGGACAAATCCATGTATATATATATACTAGAGGGAGTGCCCGCTCCAAATAAGACATATATATGTCGAACATCTCACGTGTTGAAGAGCTATAACAGGTAGAAAATCAGTATAGCTCAAATTTCTACGCTTCCACTCCTTATTTTCTCGCCGTGCATCGCATAAAATGGCAGCTTCAGCTATATCTTTTTACGCAAAAGAGTTACCGAAGCTAATTTCTACCTCAGAAATGATGAAAATTTCCTCCTTCTCTGATAGTCATTTTCCACTTCAGCTATTCATTCATAGACCTCATTCTCACTCCCCGGTCATTTCATACCTTATATCGTTCGAATTCACCCATCCTCATCATTTATCTTAATCTTTTGAGATCCTGTAACGCTATTGGTGAGTTTGGTAGATTATCTGTAGTATTCACCGAACTATCATAGACGTAGAGAACACGTGGATTGTTGTCTTTGAGCACTCAGACGGCCTTCGGTCACCTTCGCTATTAATTTTCTCAATTTTGGAAATCTTGCATTCCTATTGGTCAGTTTCATAGATTGTCTGTAGCAGACACCTGGGTCATTTGTTCTCGGAACAAAGTAGATGTCGACCTTCCTCTGGGTCTCAGGAAGCATTGTGGAAAGTTTCACGCCGATAGCTACTACAGGGACTGAATGGATATAGCGAAAAAGCTGTCTTCTTCATATATATAGATTAAATCGTTTTTGGTTTAGACAATTAAACTTGAAACGGAACTTATTCATCTAAGTTCAATTCCAAATCATGGTTTACATCTATTTATTAAAAATACCAAACATAGTATAAAGATTTGATTAATACCGTATTGAATTTAGGTTGATGCTCGGTTTTTAGTCTATTCACTTCAAAAGATTGAGCCAATTCGTCATAATTGTTCACCAATTGTATTGTTTGATAGACTTCCATGTCTTCCAAAACATATTTCATCTGATCAAAAAGTAAACACCCTCATATTCAATTGATAAATACTAAGAATTCATCTTTATTTAAAGGATTAGCATAAAATGTGTTTATGAATCATTAATGAGTAAGAAAAGAATTTAGTTCAATTTTATTATACTTAGAGCAGGTTATTCCGTCATCAAATCCGGCAGTAAATCCCCTATTTGATCCGATATGAATATTGATCAAAAGATAAAAACTCATTTAAAAAAAACTATTTTTGCTGTCATTTACATTAAATTCATTCCTTCCTTCCAATATGATTTAGTATTGATCATCGTTTGTTATCCACTTGTAACGTTTGTCATCAATGTACTGTTTGAAATTAGTGCTATGCTACTGATGTGGAAAACAGGTGAGAGTAAAGCTAGTGAAACGAGAAATATCACGACGATTCCAATGATTTTCATACCAAGTCCTGCCACAAGTAGATCTCTACTTCTCATATTACTATTCATAAATATCATTGCATTCGGTGGAGTAGCTATAATGACATAAAATCAGATAAATCTTGATGGAAGACGACACAGCTTACCAATGGGTAACATGAATGACAGTGAAACAGCCATACATGATGGTAATATGAGACGGCCTGGATGAATATTTGCTGTTTTCGCCTAAAAAATCGCCCAACGAGATATTGATGTCGATTTTAAATCAAATTTTTTCTTCTTACTATACTATCCAAAATAGGAAACAAAATACTGGCACAAGCAAGATTACTTGTAAATTCAGTAAATACAGCACTAATGACAATAACAATGAGGATTATGGCAGCTTGAGGTGCTCCAACAATAAAGTGAAGAAAAGTGGCAATAGTACTTGACAGATCTGATGCCTACAATGATACATGTAAATAAAATGAATTCCATAATTTCATCACCGTACCGTGAATCCATCAGCAATTGCTAAACCTGCACCTTGCAGCATAAATACACTCCAAGGAAATGCTTTAGCTAGTTCATTCCATTTAAGAATAGGATGATATTCCNTCTTCAACAATGGAATCAACAACTGACTCAAATCAATGAAGAATTGATGAAACCAACAAACATCAAAGTGAAACAAAGTTCAACACCGCTGATAACAATGATCAATGTTGAAATAGTTGATAAGGGTGAGGGTAAAATACTTCTTTTTCATCGTTCGATGATTCTCTTACAGATCTGAGTTCACATAAAAATATTGACTTACTTTTTGTAGAGATGACAAATATCAGCGCAAAGACGAAGTGGATTCAGAATGGAGTGACAGTGGCTGGAGGTCATGGACAAGGCAATGGACGTAGCCAATTAAATAACCCATTTAACATGTGCATTGATGGGAATCAGACCATCTATGTTACTGATACTGATAATCATCGTGTAGTGGAATGGAAGAAAGGTGCGACGACTGGTCGGATAGTTGCTGGTGGAAATGGACAAGGAAATCAAAATGATCAGTTACATGGTCCAGGCTGTGTTCTCGTGGATGAGAAGACAGATTCGTTGATTATAAGTGATTGCAAGAATAGAAGAATAATGCGATGGTCTCGTCAGAATCGCACAAGTGGACAAGTGATCATTTCCCATGTCACATCTTATGGAATAGCAATGGATAGTGAAGGGAATCTCTATGTTTCCGACTGGGATAAGAGCGAAGTTCGACGATGGAAGATTGGTGATGAAAGTGCAGGAGAAGTCGTCGCAGGTGGAAATCGCAAAGGAAATCGACTTGATCAACTGAATAAACCTTGTGGTGTGTTTGTGGACAAGAAACAGTCTGTATATGTGGTAGACAATGGTAATCACCGAGTGATGAAGTGGGTGAGAAATGCGAGAGAAGGTATTGTTGTTGCAGGTGGTCAAGGTCTAGGAAGCAGTTTGTTACAACTGAGTCATCCTTACGGAGTTGTAGTTGATCAGTTAGGAAGTGTTTATGTTGCAGATCAATATAATCATCGAATCATGCGATGGTGTGTGGATTCACGAGAAGGAAATGTGATAGTTGGTGGAAATAGACAAGGAAAGGGAATAGATCAACTGTGTCATCCATTGAGTTTGTCATTTGATAAAGAAAATAGCCTATATGTGACTGATCTTTCTAATAATCGAATCCAGAAGTTTAATGTTGACGTGAAATGAATCGATGTCGATGAAAAAATGGGACTATAAGAATCATCTGTATCATGTTGTTTATGCTTTCTTTTTCATAATTGACAAATAAAATCGATGAGGGTAAATTTGATGATAAGTTTTATGCAGCGATGAATGTGTCTCCTTTCACTCAAGATTAGAGGAATAATTCTGACGCTTGTTATTTGATTAAATCGCTGCTTTCGTCACTAAGACATCGAATAGTTGCTCGTTTTTTTTCTCTACACTACAATCCATATATTTTGTTGTAATTGAGAGTAGTGAACATGATTGGTTGATATTTCATATTAACGAATAGAAAAACATAATGTTATCGAATGAAAATCTGATGTAGTAATCTGTATTTCGTTGATTATGACACTATGCATGATCTGATTTAGATGGACACATAAATTCTCAAATGAAATATTAAAACTGATGAACAAGCCAATAATATCCGAGTATTTTTGTTATTTTGACTTTGAACAGGGTGAAGATTCATAAAAAGAAACAGTGACACATTGATCTCGATTGCTTCCAACTCCACTGAATCATAAAAGCAGATAATTTTAAGAGTAAAAAATAGACTCATTTTATTTATACACTTTTATATTTGTGGCGACATGATTTCGACAATGAGAGATAAGGAAAATAAGTTTAGACACATAGTATTATGATATCATGACGCAAACTTAGACTCGTAATTTCGAAATATAACATCGAATCTTCAACTCGTGTTTTTCTGAAAAATGATTTTGATTAGATTCCTCGACAAAAAAAAACGTTCTACGGACATGATAAACGAGTCGATAAATCAAATATTTGTTCACAAATTCTAATCTTCTTCAAGAGAGATTTGATATCATTGATGAAGAATTCGAAGATAATAAGTTAATAATAAACTTATTCCCTCGACTGAAAGGAGGGTCATATGAAAAAAAAGTTTGTTTGTCTGTTTGTCTGTTTGTCTGTTTGTTTGTGTCAAGGTCAAAGGTCAAAGTTCAAAAAAACATTTTTTTGAAAATGCTCAAAACTTCATAATACATGATTTTGGAGGAATGCTGAGACTGGAGGAGGGGTGACGGGGCAGGGATGTGACAGAAATGAAGAAAACATTTCATCCGCGCCTGAGAGGAGGGCTACATAAAAGAGTTGATTATGAAAAAGTAAAAACACACTCGGTTGACTGCCACATACCAAAGGCCAGTAATCCAAAAATAGATTCATTCACAAGGTACATACTGGAGAGCAATCTTAAATGCTGAGCTTCGATATATTGAGNTAAATGACTTAACAAAACAACTGAGAGAAGGTCGAGAAGATGATGACTTTGTGGAAATAGATCTTCAACAATGGAATCAACAACTGACTCAAATCAATGAAGAATTGCTGAAACCAACAAACATCAAAGTGAAACAAAGTTCAACACCGCTGATAACAATGATCAATGTTGAAATAGTTGATAAGGGTGAGGCTAAAATACTTCTTTTTCATCGTTAGATGATTCTCTTACAGATCTGAGTTCACATAAAATGATTATTTCGCTTTTTGTAGAGACGACAAATATCAGTGCAAATACGAAATGGATGCAGAATGGAGTGACAGTGGCTGGAGGTCATGGACAAGGCGACGGACTTAATCAATTAAATAGTCCATACGGCATGTGCATTGATGGGAATCAGACCATCTATGTTGCTGATTATGGTAATCATCGTGTAGTGGAATGGAAGAAAGGTGCGACGACTGGTCGGATAGTTGCTGGTGGAAATGGAGAAGGAAATCGAAATGATCAGTTATATCGTCCAACATCTGTTGTCGCGGATGAAAAGACAGATTCGTTGATTATAAGTGATTTCAATAATAGAAGAATAATGCAATGGTCTCGTCAGAATGGCACAAGTGGACAAGCGATCATTTCCAATGTCACATCTTATGGAATAGCAATGGATAGTGAAGGGTATCTCTATGTTTCCGACTTGGATAAGAGGGAAGTTCGACGATGGAAGATTGGTGATAAAAGTGCAGGAGAAGTCGTCGCTGGTGGAAATGGCAAAGGATATCGACTTGATCAACTGAGTTCCCCTTGTGGTGTGTTTGTAGACAAGAATCAGTCTGTATATGTGGTAGACAATGGTAATCACCGAGTGATGAAGTGGGCGAAAGATGCGAGAGAAGGCATTGTTGTTGCAGGTGGACAAGGTCTAGGAAGTAGTTTGTCACAACTGTATCATCCTAGGGAAGTTGTAGTCGATCAGTTAGGAAGTGTTTATGTTGCAGATCAAGGTAATCATCGAATCATGCGATGGTGTGTGGGTTCACGAGAAGGAAATGTAATAGTTGGTGGAAATGGATTCGGACAGGGAACAAATCAGCTGCATTGTTCTATGAGTATGTCATTTGATGAAGGAAATAACTTATATGTGAGTGATTATCGTAATCACCGAATTCAGAGATTTAATGTTGACGTGAAATGAATCGATATTGATGAAAAAAATAGGACTATAAGAATCATCTGTATCATGTTGTTTATGCTTTCTTTTTCATAATTGACAAATAAAATCGATGAGGGTAAATTTGATGATCACTTTTATGTAGTGATGAATGTGTCTCCTTTCACTCAAGATTAGAGGAATAATTTTGACGCTCGTTATTTGAATAAATCGCTATTTTCATTACTACGACATAGAATAGTTGCTCGTTTTTTCTCTACACTAAAATCCATATATTTTGTTGTAATTGAGAATAGTGAACATGACTGGTTGATATTTCATATTAACGAATAGAAAAACATAATGTTATCGAATGAAAATCTGATGTAGTAATCTGTATTTCGTTGATTATGACACTATGAATGATCTGATTTAGGTGGACACATAAATTCTCAAATGAAATATTAAAACTGATGAACAAGCCAATAATATCCGACTATTTTTGTTATTTTGACTTTGAACAGGGTGAAGATTCATAAAAAGAAACATTGACACATGGATCTCGATTGTTTCCAACTCCACTGAACCATAAAAGCAGATAATCTTAAGAATCAAAAATAGACTCATTTTACTTATAGACATTTATATTTGTGACGACATGATTTCGACAACGATAGATAAGGAAAATAAGTTTAGACATATAATATTAAGATATCCTCATGTAACTTAAACTCGTAATTTCGAAATATAACATCGAATCTTCGACTCGTGTTTTTCTGAAAAATGATTTTGATTGGATTTCTCGACAAAAAAAAACGTTCTACGGACATGATAAACGAGTCGATAAATCAAATATTTGTTCACAAATTCTAATCTTCTCCAAGAGAGATTTGATATCATTGATGAAGAATTCGAAGATAATAAGTTAATAATAAACTTATTTGAATATCATCAACATAAATATGATTTCAATATTATATAAAAATATTTTTAATTCATCTGTTATGATTTTTGAATAAAAATGTTTTGTTTGGTTATAAACGATTCAAATATTGACAAGAAACATTAAATTAACTGATATTTTACTCTTAACAGTTGACAAAAAACAATTCCTTGATTTCGAATACTTTTATTCAAAATAATCGAAAGCTTTATCGAAATTATTTTGTGAATAATAAAAGTTTCTTACGCTGAGAAAACATACTGATTTGTTAGGGTGGTCATTTTGAAAATATTCTTTCATATTTGTTTGAGAATTTATTTTAAAAAAAAAGTAAATAATTCATCGATCTTTCTCATTTTCGAGCTCGATAAGTGATTTGACACAAAAGAATATCGTCGACATTGAATATTCGCCTTCGATTTAAGAAAATTCAAAGAAAATGTTGGATTTTTGTCATTTGAAAGATTTTCAAAATAGAAATATTTTCTTGATCTTTACAATTTCTCATTAAATAATCATCATTGAAAAACTTTCAATACTTAGAAATATTCAATCATATGAACAAATGAATCTATTTCAGTCAACTTTACTTTATTCTTTCTCTTCAATTTCATTCAGAAAATTCTTTCAAAATTTGTCCTTTGATATTCGTAACTTTGAAGTGTATTCATTAAAATAATCTTTCGAATTATTGTTCGTTAATGTGGATCAATTCAAATGTCGCGCTTCCAAATCTTTTAACATCAACAAAAAGTGTTGTTTTCTATAATTCTCCTACGTTACATTTTAGTTCAAAACGAAGACATTATTTACCCTTTTTTTGATTCATTGATAAACATTTGTAGAAAATCTTTCGAATGACTTTTCAATAAAACTTCTTTAAGGAAGATCAGTTTCTCCTAATTTTGATGATTTAATCATAATAGAATTTGAATCATTTTCTTCTCATTTATGAATTATATTTGTTGTAAAGATATTCATCAAAATAATGAATTTCGAATTATTGATTTGTGCTCTTCAGATCCTTTGAAATATTTTCGAATGAGAAAAAGACTCGAAATATCGATCAAACATAATTTTTTAATATTACTACAAATTACTCGGATTTAAAATTAAATGAATTTGCTGCAAATTCATAGTCCCCATCGTATGTTGAAATGATCCTTTCATTCCTCCCTAATACTAGATTTTTTTTTGGTTTCAAATCTATAATTTGGGACGTTAGTGTCACATTTATCACACTTTTATCTGTCGTCGGACACAAGTTGATCTCTATCATGAGATACATTAACACGGAAAAGTATTAACGATCTTTGGAAAAGAGAGAGAATAAAGCTAGATTACAAAAGCTGACTTTCATTCCCATGATACGCGTATGTTTTATGTGTAAAAATGTGATTTCAGGAGGAAAGGAACGAATAAAAACGTGTTTCTAACAGTATATTAATCTTTTCCATCGAAATCCTCACAATATCGTTGAATGCGCTTGGTTATTTTGTTTGTCACTCGATATCTTTATAAAAATATGATAGAACAGAACAAAAACGGTGATTTTTTTTCTTCTCCATTCGATTATTGCATAGGCAGATGTGTGCATGCGTCAGTATTGACTATCAGAGAATGCATTCAACAGCACGTCTCGAACAATTGCCTGTTGAATTACTCTTAATTATATTTTCGTATTTGGAAGGCTATGATTTGATCAAAGCCTTCGCAAATCTCAACTCATTCTTTGATCGTCTTCTTCATTCATCGCAAGTTCAAATACATTTGCGTGTGAATGAAGATATGAGTGAATTTTCACATATATTTATTAAAAATATTCGATCGTTGAGTGATGATTCATATCATAAACACGTTTCTCGATTTATTGATTTACATATCTCTCAGCTCAAACAACTTCAATCTCTCACAATTAACGTGGATGATTATGATGACACTCCTATTGTTTCAATTCTTCCAAAACTTGTTCATCTCGAATATTTAAATATTCAATGCGAACGTTCACGTCAAGGTTCAAGTATACTTTCGGTTATCGTTTCGTTGCCCACACTTCGCGTCTGTATTATCAAAGCACGTCGTTGTAGTATTAAAGATATATTGGCGATTGATCCTGTACCATTAAATAACTCTATTGTTCATCTCAATGTTCACACCAGACTTCAAACAAGTTGCCTTCATTCTATTCTTCACCGATTATCCTGTTTGCGTTCTCTACAAGTAACATATTTGACTCGCAACACTTCTTCATTACTGCCGCAGAGCATCTTTGAAAACTTAAGAATGATAACGTTCACAGACATGAGCATAAAAGTCTCTGACTTTGATGAAATTCTGCAAAAACTACCAAATCTCGAGCTAATTTCAGCTGGGCCAATTCTGGTAGGGGAACATAAATTTGAAGAGATGCTGCTCGATCAACGATGGATGAAATCCTTCGATCATATCAAACGAATTGATATTGAAATTGAATGGTCTTTCTTCATGGAAGGAAAAAAAGAAGATATGCGTACACGTCTTCCTCAATCCCATCCAGGACTAAGGGGACCTTGGCATCAATACATCGATGGATGTGATAACGAACACGCCTTTTCTTTCTTTATAGATTTTAACAGAAATATGAAGAAGAGAAACAAATGGGGATTAGAACGAGACATTTTCTAAAAGATCGAAGAATGCACTCATGAATGCAATTTATACATACGATCCAGATGCGTCATGACTGAGCTTTTCATTTATTTTTAAGAAAATATTCTCTATAGAATGCATATTAACGCTTCTTTTCGATATGAATTGATAATCGATAGAAATCTTACATCTTCGAAGCAAATAAAATGAGAACATATACAGCTATCATCAATATTTCATTGAAAAACGATCTTATGGTTTTGTTATCTTCTCATATAGGAAAACCGCAAATAAATTCTTCTCGACAAATCATATTCTTGTACAAAGAATTCTAAAATAAAATGGATGTATTCTGTAGAATTCAGTCCAGTGACTCTCTGACAATGAGATATTAAACAACAAAATTATGTGTTTAATACATTTCGTCTTAGCGATACTTTACATGTTAATTAAGAATCTTAAATAAAACTGTTCTTATGGATTTTTGTTTTACCAGATTTTTTTGAGCATCTGGATGTTTCCGTTTAAATTACGTATATCTATATCTCCACCCTCAAAATGTGTACAAATCATGTCCCTGGATATATTTTATATTTAGAACATAAGTAACTACTTTTTTCGAATGACTAATTTGTTATTATTACAACAAAAACAATTTTTTCACTCTTGTCAACACAATGTCTCAAAAGGAATTTGAATTTTATCGAATGAAATATTATTCATATTTTTTATTCATTTGATCAATTAAATGATCGTTTCAATTCTCTTATACGAAATATTCCATTTAGTCTGAATTTTGAAAATATCGATAATAAATTTCGATGTGAACCATTTTGCATGAAATTGTCAAACAATGAAAAATCAACTTTATGCATTGCTTTTTTTCGAATAACAATACGTGTTATCCTGTTCATTTATTTATTTCAAACTTTTCACTTTTAGAATTTCCATGTCTTCGTTCATTAACTTTACACAAAGTGACAGAAAATAATGGAAAAGCAGAGAGGGAAAACGCAACACCAATTATTGCATAAATTTGTTAAAAGGATCTTTTCTCCGATTTTGAAAAGTTTAATGAGCAAAAAAAACCAAGCATTTTCTCGATGCAGAAGAAGTGTCACATCTTTGTGCTCATACTTCAGTCGGTACATCCGTATTAGTGCCTGAATTATCTACTTTTCGAACGATTGATTGTCCTACATTAACAAATGATTTTCTATTTATATTACCAATGCCACAATTACAAACATTAATCATACCTTTACAGTCACTTTCAGATAAGATATTAAATATTCAGTTGTCATTAATTTTTACATATTATCAGAAGGTGATCAGTATCATTTTTCGAAGATTGAATTCTTATTATCGTGATGGTCGATAGTTCTCATGTGTTTTCTTAATGGGACGATGAATTCTTTACACTTAAAAGGTATTCAAACAAAATTCACCTTATCAAATGTCAAACATTTGAATGTTTCAGATGGTTTTCGATTTGAAACACGGGATATATTTAAAGAAATATTAAAATCTGCTACACAATCATCGTTATTAAGGATCGATTGACTTGATTTAATAAGTTGGTTCGGCGATGATAAAATATGCCAATAATTCAATAAACGTATTCCACAATCGGATATTTTATATAACTCACGTATTCATTCACATCAATTACAACGGATGTGTCAAATATTCGAACACATCGAACGATTTAATCGAAGCAAGGCTAAAGATTAATGATCAATGAAAAAAAAGAGTAAACCGGCATATGAGATTCTTTCAGATATGATAATGTTTTCGTAAAAATTTCATGTGCCCAAAAATATTCAAATTTAATCAATGAAATAAGTCGGTTGGTAATTGATTAAACGAACTAATTCGAATCGCTGGAATATGAAGGAAGAAAGTTTCTTTTTGACTTTATCAGCGTGTGCAAAGATAAAACATCTTTTCTTTGTTTTTATAGCGATTCAGATTTTGAATGTTTTTCACATTAAAATCTTCAGACTGAAGATAAAACTCGAAGTAGCGTCATGACGTTGGTCGTCGGCCATCTAGTACTTTTTGCGCTTTTCATCGTTAATATTATTCAATGTGAAGAACATTTATATGTGAATGGACCTTTTGGAAAAAGACATCTAACAGTCGACATACCAAGTCCGTACAATTGTAATCGAAGTATTGGGATTTCTGAATATTTAACTCATCGTATACAAATAAGCGAATTACAAGTTTCATCAACACATTATTCGAATAGCGAAGAGATTTATGTCTCATGGATTCCATCGCCAAATCCATGTCAAGATGATTTCATTGGTGTTTATTTTGTTGAAACTTCTCTAGTCGAACCCTGTAACTATCTGGATTTTGAATTTGTACAAAAAAGTCAAAGTAATTCGACATGGTTGATGATTAATCTTCGCCATCAACTTGAATTTCGTTATTTTTCGCGTGGTGCCAATTGTAATGGGACTTATCAATTTATTGCAAAATCTCCCCTTGTAGAGCCCTTGAATTACAATGAACCTGTTCATGTACACTTAGCTTTTGGTGATCGAAATGATCAGATTTATGTTTCATATTTAACGAATTCCAACCAAGTCATTCCAAAATGTCAATACGGTTTTGATTCGTCTTCGCTTAATTTTCAAGTTGGTGGTACCTCAGTTACTTATCAAGCATCAGACATGTGTGAAGGAAAAGCAAACATTACCGGACCACAAGCATTTATCGATCCTGGTTATATGCATACAATGCTTTTACAAGATCTTCGTCCATCAACAATTTATTACTATCGTGTCGGAAGTGATGAACATGGTTGGTCAGAAGTCAATGTGTTTATTAATCGACCATCATCAATCGATGATGAAGTTAATTTAATTGCATACGGTGATATGGGTGTATCACCAATCCAATCAGGCGCCAAACCAACAATTGATCGAGTATTAACAAGAGTTATAACAAACAATGTGACAGCGATATTACATATTGGTGATGTTAGTTATGCAAGAGGCGTTGGTGCACTTTGGGATGCATTTATGAGTCAAATAGAAGCGACAACATCTCGTGTACCTTATATGGTTGGCATTGGTAATCATGAATATGATCATGTGGCAGGTGGGGACAAAGATCCCAGTGGTGCACCAGGACCTGGTGGATTTCGACCAGAATGGGGCAATTATGGATATGATTCAGGTGGCGAATGTGCGGTACCAATGGTACATCGTTTTCATTCGCCATCAAATGGTAATGGATTATTTTGGTATAGTTTTGAAATTGGTCCAATTCATGTTGTTTATTATTCAACTGAACATGATTTTCTTCCTTCATCAGCACAATATGATTGGATCGAAAAAGATCTTCGATCAGTAAATCGTACACGTACACCTTGGTTGATCGTTGGTTCACATCGACCAATGTACTCATCATTAATCTACAAAGATTTAATTAAAGAAAAACTTCAAGAATATATCGAACCTCTTCTTTACAAATATCGTGTTGATCTTAATCTTTTCGCACATATTCATTCGTACGAACGAACATGTCCTTTATATAATAATACATGTGTCAATGATGGTGTCACACATGTTTTAATTGGCATGGGTGGACATGATTTAACAAAAGGTACTTATTCAGGTGAAAAATGGAGTCTTTATCACGATATTGAATTTGGCTATACTCATATATGGGCAAATAAAACACAATTAACATTCAGTTACTACCACACGAAAGACGATCAACTTGCTGATCAATTTCATTTGAAGAAGTAGCATATTTATTTGAAAACAATCTTAACAAACTATGAAAGCACATATTATGACTCATCATCAGTCTTAGAGGATCGTTTCAATAGGTTTTTTATCTGCCGTCGTAATTGGCAAAATCGTGTTTGTTGTTGATCTTTTAGTGACTAAAACGAATAAAAAAAGACTCCATTATTCAATATGAAGATATATCAGAAGATAGTTATATACACCCACTCGTTCCTCAAGCCATATATGAATCATAATTCTAGAATAGATTCTCCATGATATTTCAAAACAGCATGTTGCACGGCAATGAATATATTTTTTAATATCAGTAATGATTAGATTTGAATTAAATTCTGGTTGAAATTTTTGTTCGTGGACTCTATAATCAAGAGTAAATGAAATACTTGTTAATTGTTTGAATTGATCAATAACATAAATAATTTCTGATCGAGATCGAATCGGCCATTCGTCTATGTGTTCGACACAAGGAAATAAATGACTTATTTTTGCAGCATCATTACAAGTTTTTCTCGAAAACGAATAATTGTTCAGTTTTAACGTTCGTATCTGTTTTAATTGTAATCCTTGAACATATTGAGTTTCGAAAAGATCAGTTGCGTTCAAAGAACCTGAAAGGTACAACGTATGAAGTTTGCTCATATGATCATGCAGATGTTTCAATAGATGGTATGATCTGGAAGTGATCAATAAAGATTCAATTTGATTCAAATCGATGAATGATGATAATATTTCAAATGTATCATTCCAATAGAGTTCAAGAGTTTTTATTGAAGTCAATCGAAAGTTATCCTGACGAAGATTTCTCCGACAACCGCTCGAGTGTCTGGGTTGGTAGATAACGGAATAATTTGGTACTGTTGAATATAGAAATTGATTCGAAGTGACATTCGTATATGCTAAACTGACGCCCGTAATCGTAAATAAACATCGATCTTGACAAACAACAAACCAGCGCTTTTCTTCTATCCAAAATCGTGTTCGAAATGAGTTCAAAACTTGTTCATTTAGATCATTTAAGGCAAAAAACTTGAAATGGAATGTTGAAAATGGCTGCGCAATCTTTTTCCATAGACGCCCATTAAGCACATCACACTGGAGAGAAATATTCAAAATTTGAATTTGAAAATGAACTAAATTTGGAAAATTTTGTAAAACATCTTTGATATCGTGCATGAACGTGTTCGTGTCTAATAATAATATACGAAAATCGTTTTACTTTCAGAAAGAAGGATACATTCTACTCATTAATGCTGCACATTCAAAAATCAGTTCCTTCAATTTGGTATTTTGTCCGATCATTCTTTCAGATTATTTCGAAATCGGTCGGAACTATTAATTCACGAATGTTCAACATTGCGATATATTACGATTGCCCTTCTTCTAAGTTACCTCGCATGATCATTTCAGATATTTATTTATACTTACGTGTACTTGTTACATTAAGTTGTTTCAAAGAATAACACGGTTGATTCAAAGTAAATTCGTACAAATAAATGAGATCAATCGTAAGAGACTTTAGTCGAGGAGCATGCTGAAAGATTTTACTGATATAAAATCCTCTGACGATGGTGCGCAGGTCCAAGTGAAGTAAATTTGGAAAATGCATCGTTGTTAGATTTGTTGTAAAAAGCGTAGATAAGTTGGTTAATTGAGGAAAAACTTGGTTACACAATTGATGTAAAGGTGACCAATCGAGCATACATGACGCTTTCTTATCTTCAGAATTAATATGCATCTGTATTCTAGTAGAATACTGCAATGAAAGAGATTGTAATTGTTTGAGTTTAAATAAATTAGGTAATAATCTGCATAATGATTCATGTTCGAGTTTTATCAATTTAATTGATCGAAGATTTGTAAATTGTTCAATTTGAAAATGTGATAAAAAGAATTTCGATTGACCACATGTATCATTTTGATCGGAAAGAACCAATGAAAAGATCCGTTCAGGAAGAATCGATTGACAAATGAGATGAAAAGTCGATTTGCGTATCGATTGAAAATTGATCCGATGGACATAATACAATTCGATGATTAAGATTCGAAAAAGAATGAAAAATTTCTTCTGTCCAAAAATATTCGAATATATCGTAAAATAGTTCTGTGGATAATTGTTCAAATAAAGTGAATTGGTACTTTATAGTCGAACATTTCGAATTGTCTTGGTTTTTCATGAGAGAAAACTATTTCCGCTTTTAAAACATATCGACAGTATAGAAATAAAGTTATGAATGAATGATGATTATTATCAATCGCTTAAGACGATAGTCAGTACTCTGTTGGATAAGGTAATATCCTTTCATTTCTCTTTCGTGTATTTCGGAAGTCACATGGTGTGATTTTTGTTAACGTGGAAAAAATATTATCATTTTCCTACATTCATATATAGGTGAAAATAAAAGTTATATCTACAAGAAGATGCTGCGAAAATCTTTCTGCTCGAGAAATTCGCAACTGTTTACTTTTTTTTAAATCGTCGGACTTTGTCTCCCTAAACAACCGAAATATCGCGATTTACTAATGGTCTTGATGAAAAACTGACAATGCTGAAAACAATGATGAACGTTTTTCTTTACAAAAATCTTTTAAATTCTAATATCAGCAACTATTGCGAATCACTTTCAGCTTTGGCGTATAAGTTTTTCATCTTATAATATCAATTGTGAAATCGCGTTTGCAGGTGATCATTTGATGACTGAAAAGAAAATTAATTTAGGAAAAAAAATGATCATTATCCAAGAAGATTTCTCCTACTGTAACTCGATCTTCAAGCCATAAATGAATTCATCCAGATCTCCATTTGCTTTCTGAGAAGCATTCAATTCCGATGTTGTCATTTTCACTGATCTATCGATAAAAAAACGAAATACTTGTCAAATGTTTGAATCGATCAATAATATAAGTGATATCTGATTTTGATTGAACAGTCCATTCAGAAATATGTTCAATTGATGGAAATAAATAACTTAATCTCTCAACATACCTGTTCGAAAAAGTATCATAACCAATCTTCAATATTTGAATTTGCTTCATCATTTTAGGCCTTGGATTGGAAAGCTTTTTTAGATTTTCAATGGATGTGAATGACACGTAAAATTTAAGGTGTAAATCTGATATTAAGTATATTTCAACAAAGGGTATGAGATGAAGGACATACTTAAACGATATTCAACTTGACTTAGATCAATGAATGATGATAAATTATTGAATGATCTGGTATTGTTAAATAGAAAGACGAAGAGGAATGGATTTCTGGCCGAGGTAATCCAAAATTGTGTTCGAAAGAAATTCAAATATTGTTCAGGTGTTATTTCGTCTATACAAAATTTAAATTTGAAGGCTAACAATGAATGTGTACTCATTTTCCATTGATCTCCATCATACATATCCACACCAATGACTTTATCCAAAATTTTGATTTCAAAATGAATTAAATTCGGAAAATCTGGTAAAAATTGTCTCATTTCATTGATTGACGACATATCTATTCCTATAGATAATATACAAAAATTATTCTTACAGTACACTGAAGGGACTGCAGACTTTTCATTCTCCCATTAAAGGTTTTTTTTCGATACATAGTCTCAGTTGTACACTTTGTAAATTCTACTAGTGATTTTGCATTATGAAACTTTGTTTAAGACGTATCCGCTCTTGTCGCCTACATTCGTTTCTTCTTCTGGTTCAATGACGCTCATTTTTTATGTAGTAGGTGAATGTTTCAACGCTTATTTCTTCCTCCTCTTGATATAATATTTGTTAACACTTTTCGACGATACAGTAGTTAGCGAAATTTTAAAAAAGCACAAAAAATAGTCATTTATGATAATTGTAATGGTTCGACAGTTTTTTCATCGTTTCATGTAGGCAGAAAACACTTTGTAACTAATTATAAATTCGTTTACTTTTCTTCTCCTCTTTTCATTACTATTCCTATCTGTTTCTTATGAGACAAACTACCGTTGACGAATGAATCAAGCTGCTGTTAATGACGAGATTGTGATTTACTTGAATTCTACAATGAATTGAAGAAAAATCCAACTGAATATTGGTCAATAAATATGAAATCGAATTCTCCTATGTCACTTAATGCATATGATATTTTAACTTGTGATATTCGTGTTGCTGAACTTCATCTCGGAGAAAACGATACAAATGAAAGAATACAAAAATATTTCTTCAAAGCTTTTCTTAATAATAATATGATACATGAGTGCAACATTTGGAAATCTATGAAAACGAAGTTTGTACTGAAGCGATGAAATACACATTGGATCTTTTCTAAAACATAGTTCCAAAATTTTGTTATTTAAATTACGAAAATGTCAAATTGACGGCGAAGGTATACGTTATTTATGCAAAGGCTTGTCGAAAAGTCGTTTAGGGAATTTGTCTTTAACTGAAAATCCCATTGATAATCAATCCTGTGCAAGTATTCTTTCTACTCTTTCTCCTCCATTGAAGTTACTATCACTATGGCATCTGATGACATATCTGAGTCAGCTTTTCAATCGACTGTTGATTTCTTGAATACAAATAAAACATTAGAATCTTGAGGGTGAGGGTGTCAGAAGAAAAACGGGACGGGATAGAGAAAGCGTTGTCTTGTGTATTTCTGTTCCGTATGGTTCATTATGCCATAGTGCTTAAATGATAAGGAGGCTTAATGTGTTTTCTCGCTTCAAAACAACTTTTCAAGAGTTGTTTCACTTGTTTAAGAAAAGATTTAACGAGTGCTGTTTCAGCTAATTTGTCCGGCATTTTTGGTTGTTGTTCAATATACTCTTGTACGTCTTTGGAAATTCTACCCAACAGGTCTTGTTCATGATCGTATATTCCACCTCTCATAATACATTCTTGTTCTTGAGCCCATTCAATTAAATATTGCATATGTAAACAAAAGATATAAACAACAGGTTCCATATCCGATAACATAGTTTTAGTAATATAAGGAACGATTTCTTTGGCATGTTTACCTTGTATAATGAAGAAAACTTTGCGATTTTTAATGTGTGGTAAACAATGTCGACAACTCTCAACAGACTCGACCGCTTTAAAACTATTCGTAATTCGTCGGAATTTATTTTTCAAATCACGACAATTTTCGTCCCCACCAATGTGCTCATCTAACCAAACTATCATCACATTGTTTAACGCAAGAATATCAGACTATCGGAAAAAATAGATATGGACAGAAATATCAAATTATTGTAAAATTAACTTACTTCATTCGATGGAACAATCCCAGCTGGAACTATTGATAAAACAATAAACGATATTCTTGTTGTTTATTCTCAAGGAGAAAGCAGGTCGATAGCTTACTTATCATTGATTGTATTTTGTCAATTGTCTGAACGAGTTTTTCAACGAAGAAATGAGTTGGTAAAAATGTTTTCAAAAATATTTCATGTGCTTTTTTTAAACAATTCAATGCTTCCGAGTAATCAGCTTTGGATTGATACATCATCCCCATGTTTGCATAAGTTTGTCCGATTTGTGGATGATCTTTTCCAAGATTTTTACCATCAATTCCAAGTGCTTCTTGAAAGTTCTTAAGTGCTAAATCAAATTGTTCCATACTGGTATAGATACTGCCCAAATTCTTATGAATAGTTGATATATCCTTTGTAGAAAGCGTAACAGAATGCAGTGCTCGTTCATGATATTCAACAGCTTTTTCATAATCTTCTTTTAACCAATAAACTTTCCCCATTGAAATCAAACATGTCATTATATCTTGATTTTTGTTTGAATCATCAGATTTGTTCAGTAAATCAAATTGGTTTCTGTAGTTTTCCAATGCCTTCTCATGATTTTTTAATTCGACTTCAACTGCCCCTAATGATTTGTAACACCGAGCCGTATCAGATGTACTTAAAGATGGTCGTTTTAAGATGTTTTCAAAATGATCTCGAGCCTTTTCGTATTTACATTCCCAATATAACCAATCACCCGCAGAGAAATAATTTGTTGGAGGGTGTGAACCTGGTATTAGGATCTTTATTGGAGTATCTACCATTATATAATTCTAAAATGAAGAAAATTTAAACTTTGAACCCTATTGAAAGAAAAATTTTAAATTAATGTGAAGCTAGCGCAAAGGAGCTAGCACAAAAAATAAGTATTTAGCTGAAATCTTTTCAAAAAAAATATATGGTCGGTGAATAAAAACTAGTTTATTCGAATCAGAATTTAATTCTGCAGCGAATGGTGAAATTTTTATTCACCGGCCATATTTTTTTGAAAAGATATCAGCTAAATACTTATTATTTGCGTTAGCTCCTTTGTGTTAGCTTCACATCAATAAATTTAGAGAAATACGATCTTCGATAAATAACATGATGAACCTGATCTCAGCCGAAATAAACTTCTATTGTATTCTCATAGAAAATCTCGAACGACTTTCGCGACAGCAAAATGGAATGACGCTTTGGAAAATGAATAGTATGATGATGTTCGTAGAACAGGCGTATGCACCAATAGTATTGCGTGGTATTTCCTTTCAAGACTCGAATTGTATATATTTTTGACGTTCTCGTCACATGTTATACGCTTGTTGTTTATCGTTCTGGATTTTTCCCTATCCAATACATATAGTCGATTATACCCTCTCGGATTTTATGTGCTTTGTCAAGATCGGTCCTTCCTTTTCTTCTATGAAGAAATACATTAAACGAGTCTTTTGTATAAGACCAATGCGCGAGTCAAGAGGAAGGAATAAATACGTACGTAGTTTCGTCAGTGCACATTTCTCTTCCACAAAAAACATTCTAGTTTTCATACGAACATCAAGCTTATATACGCGATATCCAACGTCTCTCTTTTCTTTTGCTTCTCTTCGAAACTTCCCTGTATTGAAGGCATTATCTCCAAACTGATTGGAGACTTTTATTTGGTGACGAGGAAGTTTTTGAAAAGCAAAACACCAAAAAATGTTCATTGATATAAAAGAGAAGAAAAGAAGAAAAGAAGAGAAATTGTTAAAATTCACATTTCTATAAAAATAATTATCGACGACAGAGTAAACAATACATAGTTGATTCATTCCCACACTTTATTACACATCATTTGAAAGATAATTTAGGTTTCTTTCGTCGTTTTATAGCCATAGTTTGGAATAAATCAGTTTTATATTTTAGATCACACCCATATATTTTGGCTGTCAAAACAAACAAAATGAATCATCCACAACGAAATCAGGTATAGAATTAAGTAAATAGAATGAAACGATCGATGTTTATGTCTTTATAGAACGAAAATCAAGCACCGGAAGCCGCGAGTGGAGGGCAACAACCGGAACATAGGACTTCGTAAGTAATTAAATCGATAAGTTAAGAGATTCTTGATATTTATAATCGAAAGATCCAATCAAGTTTTCCCATATTCGAATTTCTCACTGATTCCTCTTTACTTTAAAAGGAAGTAATTGAAGTTTAATTCAGCTGTCAGATATATATGTCATTTGAGTAATTTGATTTGATAAATTCGGCTGAATTTTGTGTATTTATTATCAGCTCTAAAGATGAAATTGTGAGTTGACAACAAAGTGTAGACATTACATATCTGTTTTGTTCGTTAATCGATTACATATAGAATAGACTTTGATCTTTTTTTGTAAGTGTTCAAATAGAACTAGATTGATCATATATTCAAAAGTTTGGCCGTGTTTCGATCTGTATCTGGTTGTAATCAGTCAATTGTTGATCACTAATTCATACATGAGATTACTGTTCATTTTTAGAATTTGCGCCATCTGTATTGAAGACATAGAGATCCAAGAGCCAATGTGGCCGTGTCGTGAATGTAACACAGAATTTCATAAAAGTTGTCTGATTAGATGGTTAAGTGACCAAACACGTCGTGAGCAAAGACTCACCTGCAGAGTTTGCCAAACCGATATGAGTAAATACCCATCATATAGACTTCACGATATTCATCCAAATTTTTCTTTCCTAGCGTCCATTATAAACGCCTTATTGTCAATACCGTAAGTAAATAGAGAATAATCTTTTATATCAATCCCAAATAAATTTTGTAATAAATTGTTTTAGGATTTGTCCCCTTTGCAACGGTAAGAAACTATGTTGTCTTTGTTGGTTGCAATGTATATTATCGATACAGCCGACTGTAAACGTGAAGGATCAGTATTTATGGCATGTGTTCGAGGAAAGCAAGAACTTCGCTGTCCTGACTTCCGCAATAGGTTCTGAGAAGTATTTATCTGTTTAAAATGAGTATCCGCAAGAGTGAGTGTCGGATGTAAAGTGAGTAAATATGTTCAAGACTATACCGTTAGAAGTCTACGGAGAAAACAAGAACGACGCGAATTTCATGTTACCTCCTAGTCGTGACAAAATAAGCGGAGTAATATCATTTTCTTTTCACGAAAATATTTTATCGACGATACATTGTGTCGATGAAATGTTTTTCTGTAAAAAAAATGCTTTCGACAAAGTTACATTGGCTGAATATCTTTCGACCGTAATAACCTGGTATTTATTATAACAAATTTATAGAACGCCATTGGAACATACTCACTTGTTCAATGTGTCATAGCATTTATCATCGCAATGAACTTAACTGGCATTTGGGGCAATTACGTACAGAAAATCGACCACTATCATGTGTTAATATATTCTGCCGTGCAGATCTGCGTAAGTTTTAATAAGCAATAGATCATAAGTTAGTATCTCTCTTTTTCTTAGGTTGGGTACTAGAGGGAGAAACACTTATGACATTGCTCACTTCACATATACAACCAATTGAAATCGATCTCCATATTAATCTTTTCTGACGAGTAGGCATTCAAAAGAGTATTAGTATTCTATATGCTATATTACCACAATTATATAACATTCAAAATCCGGATTGACTGTGTCTATGAATACCCACAGTGTGTCGAAAACTATCTTTTCAAATAAACAAATTGTAGCATGACGCAGACTTTTCCAGTTAACTTCTCATAAAAGTGTCTCTCGATATATGAAATCTGAAAGACAATCATATTCAATAACGAATAAAAGTATTGTGGCACATGGTAAAAAGTAATAAGCAGAGTGAATTAGGCGAAATGCTACGTCTTATTGATATTTAATTCGATCAATTGTAAATAATCGATGATAAACAAAATTGGCCATACTTTGCGATTAATTCGTTTCTTCTCATTCAGCTGATCAAAATATTTCACTGAGTAGATCGGGTATTTCTTTTGCACATGTTTTCCTTGGTAAATGACTTTTGTTTTCCCTTTTACCGTTTCCCTTAGTGTTATTGTATTATATATACAACATGCGATCATTATAGTATGAGAATACACACTATCCCGCAATTTTGAACATTTAGGAGCCAGTTCCATATACCGGTGTGAAGCTAGCACGAACAAACGATATGTTAGGTAAAAACTTTTTTACTAAACATGTCCCGTTCATAAAAAAAACTACACCATTCGACCCAGAATGTAATTCTGCATCGAATGGTGGCACTTTTATTCACGGGACAAACTTCGGAAAAATTTTTATCTATATCTTTGTTCGTTTCCTTTAGGTCTATTTATAATCCAGATAGAATTTTTCCAAAGTTTATCCCGTGAATAAAAGGATCACCATTCAATGCAGAATTAAATTCTGAGTCGAATGGTGTAGTTTTTATGAACGGGAAATATTTAGTAAAAAAGTTTTTACCTAACATATCGTTTGTTCGTGCTAGCTTCACACCGATAACTATCGGTCTACAAGAAGAATTCAAATCGTTTTGGCAACAACAACATTCACACCGTCGCTCTACCATCGAAAATTCTGACTCTCTCAATCACGAATGTCGTTGTGAAACATGCATCGAGAAGAACACATCGGAACCATGGTCTCTACAAGATGCAATAGAATACTCGTTCAATGAATATTTACTAAAATTACTCACCGAAGGAGATTTTCATATCGGATTAGATGAAAAATTAGTCTGTCATGATCAAACTCAACAAGAATATCGTCGTGCGCTCACAGCTTATGCATTAAACGGCTGTTTATCGATGCAACGCATAATTATCTCGATGAAAGGAAAAAGCTTTCAATTTGAACGAACGATCAACGAATTCATCGAACCAACGTTTTCCTTCTCACCGATCAACGATGTCGATGATGATGACGACGATATCTTCGAGCGACAAAGAAATTCGCCAGAAATCGAATAAAATTTCTCGAACAAATCAACCAACCGCTCTACCTATCGTAATTCTGGATCAGAATCAGACATCCACCGTAAGCTGGGAGATATGATTTTGCGGCAAATTAACTTTTTAAATTAATTGCTAATTTTTGACAAAATCAAAATATAAGAAGACTGTTTGTTCAACTATAAAGTGCAGTTGAAAATGCATGATAGGGTTAGTGGTATCAGCAGTATTGCGGTATATGTGGTATAATAACACAGGATGTATAGTATTATAGAGGGTATATGCGCTATAGTAGTTTACCACAATGAGTGAATCCATGGGAAACGTACCACTTCGTACACGACTTTCTCTGATGTTATGTCTTGAAGTGAGAGAGAGTTTATTTAGAAATAAACATAAAACTGAACAACACTAGGAAAACATCGTGACTATATATATAACACTAGAACGGAGGAAATACCCTGCGAGTATTCCAACAGACTATGACGACATGGAATATTCCGTAAGGATATTTCCAACAAAGACAAGAGAGTCATGACATCTATAGGAGGGAGAAGTCCCATGACATCACTATATCACATCTCTCCCCCTTAAATTTCTTCGATAAGACGCTGTGGAGGTTTCTGAATTCTTGTTGTACGCCGAAGCATCGGAGACTCCTGGTCAGACGAGGAAGAACTTGACGATGTCGATGCGGTAGCTGTTGTTGTTGGTGTTGATGAGACAGACACCAGATTTTATTCTTCATCTGCATCCAATGTAACTGCTTGTGATATACCAGTCAATGGAACAATATCATTCATGTTGTCATCCGAAACATCCCAATGCCGCAATTGAAGTTGATTTTCATGGCGTCGCCAAGTCTGATCACCAACTTTGACTAACCATAATCGAGATCCTTGACGGCGAATTAATGATCCCGGTTTCCATTGTGTTTTTGTTGAGGATGCTCTAAAATCACGTACTAACACTTTGTCACCCTCCGCAAAATAAGAGCGGTGTCGAACCGAACGCGATCTTCTGGACAATGCCGTCACCAACATTGATAAGGTGATTTTCTCATAATTGGAGTCGATTGAGCTGGATGAGTGACACTAATTGGTAAATCATTAGAGGCACTATCCACTACGCCAATCAATGATGATCATCTCTTCCTCGACTAATTGATCCACCATGAGAGATCATTCCCTCTTCTATATATACTCTCTCCTTCATCTGTCCACTTATTCATTCATTCATCGACGCAACTTCATCCAAATTTTTCTTTCACGATACGGAATGGCCGAGAAACTAGTACGGGCTTGTCTTCTTTGTAACAACTATTTAATTTTTCTTCACACAATTGACGATCGTTCTTTCTCTTTCTAGGCTGATGAAAAGGAAGTGATCGAGAAGAAATTGCACGAATTAGCTGACGATTGGGCTAAGAAGAAAATTTCAACGGAAGAATACGTGAAGTTGGTGCAAGAACTCACCCAACGGTGGAAAGATCTCTCTCAATAGGTGATACTCTGTCGATAATCTTGGGAGATGTGGAAAAACTCCTCTCCTTTGATATTCGATTCTGTTGATTGAGATGAATAAATCACAAGAAGTAAAATTCTCAATTGTTTTTCTGTTTTGTCGACCGAATGAAAAAGATAAAGTTTGTTGCCCGAAGATGCACGCGTATGCATAGAAGAAGAGTGGTCTCAGTCGATGGCGAGTGAGAAAACGGTTGACATGGATGATTTGCCATTGTCATTGGTTCGCTTTTGGTAATGGAGAAGAGACTTGGTTGGATGTGTGTCTAGTAAGCAAGAGACGAAGAAAACAACAGGCTGCAAGGGTATTGATGGACTACGAGACTGATGTCGACGATGAAGGTCATGATGATGATCATTGCGAGGACGGGGATAGGACTGACGAGAACAATTGATGATCGAGAGAATCACCAATCATCACAATCAATACACACAGAGACGCATACATAGATGAGAACGGGATGAACCAAGAAACAGAGGTACCAACGCTTCATGACGCGATCTTGGTGCGGGTCAACACTTAAATCAGGTCACTCCGTATTCCATGCAGCACTGTTCCACAAGTTTCCATTCTCTCCAAGTCATTGCATGATTATTGTCAATAGAAACACTGGGAGGAAGAGAGAATTGGAAGTCGAAGACGGAGAAGTTCAATGCCAGAGTGAAATGCATCGTTTTATGCACGTATGGTGATTCTTCGATCACTTCTGAAACATCATTGCTGAGGATGAACGTGAGCAACGAGCGCAAGACTCACTTCCTTGCTAATCATCGTTAGCCACTTCAGGTCATTGACGACAGTCGTCTCCCCTCTTCGATTTTTTTCGCGTTACTCTTTGCCCATTTTTTGTTTGCCTCCCGATCCTTCGCTCTTCTATTCGCTGCTTGAAATCACTCACCATATGATAACCGGCGTGCACCGACAATACGTTTCGTTACTGATTGGTTCTTCATTTGCTCTTGGATTCGATGATCTCTTTCATGGGGTTAGCCAGATTATTGGCACGCAGTGAGGATTTGCAGATGTGAGAGAAGCGCGCTCCCTTCCTTCGTCTATTCATCCTTTGAAAAAACATCGAGGAGCGGAGAAGAGAAAGGAAGGAGCGATGAGAACCGAAGATGGTTCGAAAACGTTGATGGGAGATGGAAATCGCTCCGAAAGAAGTTCCAATCGAGAGCACTCATGCCAGACTGAATGAAGAAAGATCTAATGGAAGAGAAACAACTGCAGTTCATTCGTATTCTAACATTGCTTTTCTCTCTCTGATTCAGGTGAAGTCACCCAGAGATTGGTGGATGCAAAGAGAGAGAAACTGGCCTGCATCGCTCCACTTTTCAATACTCATCATTTGGCCACAAACTTCGAATTCGCTGGAAAGAAATTGCACCTCGCTGACATCAGTCATTGACCCTCGAAAGAACATCTGGTCAGAACTGATCCTTTTGTCCAAGAGTAACTTTGTGGCATGATGGAAGAGATACACAGAACATCCGAGCTGGAAATGATGCCAAAGTGAACAGGAAATCGACTTTGAAAGAACTGTCCGATGAACTACGAGTAGAATTGAGAAACATTCTTCTCAGCGTCCTTAGAAATGCGGTTTGTCTACTGTGGTAAGCGAGAATAGAAAAATGTATTGTGTGACAGAACTGTGAGAATGATCTGAATCTTTGAACTGATCAAAACTGACCAAATGAAGGTCGAGAAGCAAGGAAACGTTCAGTGAATCAGATCAAAGTACCTGACACTCACGTCAGTCCGATCTTCGGCAACCTTCCATTGACTCGTGCAATTCTTCACTATATATGCCTCGAACGGGAGAATCAGAACGAGAGCGCGAGGACGAGTGACGATGTGCTCGTCTTCAGCGAACTGCGCATGAAGATGTTTTCCGTAGCTTTGTGCAGTTTGCAAAACACTTCATCGACGAACAGTGTTGACGATAATGAACAAGACGGAGAACAGGTTCATCATATGCGGGATGATGAAATGGAAGTAGATGTACCAAGGATCATCAACAACACACCAAGTACAATACTCGTCTTGAACGTCAAAAAGATCTTCATCTACGAAGGAAGCACAAACCAAAAGTTCAATATTAAAAAATGATGATCAGCAAAAAAAGAATCGATACTGCCAACAGATACACTCTGGATCCAACTTGTCGGGACGATTCTTTGGCAAAAGTCAGAGAACAGATGATCTGGTCGCATGCAGACGAACTTCGTACCGTCGAAGATCGGAAAGAATCATCACGCAAACACGATGCATCATTCTTATAATAGTCTGTTTGTAAATATTCTCTGATCATTGAACTCAAAACAACTGGCAAAAGAATCGAGTGTGCACAAATACACGCAAAGTTCATCGAAGAAACACTTTTGATCGATTCGCAGTTGACATCTTTTCACATCNAACAGATGATCTGGTCGCATGCAGACGAACTTCGTACCGTCGAAGATCGGAAAGAATCATCACGCAAACACGATGCATCATTCTTATAATAGTCTGTTTGTAAATATTCTCTGATCATTGAACTCAAAACAACTGGCAAAAGAATCGAGTGTGCACAAATACACGCAAAGTTCATCGAAGAAACACTTTTGATCGATTCGCAGTTGACATCTTTTCACATCGTTGATGATAATATTTGAGAAGGACGAGATGAGGTTACTTCATGGTACCAGCAATAAACAGTTTATCGATACATTGACACCGTTCGCTGGGACTAACGGCTGTCGATACAGATTCAGCAGGATATTTTTGTACAGTCGCTACATAGGAACTACCAGCGTTTTTCGTTGACCCAAAATTGCGTTCGGAATGAATTTAAACATCGTTCAGCTATTATCGTTTCTATATGAAATTTAAATTTAAATGTTGAGAATGAATATGTAATCATTTTCCATTGATTTCCATTACACACATCCGCATCGATAAATTGTTCCAAAATTTTGATTTCAAAATGACTTAAGTTTGGAAAATTCTGTAAAAATCGTCTGATTCCATTCATTGAAATATGCATCCCTACAAGGAATATACAAAACATCGTCTCACTTTCAATCAAAATCAATACATGAAAGAACCAACAAATCTCGATTTGCATTACGAAGTCAAGTCAAACAGCGATTCAGTCATTTTTGTGGAAAGGTGGTTGTTATGAACGTCTACTATGGTTATGCACTTACAGGGACTTGTTACATTAAGTCGTTTCAATGAATAACATCGCTGATTTGCAGTAAAATCATATAAAAAGGCGAGACAAAGAGTGAGAGATTCGAGCTGAGGAGCATGTTGGAAAATTTCGTTCATATCAAATACTTGCGAAGAAAAATTCAACTTTAGATGAAGTAATTTGGGAAAATCCATCGATGTCAATGTCGTTGTATAAAGACTTTAATTGAAGGAATATTTCATCACAAAATTGATGTAGAAGTGGATAAACATCGGTATGTCGTGCTCCTGCGTCCTCTCTGTCACTAATATCCACTTCTTTTCCACCTGATTTATTAAGATAAACAGCCTGTAAATGTTTCAATTTAATCCAATTCGGTAATATTCGACATAATGATTCATATTCGATTTTTATCAATGAAATGACTTGTTCGGGTCGAATCCATTTACAAATCAAATTGATTCGATATGTCGAATAAGATTTGATTACAGAATCTATTCAATAATTCACANCGTCCTCTCTGTCACTAATATCCACTTCTTTTCCACCTGATTTATTAAGATAAACAGCCTGTAAATGTTTCAATTTAATCCAATTCGGTAATATTCGACATAATGATTCATATTCGATTTTTATCAATGAAATGACTTGTTCGGGTCGAATCCATTTACAAATCAAATTGATTCGATATGTCGAATAAGATTTGATTACAGAATCTATTCAATAATTCACATTTAAAAGTGAATAGAAAATTTCATTTCCCCAATGATGATCAAATATCAAATACAATAATTCAGTTGGTAATTCATCAAATAATCTGAATCGCTGTTGTACAGACGAACATGTAGAATTGTTTTTTTTCTTTCAGAAGGTAAAGATATTTGCTTGCGGTAATAATGTTGAAAGATAAAAGTAAGATTTGAAATGTAAGTAATTCCCATTGTTTTATCTAATCTTTTTCTTATCAACAGCTACATTTTCTAACAGAATCATAAGAAATGATCAGAAGGAGATTTATTATTATGAATTTAAAAGAATTTGTTTAACAAGAATAAGAATTCTACACATAGTGTTCCTAAAGAGATGATTTGTCATAAACAATGAACAAAACCAAATCCTATTGATTACGAATCCGAATCCGAACCCAAATCAGCACAGCCATGGCGACGACATAACGCACAATTAGGATGACAATTGCCATTTTCGTGTTCGAATCTTCTTCGTTTAAAACAATACCGACTGATATGACCAGCTTTACCACAAAAGTAACAAACTTAAAAGACAAAATCAATACGTTGAAGTTGTTAATTGAAGAAATTCAACTTACTACGAGTATCAATATTCATTTGAGATTCCGTACGCTTAACTCCAACTAAAAATAGACGATTCCACATGAAAATAGAAGAGACTTTCAATTGAAAACCTGGATTATTATTTGGAACAATATTCGAAACCTTCGATGAATCAACACTGCCAGCCGAATCTGAAAGAAACAGATATTTACGGTATGAAATCATTGTTTGTTTATTTACTCGATGTCACAACAACTGAAATGCTGTTGATGAGCATTGCTGAATTCCTTTGAAGAACAATATTCGATAGATTATCGAATTGAGTGGCTAATTTTCCTAAATCTTCGTTCCATTGTCGAAGATCTGTTTCATAAAAATCATTTTCTTTTCGATATTGTCGTAATTCCCGACTGATCGTATTCATATCAACTTCCATTTGTTTGATATAATCAGTTGTATGTTTCGCTACAGCTTGTTTAATCGCTTGTGCTTTCTCTTGAATTATTTTGATTGATTCATTTTCCCAATCATTAACTTCTTTGATTACAGCATGATTTTGTAATTTGCCTGTTTCATCGATGATCTTTTGTTGAAAAACATTATAATTTGTTTCAATGACTTCTAATTGTTTACTTAATTCTTGTCGATGATCTGTTGAATGATTAAAACAGAATTCTTCTAAACATCCACCACATCTTAATGTCGCTTTGTCTTTATTACATGTGACACAACGATTTCGACCAGGTGCTGTTGTCATCTCGAAGTTTGATTTATGAACAAATGACTTTGCTGTCACCGGAAAAACGTTAATGAGAAACTGATAAACGTTGGACTAATCTTCTGATTGGTTCAGATCATTAATTTAGTTTTGTCCACCAAAAAGATGTTTTCTTCTATACAGTGACAATGGAAAATTTCCATGTGATAAGATCAAACAAAGTTTTCTGTGCATTTCGTCGACATGATCTGTATTGAAAACGACTATGGTCGTTAATGATGGATTTCTATCTACCCGAGAAATGTTGATACTGTCAAGTCCTTTTAAATGCATGATCCATCCTGTCTATATATCATCAAATTGCTTGCTTTCCTTTTTCCTTATAAAAGACATCTGTAATTGCTGTTGTTTGCCAAATAGATCGTTCTCGCATTGGGACACATCGATCGAATGTTTAGAGTGCAATGCTTAGATATTGAAAAACGTCTTCACTCGTTTCTGGAAAATCTAGAATACTACTCAGTATTGACGGTACAACCGATTAATTATTCGAAAACTCAGGCAATGTTCTCAGCACGGGCGGTGAGATACCCGGACCCTCTACCCAATCTTAAATGTGGAGGTAATGAGTTAGAATGGACGAATATGTTTAAATACCTGAGATACTGGCTATCAACGAAGTTGGGTTGGGGTCATATCATTAATAAAATAAGAGTTGTAACGAGACAAAGAACCGCGCTGGTGAATGCATTTAAATTAAATGGTGCCTCGTCGACAAAGCTGAGGAGGATCTTATTTTCGACCTTCGTACTACCTCACTTCACCTGGTTATTCAGTCTATTTCCACTATTTACAGATTGCCAACGAGCGGAACTAAGTCACGCGTACTTTACGTTACTAAAAAGAGTCTACAGAGGTCAATGCTGGAATGACCTTCTCTTTTCAATATTATACAATGAAAGGCCACTGGAAGATCTATGCTACACATACTGGGAGAAGTATCTAAACGCAATTCCGGAGTCTGATGATGGTCTCTTGCTAATAGAAAAGTCGATGGTGAACGATGGCAGAACACAATGGCTAGAAGGTGAACAAAGGGTTAGGTGTATGTATAGTTCGAAAAGGTTTAAACCGCATCTAGATGTTATTGGACACACGCTCAATTGGATGACCTCACATGGGTCCAAAGACTCGATTATAGCCGTAGAAGATGAAGAGCTCTGGAATTTTGCTTTATTCCCGGAATTATATGGATGAACATGGTAGAAAATGAGACAAATGTAGCTGGAAGTGGGAAGAAGAGTGAAGTTACATCAAAACACGTGGAGAAATGGTTGAGTCATAGTACAGAACAAAATGGTAGATAGACAAAGGAAGGGAGAAAAAAAGGATAGTCAAAGAGAGAATGATAAGATACATTCTTTGTTCCTCTTCTCCTCCATTTCAAGAGCATATATTAGGAGTGTATAAAAAGGGTATCAATGAAAAAATACCAAGATAAAACTGCTCGCTTAGTCTAGGTGGTGAGTGATGGACTGGTATCTTGTCCAATTAATGTGTATCATTATCATACACTTAAATAACCATACGTGTGCAACTACAATGGGTGGAAATGAGCTACCGGATCTAGATAGATCGTTACAAACCGCTTTGGCGGCGGAGAAGCATCGGGAGCGATCAAATTCGGAAAGAAGCATGGGGAACGAGAACAAAAATCAAGGAGTGATTAACACAATCGTAAACCATAATAACATGATCAAGAATATTGAGCATAAAGTTAATTATATTGTCAACAACTTCGCCAACACAAGCCATGTAAAAGAATTAGTAGAAAAAACAAAGGAAATAGAAAAACATGTAGTTGGTCCACCGCGTCCACACCATTCTTGGCGTGAGTTTCTGCTGCTGGTGATAGTGATGTTAGGAGTTGAAGTAGGATTATTTAAATGGGTGAAGTACTGTGTAGGCCCATGGTTCATCAGATATGTAAACAGAACCGCAAGTACAAAATGTTCAACAAACAAGTCACAGACACCGCTACCTCAAAAACAAATTTCAACAATTGAGCTGAATAGGAATACGGATTATAGACTGAATGATCAAGACATGAAATTAAATAACATATTGGAGATATTAAGATCAGAGAAACGTAGTGAGAATATGATACACCCATAAACACGTGGCAGACAAGAAAGAAAGAATTAAAGGACAATTAGTTTAGATATACGTGCAGAAATTTTTGCAGATAATGTATTTGCTTGCAGAGTATTTCTCTCTCTTTCTCTTCTTACCATTTTCTATTCTACTTATACTTTTATTCTATTTATAGTATCTCTCTTTTTTTATCAATAAGTAGTCGCAAATTAGTCCCTATAGGACCGGAATGGTCAAAGGGAGTGCTCGTGCTAATAAAAAAAAAAAAAAAAAAAGAAAGATCGTTCTCGCATAATCGTAATAGCTCATGGTGAGTATATGATCAATCAATTGTCCTTTAACGTTCACACGATACTCAATTATCTATTCGTTGCGCCGAACAACATATTCCGAGAGAAGGATAAGTCAATAATAGTTTCGTTTTTATTATAACATCAATCAAGGGTAGTAGTATTATCAAATTAAACTAGAGCGACAAAATGAGGGTTCACAATCAATGAATGTTAATCTATTTGTTCGTCTTAGATTTTTTTGCGGATTTCAATTTCTATTTCGAATTTTACTGATGAATAAAAACTGAGAATGTATTGACAAAAGTTCATTATCAACGACGACGAATTTGCTGTTGCTGCTCCAGTTGATTATCGATCGCATCATTTAGATTGTGATGAGCTATATTTCTCTGTCCCCAAGGTTGTTGCCGGTTAATCGCTGTTTGGTAAGAAGTTATTTTAATGTTGCCTAATGCGTGTTTAAGTTTAGCAACGTTGTTTTCAGCAGTTGTCAATTGTTTACGTTTTTCTATCCATCGTTTATTCGCATCCTCTGCTTTTTGTTCTAAACAATCCTTCTTTGCTCGACGTTGATCAAGATCAGCTTTGAGATTACTATTTCGGCGATGTCGATCATCATAAACGTGTTGTTTCTGTTCAATTTGTTTCGATAGTTGCTCAAGTTGTTCATTTCTTCGATGAAGACCTTGTTCTGCCTCAGTTAATTTACGTGCATTCATCTGAATATAGATCAACGGAGCGAATGAGTCGTTTTCTGTTAGATTTATTTAAACATGGCTTTATAGTCACCTGTTTTTCTACTTCAAGTTTCTGTATGGCTTGTCTCATTTGTTTACTATTTGTTTCATTCTCGTGCAGATCTTGCTCATTTTGACGAATCTGTATTTTGACTTGTTCAAAACGTGCGACACGCTGATCATATTGTGATTGCAATCGAATTTTTTGTTGTTCCTTTGCTTTCAAGTCATCTTTGACCTTATCAACTTCACCACCCTTTTCCATCATGGCATCGTTTTGCGTATCAAGCTGGACTTTCAAATCTTGTACTTGTTTACTATATTGTTGCTTCTGCTGTTGACTTTGTTCAACCTTTGCTTTCAGTTCTTGCTGTTCTGAACTGACCTTTTGACGTTTCTCTTGTTCCCTACGAAGATTATTCTCTTGCTTTCTTTTTTCACTTTGTATTTCTTCTTTATTTGACTCAGCAAGTCCAATATCTTGATTGAGCATATTAACGTTATGTTTAGCTTGTTGAGCTTCTCCTTGCTTAGCAGCGTGTTGGGCTTGTTTAGCGCCAAGTTGTTGTTGTTTCTGGCCAACTTCGGCTGCTGCACCTTGAACATTTCGTTGCTTAGCTGCGAGCTCTTCGGTATTTGCTTGAATAGCAGTTTCGGCCGCCTTGTGTTGTTCTTTGACTTCTTTCAGTTCATTCTCCTTTTCAGTAAATGCTTCTTGTGCTTCTGCATGTTCTTTTTCTAATTTGGACGCTTCATCTGTCAATTGTGTTACCTTTTCCGACTGTTTTTTAACTTCAGCTTCGGCATTATCAACTTCCTTCTTTTTCGTTGTCTGTTCGTTTTTAGCTTCGTCTAATTTGTTCTCAGTTTCTTTATGATGACTAGTAGCTTTTTCTACAACTACTTGCTGTTCGTTGACTTGTCGTTCAGCCTCATCTTTTATTGTAGTTTGACGTTTCAATTCGTCCTGTTTGGTCTTAAGTGTTCGTTCTTCTTCAGCAAGCTTTTCACGAGCTTGACGTGTTTTGTCACTTGCAGCTTGATGCGCCATTGTGGCCTCTTGGAATTTCTTCGACGCCGTTGACATCTTCTGCTCTGCTTGAGTCATTTGCAATCGACAGTTGTTCAACGCCTCTCGAGCACTTCGAACTGCTTGTTGTTTGCTAGGAAGGATATACTTCTGCTCGTTAGATCGTGCTACTCTTTCATCATATTCGGCCATTTGAAGGGCGTGTTCAGCTTTCTGAAGTGCGAGCTTTGCGTTGTTCACCTCTGTCTGTGCAGTTTCTTCTTGACTCTTTGCCTTCTCCATGTTTTGTTTTTCTTCCGTCTCCTTTTGTTCGCATGACGATGTCTCGTTCTTTGCGTTGTTAACAACTGTTTCTTGTTCTTTAACGGCATTTTCCATATCCAGTTTAGTTTGTTCCTCTTTCCGTAATGTTTCCGTATTTTGTTTTAACAGTGCTGTCGCTGCGTCAAGTTCTTTTTTCGCTTCTGCTACAGCTTGTTCGAGTTTAGCCACTTGCTGTTCAGCCTTTTTCAAATCTTCCTGCTTTTTAGTCAATTCTTCTTCAAGTTTCTTTTTCTCTTCTTCACCTTTTTTCAATTCATCTTGTTTAGCTTCCAGTTGCTCTGCGAGATCATCGAGTTCGGTTTGTGCATCTTCCAGTTCCAGTTCGATTTCTTTTATTTTTTCTCTAGAAAAAGAAACGATTCAACTGTGCATTAGATTAAAATTCTATGAAAGCACGGTGTAGTGTTCTCAGCCATTGGCCTTACTTTTTTTAACTGTCCCTGACGATATTAGTGTAACACTTACTCTAATTCAGCGAGTTCCGATTCAGCCTTCTGTAGTTTTTGTTGACTTTCATTAGCTTCCCCAGCCATTTGAGCTAGTTGATTTTGTGCCTGCTGCAATTCACCTTCCAATGATTCGACAGCAGCTTGTAATTGTTGAGCTTCTGACTCTGCTGCCTTTTGTTCTTGTTCAGCTGCCTGCTTTTCTTGATTTTTTTGTTGAATTAATTTCTCAATCTCACGTTCCTTCTTCTCTGCCTAAACAATATTATACAGTTTCATGTCTTGTTATTGTTGCGCAACTTCTGAAAACGAGAGTTCTCGATTTCGTCGTTTGTTTTTCAACTTACTTGTGCGAATAGTTCTTCAAGCCGTTCAATTGAGTCTTCTAAACGTCTTATTTCATTTTCGACTTCCTGCATGGTTTGTGTTAGTTGTTGAATGTGCGCATTTTGTTTATTCAATTCTTGTTCACATCGAGCTATTTCTTCTTCTACTTGACGTATTTTCTCGGTTATTTGCCGAACGACTCGTTGCAAAGCAGCTAATTCTTTTTCTAAATTTTTCATCTGCTGTTCTATTGGTGCTCGCTCAGCATCAATTTTAGCTATTTCCTTTTCAAGAGAAATTTGTTCATTTTCAACCACTTTCAATTCTTCAACAAGTTCATCTTTTCTTTTTTCTAACAAACGTTTATTGTTTTCCAAGACTTCCATTTGTTGTCCAAGATCAGCTATTCGTTTTTGCTCTTCATTGAGTAGTTGCTGTTTTTCGTTGAGCATCGCGTTCCATTTGTCACTCTCAATAACGAGTTCCAACTGTTGTTGACGAGATCTTAGTAATTCTTCTTCAGCAAGTTCAACTTCTTCAGTGTGTTTCATCAATCTACTATTCGCTTGTCTTAGATCTTTTTCATAAACATCTTGTTCCATACGAAGTTGTTCACGTTGCCCCTGGATGTCGTCGAGTTCTAGTTCAGCAGTATCAATTTCTTCATTTATATTCTCAATTTCTGCTTGAATATGCGACACACGCTGTTCATCTGTTGGATTCAAAGTCTCGAGACCATGTTTTATTTCGTCAAACATGTCATACTCTTGTCTGGCAATCAGTTCATCAGCAACACTTAATTCACTTAATTCATAATTACGTGAAAGCTGTAAATACTCTCTTTGCGATTGTTCTTCTTCTTGCTCCTCTTGTTCTCTCTTCTTGCGTGAAGTTGCCATAATCCTTATTATAGAATAATCTACAATAATAATAAAGTCGATACAGTGTCAACAAAGAATTCTTCATAAAAGTCCTCATTGGTCTGTGTGTATATAGTACTGTTACGGTTCTATTATTAGCTGCAATTGCCTATAAAATAGTTATACGTACAAGTCTTTCACATGAAACGATATACAAGAATGGCATCAATGAGGTTCTTATCTACGATGAACTTGCTGCTGCTGTTCATGCTCTAATTCATTATCAATTACACTACTTGATTTATGTGGAATCACACTATATTGTCTCTCTGTTTGTTGTTGCTCTTGTAGTCTTAATCGATTGAAGATAGGATTATTTGAATCGTGCAATACGGTATTGTGATGTTTCTGTTGTCCTACTCGATTATCAACAGCATTGTTTGAGTTTGGTAGGGCTATTTGGTGTTGTCTCTGTCGTCGTTGTTCTAAGCGACTATCGAGTGTATCATTCTGTCTCTGCTGTTGTTGTTGATTAGCTATTGTCTTTTGTAGACTAGCTCGCTTGATATTGCCTATTTCTTGATTGCGTTGATTTACATTTTTCGTCGCATCTATCGCCCAATTTTTCTTCGACATCCAACGACTTTGAACATCTGCTACCTTCGTCTCTAGACGTTGTTTTGCTTCTCGACGTTGCTCGACATCAGCTCTGAGTTTAGTACATCGACTGTGTTGTTCGTTATAAGCCTGTTGCTTCTGTTCAATTTGATTCGATAATTGTTGAAGTCGTTCACTTGTATCACGAAGTTGCTTTTCAGTCTCAACCATTTTACGTTCGCTCATCTAAATAGACAAAGCAGCGGATATTCTAACTTTTGACGTGTTTTTACACAGTATATACACTTACTTGTTTAGCTGCTTCTTGTTTTAATATGTTTTGTTCTACTTCTTTCATATTTCTTTCATTTTCGTGCAGACCTCGTTCATTTTCACGAATCGATCCTCTGATTTGTTCATGATGTGCAGTTCGTTCGTCATGCTGAGATTGCAGCCGGGTCTTCTGTTGTTCATTCGCTTTCAAGTCAGTCTTAATCTTGTCAAGTGCACCACTCTTTTGCATCATAAGTCCATTTTCAGCATGTAGCTGAGTTTGTAAATTCTGTACTTGTTTGTGAAGTTGTTGTTTTTGTTGTTCTGTTGAGGCAGCTTTTGCCTTTGCGTCTTGCTGTTCTACAGTGAGTTGCTGATGTTTTCCTTGTTCCATGCGAAGTGCATTTCCCTGTGACGCTTTTTCCTTTTCTAATTTTCCTTTATCCGCATTTGCTAATGCTAGGTCTTGATCGATTTTACCCACTTTATTCTTAGCTTGTTGCACTGCTCCTTGTTTACCAGCATGTTCAGCTTGTTTAGCATCGGTTTGCTGTTGCTTCTGAGCAACTTGGGCTGTTGCCTCTTGAACGCCTTGTTGTTTAGCTGTGAGCTGCTCTGTATTTGCTCTGAGATTGCTTTCAGCGGCTTGAAGTTTAGTTTGGGCATCTTTGAATCTGTTTTCGGATTCAGAAAGTGCTTGTTGAGCTTCTGCTTGGCCTTTTTGGAGATTGGCTACTTCTTTTGCAGAGTTTGCTACCTTGTCCGTCTGTTTTTTAACTTCAGCTTCAGCATTATGAACTTCTTTTGTTTCTGCTGTCACTTTTTCTTTTGCTTTAGCTAATTCTTGTTCAGCTTTGCGTTGAGAACTAGTAGCTTTTTCCACCACCCCTTTTTGTTTATTGAGCTTCTGTTGAGCTGCCTTTTTCGTTTTATCCTGTCGAGCTAATTCTTGTTTTTTGGTTTCAAGTGTTTTCGTCTCAGTGGTAACACTTTCTTGTGCCTTGCTTTTAGCTTCTTTTGCTGCTTGATGCAGATCGAAAGCTTGCTCACGTTTCACACTCGCTGCTGCCAGTCTCTGTTCTGCATTGGTCAACTGCATCTGGAAGCCAGCAACTGCAGCTGCAGCAGCTACAACTGCAGTCGTGGCTGCTGCAATTAAAGCTGGTCCCCATGGCGTGGCTGACATACCGGTTGCAACTGCTAGGAGTGCTTCTGCCGTCGCAAGTGCCATTTCAGCCGCAGAGACATTTCTTTTACATTTAGCTACTTCTTCTTGAGCGTTTTTTTCTTCACGCATGAAGAGAGAACAAGAGGAGCAAGAAGAAGAACAATCGCAAAGAGAGTATTTACAGCTTTCACGTAATTATGAATTAAGTCAATTAAGTGTTGCTGATGAACTGATTGCCAGACAAGAGCATGACATGTTTGACGAAATAAAACATGGTCTCGAGACTTTGAGTACAACAGATGANTCATCAAAACCAGAAATCGCATGTAAAAATCTTTCTAACGCATATATGAAAATGGCGACAAAAAGAAATCAAAACTCAAGGGAAACAACAAATACTACAGCCAAGACAACAACTACAGAACTTTTTACAACGACTACACTATCTAAACCTTTGTCACAGATAATCTGCCAAATACTAATCAAACGAAATCAACCATTGGTTATCGATTTTATTCACAATTTTCTACTATCCCCAATAGCTCAGACTACCTCATCTCATCAAAAGTAACTATTTATTAATATTACATGATAACAATCTTCTCAATGCGATCTTTAGATCAGACACAACAACAGCTGCTTTATCTTCAAATCACTTGATTCATGGAATTCTACCTCCTGATTCTACGCTACACATTTTTATTCGCTCACAGTTACGAGCGCGAGGTGGTGTTATCAATGTCGGTCGTTCGTTGACTAAATTTCCATTGGTAGAGTCAATAACCGTCGTTGACGAGTTTGATACTTGGAATTTCGATCAGCTACGTGATCTATTCGAATTAATTCTTGTTCCAGAAGGAGAAAAATTTCCATTGGTCTGGGAATTAGCACCTGATGTACAAATTCTCTACCTCTTTGAATTGTATGGGCGAAACAAAACGAATGATTATGAAAATCCACAAACTAACAGAAATGCTGATCAACCCAGCAGAGCATCTTTAGAACAATTTGTGATTGACGTTTGTGAAAAAGAAAATAATGGCATGACTAATAAATGGCTTCAGGCCTTATATGCAGATGATATCATTGCTTTTGATCATCTGGCTAATTTAAAATTTGCAGAATGGGATAAACTCAAATCATTATCATTGAATGGAAAAAAGATTCTCAAATCGTACGTGGATCGAGCAAAGCAAACAGTCAGCGATGTTCAAACAATCACAAAAGAAAATAAAACCAATCCGACTGAAAATCGTAAGTAATATTCTATTAAAAATCTTTTACGGTTTAAATTTAAGTAATTCGTACTTCACATCATCTTTTCATACGTATAGAATCAAAATCGGAACTTCTTGCTTATCTTCATCAGATAAAATTATATTTTCATTATGTTCTTGCTGAACAATTTGCTCAAGCTGGAGTACGAACTCCTGCTAAATTGAATGCTGAATGTGTTCATTTAGCATTTCAAGAGATGCGTGAAGGTGGTTTTTCTGATGATGGCCTTTTCGATCAAATGAAAATGTTTTTTCTTCCACTTACAATGGTTAAAAGAGATTTAGATATTGATCGGCCACGATGGAGAATCATTTCTCAGCGAAATCAGCAAGAAAAACAACGATTATTGGAGGAAAAAGAACGTCTACTCGAAGAATTGAGCGAAAAGGAAAATCTATATTATGAAAAAGATGATAATATTGAGAAATTACGAAGAGAGATCAATTCAAAAAAGAAAGTATCAACAAAACTGGATAATGATGAATATGGAAACTATACAACGTTGGACTTGCTGAATATAAATCGACGAGCAAAGGAACAATTAGGATTTGATCGAAATAGGTTGCATACACAACTTCAACATATTGAAGATCTATTAGATAATATCAATCGGATCTTAAATAGTCATGATGACAACAGTAACAAAAAGAATGAAGGAAACTTGATCAAGCCAAATCGAGGTTTCATCATGTATGGACCACCGGGTAAGTTTGTTTTTAATTGACGGTAAAAATTTATTATATTAATGAATGATGAGTTCTCAGGTACTGGTAAATCAGATATTATGAGTAAATTATCAACACGTATGGGTGTGAATATGGTCGCACCTCCACTCGCTGCTGGTGAACTGAATCGATCATTGGTAGGTGAATCAGAGCGTGTTATTCTGGATATTTGTGTGCGTTGTCATCGAACACCGTNAATGGCATGACTAATAAATGGCTTCAGGCCTTATATGCAGATGATATCATTGCTTTTGATCATCTGGCTAATTTAAAATTTGCAGAATGGGATAAACTCAAATCATTATCATTGAATGGAAAAAAGATTCTCAAATCGTACGTGGATCGAGCAAAGCAAACGGTCAGCGATGTTCAAACAGCCACAAAAGAAAATAAAACCAATCCGACTGAAAATCGTAAGTAATATTCTATTAAAAATCTTTTACGGTTTAAATTTAAGTAATTCGTACTTCATCATCTTCTCATACGTATAGAATCAAAATCGGAACTTCTTGCTTATCTTCATCAGATAAAATTATATTTTCATTATGTACTTGCTGAACAATTTGCTCAAGCTGGAGTACGAACTCCTGCTAAATTGAATGCTGAATGTGTTCATTTAGCATTTCAAGAAATGCGTGAAGGTGGTTTTTCTGATGATGGTCTTTTTGATCAAATGAAAATGTTTTTTCTTCCACTTACAATGGTTAACAAAGATTTAGATATTGATCGACCACGATGGAGAATCATTTCACAGCGAAATCAGCAAGAAAAACATCGATTATTGGCGGAAAAAGAACGTCTACTCGAAGAATTGAACGAAAAGGAAAATCTATATTATGAAAAAGATGATAATATTGAGAAATTACGAAGAGAGATCAATTCAAAAAAGAAAGTATCAACCAAACTGGATGATGATGAATATGGAAACTATACAACGTTGGACTTGCTGAATATAAATCGACGAGCAAAGGAACAATTAGGATTGGATCGAAATAGGTTGCACACACAACTTCAACATATTGAAGATCTATTAGATAATATCAATCGGATCTTAAATAGTCATGATGATAGTAGTAACAAAAAGAATGAAGGAAACTTGATCAAGCCAAATCGAGGTTTCATTATGTATGGACCACCGGGTAAGTTTGTTTTTAATTGATGATAAAAATTTATTATATTAATAAATGATGAGTTCTCAGGTACTGGTAAATCAGATATTATGAGTAAATTATCAACACGTATGGGTGTGAATATGGTCGCACCTCCACTCGCTGCTGGTGAACTGAATCGATCATTGGTAGGTGAATCAGAACGTGTTATTCTGGATATTTGTGTGCGTTGCCATCGAACACCGTATCTCATGTGTTGTGTATCCATCGATGAGATTGATTCATTGGCACCGAANAATGATGAGTTCTCAGGTACTGGTAAATCAGATATTATGAGTAAATTATCAACACGTATGGGTGTGAATATGGTCGCACCTCCACTCGCTGCTGGTGAACTGAATCGATCATTGGTAGGTGAATCAGAGCGTGTTATTCTGGATATTTGTGTGCGTTGTCATCGAACACCGTATCTCATGTGTTGTGTATCCATCGATGAGATTGATTCATTGGCGCCGAAACGTACAGATGATTCAAGTGATGTGAATGTATCAAAACTTAGTGTTCTATTATCAGTCATCGACGGTATCAAAGATGTTCCTAATCTGATGATTTTCTGTGCCACAAATCGTTTACATATGATGGATGAAGCATTTTTACGACGTATGAATGGAAAATACTTTGTTGGACGACCATCATCTCGTGCTCGAAAGAATATGTTAAGTCAAATGAAATCCTGGCATGTATCACCACAGCTACTAGAACGCTTGACTATGGCTACAACTAATTTCAGTGGAGCTGCAATCAGGTTAGTACCATCAATGAAATAATTGGTGAACGATATCTTTTATTATAGTGCACTTCGTCGTGAAATTACGGTGTATTGTATTGATAAAGAACGTATTAATCCTCGTTATCAACTTGACTATCGCACAATGCTTCAAATAGCAGACACAACAGCAAGACAATTTCGTATTTTTATCGGCGCAGAAACTTTACCAACTCTTTTATTGCGTACTCTCCATGACGATCAATTACTAGAAGATGATCAACAATTAAAATCACGATTTAATAACTTACCAGATAAACCCAGATCGTCATATACTGGTAAGATTCTTGTTAATCTGCATGCACGTCGTATTGACATTGAAACCATATTTACACATGATGGTTCGGGTGAACATGAAAAAGTCGTCAATCAGGAAGATTTACTCGATTCAGAAACTAATCTACAAGAGCTACTTGAACGCTTGACTGCCTATGGAAAATCACGTAATGTGCAATTATTCCAATTAATCGATCTCAATTTACTTACGACAGAAAGTGCTTATGATGAAAAAGACAAATTCGAAGTTTTAAAAGAACGTCTCGATGAATGTGCCGCTTATCGTCGTTCAATGATTGTCTACGATTTAGATTCATTAATTGGTGTAAATAAAAGTGAAGGAAATTCTTCAATGGGTCGATCAACTAATTTTTCTTTAATCAACCAAAATGTTTACACTTACGTAAAAGATAAATTTCAAAGTGCATATGTTGAATCTTCAATGCAATCGTCGAATACTACTGAAGACGATAGTAATGATATAATTACTACTGAGAAATGGACTGTCATGGTTATTCGTGATCCATTTCTTCTTCGTCAATTCTGCGATGATGTTCAATTTACACGCACACAAAGTGAAATTGATGAAGAACAAGCTGAAATGCGTCGTGCTGATGAACGAATTAAATGTGTTCAATGTAATGATTATTATATAGAACAAGACAATAAGATGGGTGTTTGTGCACATCATGATGGATTTGTCTATGATAATCATTCATTGACACTTGAACAATGGGGTCAACGAGCTGCAGTAGAACAATTACTGAAAGAAGAAGCAGCTGCTATACAGATGGCATTAAAAGGTCCTTTACCAGCAGAAGATAAAGAACGATTTGAACGTGAAAAAGTACGTTTTAAATACATATGTTGTAATCAAACCATGCAAGTTGGCAATTCGATGGGCGGTTGTAAAAGAGGAAAACATAGTTCACCCGGTGTCACTTTGGTCGAATGGGAACATGAATGTGATCACAATCGAGAATATAAAGATAAACTATTGAACTTACTTGAAAACAGAATTCGACAATAGGGTGAGGATGAACGTAGCAGATCTTTTTCGTCAATCCCATTCTCATCTACATCCTCATCGTCACTCCCAAAAAATAAATCGCAAAACTAAGTGAAAATGTAAAAGTTCGAATTTAAAAAAGTGAAACAATAAAAACATAGATGAAGGTTATTATCAGCAAAATATAAGAAGTGATCTGATATTAAGAAGAATTCTATGTATTAGAATACAAGAAATAATATAGGTGACAAAGATTTGTAAAATCGACCAAAGAACTTGAGCTTGAGCGGATGACGAAGAAAATACCAATTTCTTAAATAACAAACGTGTTACACATTCGCAAAACTCTTAAGCTACATGATCTTTCAAGTTTTCATGCCATTCAGAATAAGTTTTTGATTCTAAACGAAAAATATTCCGATTGAGGTCGTTGTTCATCATTCGAGAACTGAGAAAACAAAATCAAACAATCACAATCAGTGTGATTCAAATCGACTTACACGCTCACGAAGCCAAAAATGAAAAAGTTCAGATGTACGATTATTTTCTGACACAGAATCAATTCGACACATTGCAGAACAATGAATATATCATTCAGAATCATTTGTAGATCAAATTTCGAGGATCTTTTCGTCCTGTCCGCTGATAGATGAATAAAAAATGATATACTTGATACTTGTTTGAATAGACCAATAATATAAATAATATCTGATCTTGGTTTGATAGGCCATGTACTCAGATGTTCAACTATGATGGAAATTATCATTAGAAGGTCGTAGATGCTTTTCTTCGAGCTGTTCGCCATGCGACATTGTAAATCTAATAGAGAACTTTGGTCTGGTATATCTCTATCTAATTGTATTCCTTCAAAATATAAAGTATGAAATGTTTTGGCATATAGGACGGTATATCTTTCGACAAAGAAAAGTAATTAGGATCAATTATTAAACACTGAATTTCATTCAGATCGATAACGAAGACATATGGTAGACCGAACTTAGAAAGAGAAACAGTAAATAAACATCGATTTTGACAAGCGACAAACCAACGTTTCTGTTCAATCCCAAAACGCGTACGAAATCAATCGAAGTTTCTTTCATATGAAATTTCAAAAATGAATACTGAGAAGTGTTGGGGAATTCTTTCTCGCCGAAATCTATCAATGAAACTTCTATCCGCAAATCCAAATCAATTTTTCAGCTGAATTGGAAAATTTTTTGAGGATTTGTACAGAACAGATCGTGAAAAGAAAGTCTGTTCGACGTACATTGAATTATTACAACAAGTTTTCGTGATGAACAGCAGAGTTGAGATTCGTGGAAAACACCAAGAAAAAGTATTGGAGATTTCAATTGTGACGTCCGTTGAAGATTTGAACATGAATGAAGAATTTCCGTTCGTTAAACATTTGAAAAAAGATAAGCGATTCTCAAATGAATACGAATATCTTCGTTGATCTCCGTTTGTCTTCAGTAGTTGTCAAATGAAAAACGAATTTGTTCACAGGTAGACCACTTACAGAATGACAGTGAATCTGCATATGGATAACAAAAACATCAAGAGCAAACGCGTGACTGAGATTCAAATCCACACACACACCCTCAAGATTGATACGTATACGTAAACATAATAAGGGTTCCTTTCAATGTCAACACCTGACTTCTTGGAAAGAATTGATCCAGTTCTGTTTCCTTTAATCGTTTTAAAATGAGGATTTAAAAGAGAAATTGATGTTATCAACATGATTATTCTATTGACGGCGCAATGACATAAAAGAGACAAAATGGATGTTTTGATTGGTTTATGTGTATTTTTCAGAGGTTGGATTTAATTAGAACCACCTTATTGCAAATTTTTACTCGACTGAAATAAACATTCGTTATAAATAAATAAGAAATCTAAAGAGTATCGTACAATTTATATTCAAAGTAAAGTTATTATGAAAAGATTTTAAAAGAAAAGATTGAGAAAGTCAAAAGTACTTGAATTGTAAAAAAGTATATATTGAAAATGATTAATAAAGTATGCCGACTGGCGTTACTGTTGACATTAGAAAATCCGTTAAGTCTTAATTTACTAAAATAGTTAAGCGACGGTTTTCGTTGTGTTTGACAAATCGCATGTGATCATCCGCTTATTTAACTGAGCACATTCCGTTCTATTTGTGATCCTTTCGTTAACAGACAAAAAAACACTTTGTGTGCATTATTTGATTATACACAACATATTCGTATGGCATCTTCTTTAGTTTCTACATTGGCTTTTGCTCAAATAATTCTTGTTCAATATGTTGAATTAACTTTATTTATCGCTGGTACAGTTGGTTCTCTACTCAATATTCTGCTTTTTTCTCAAAAGAAATTTCGTTCAAACTCTTGTTGCATTTGTATGAGATGAAGAGAATTCATTTTTCTATTATGTTTTGTTTTCTTTTTATCTCGATAGATTTTCTTGCAGCATCGATCTCAACATTAATCATGCTTTTCGTAGGTATTCTTCCTCAAATCTATGCTCTCAACCACACTCCAAGTGAACTATTCAATGACAACTTATGTAAAATTCGAACTTATTTAGCTCAAGTGAATGCCATGGCCTGTCGATGGTTATTAACAATTGCATGTATTGATCGTTGTTTGTTAACTTCGGCCGACGCTCGCTTTCGTCGTTTGGCGACGGCACCAATAGCACGAAAAATAGTTTTCTTCCTTTACATCGTTTGGATTTTAATTCCTATTCACGCGCTGATCTTTGAAGAGACTCGAAGAGTCGGCTATTTTATTTGTATAATGTCAACTGATGCATCAGCTATTTATCATAATATTTATACAATCATCGCTGGCGGGATCCTTCCACCATTAATTATGTTGGCCTCTACGAAAATTCTCTGGGCAAGTTTACAAGCAAAGCGACAGCGTCGAGAATTGATTGAAGGAAGACAGAGAAGAAATGAAACTCAGGATACTCAAGTTCTTATTATGCTACTGTTACAAGTTGTCATCTTCATCGTGTTCACTTTACCGTATATGTCATCGAATCTCTATTTTGCATTCACTCGTTCGGTTACAAACAAATAAGCAGATCGGTTAGCAATTGAATCGTTTGTCTACTCATTCACAGAAGTGGCGGTATTTGTTCATCCTGCTGTCACATTCTATTCAAATACGTTAGCCTCACGAACATTTCGAAATGAATTATTCATTATTATTCGGAAAATTCTAATTAACGTTTGTCGCCAACGTTTTTACCATATACGAAGAATTCATCCAGGTACTTTTACAGCAACAGGAACGCATCGGCCAAATAATTTACCAATGATTCCAATAAATTAACATTGAGCATGGAGACCACTGCATATTCTCATTCGTGGACATGTAACGTCACTGTAACCATATCGTTAATCGTTCAACTAAAAACTGTCGTTTTTTTTCTGATGGGTTTGGTTACAGGTTTTTTTCATCTGACAAACTGGAAAAGGTTTAATCGAGAGATTCCATTTTGATATTAGAAAAACGAGTGTGGGTTAGTCTTCGTATTGGTAATAAAAATGTCAACACTCAAATCCGCAAGATGAAGGGTAGATCGGATGAACGATAAAAAGAGATCAGTATTCACACCCTCAAGATTATGTCTCAAATTATTTCTAATAAAAAAAATATGTCTTATTTCAAATCTTTACTTAACAGAAATGAATATTAGCAACAGAGAACATTGAAACCTTTTGATGTTCCAGATAAAGTCACATCACATTAAAAACGATATTAAAAGACAAGACAAATTAAGTGAAGCATCTGAATTGTAAACGAGTTTATGATTAAAGTCTCCAAAAATAGAAAGAAAAGATCAATCAACAAGACTATGAATGCTCAAATACAAAAGTTTTACTTCAAAGAAAACCCAACGAGTTTTCATCAAAAAAGTAATGAATCAAATGCTTTTCTTGTGTTCACAAGTTGAATGTATCCATCCTCTTGTATAATTAAAAACTTCTATTTTTGATTCTTTTTATAAACAGACAAGAATCTTTACAGCGTATTATATTTCTGTGCGCACCGTATGGCGTCTTTCTTAGTGTCCACATTGGCTTTTGCTCAAATTATTCTTGTTCAATACGTTGAAACAATTTTTTTCGTCTTGGGTACAATCGGTTCCATTCTCAATATTCTCCTGTTTTCTCAACAGAAATTTCGTTCAAACTCTTGTTCTATTTGTAAGTCAGCACAATGCTTTTTTAATCTTATTAATTTTCTTTCTATTTCGAAAGATTTTCTCGCGTCATCGATCGCAACATTGATCTTACTATTCCCAGGTGTTATTCCTCAAGTCTATGCTCTCACTAACTCTCCAAATCCAGTATTTAATCAAGCATTCTGCAGAGCTCGCAGTTATTTAACACAAATGAGTGCGATGCTCTGTCGATGGTTGTTGACGGTCGCATGTATTGATCGTTGTTTATTAACTTTCACCAATCCTCATCTTCGTCATCTGGCGACTGTACCAATAGCACGGAAAATAGTTTTACTACTAGTTATAATGTGGCTTCTCATTCCTATTCATATATTGATCTTCGCTGATGTTCGAAGAATCGGTTATATTTTGTGTACGATGGCAACTGATGCATCGGCTATTTATCATACTATTTACACTATTCTTGCTGGTGGGGTATTCCCACCGTTGATTATGTTAATATGTACGAGAGTTCTCTGGAAAAGTTTGCAAGCAAAACGACAACGTCAAGAGTTAACTCAGATAAGACAAAAGAAGAGAGAAATTCGTGATGTACAAATCTTGGCTATGTTGTTGTTACAAGTGTTCATCTTTATTCTGTTTACTCTACCGTATATGATGTTTAACCTGTACTTAGTTTTTACTCGTTATGTTACGAACAAATCGGCAGATCGATTAGCAATAGAAGCATTTTTGCAGTTATTTACAGAAATAACGATGTTCGCTTATCTCTCAACAACATTTTATTCGAATACATTAGTTTCGCAAACATTTCGAAACGAATTAATAACCCTCATTACTTGTAATCATGGACAAAAGTTTTGTAAAAAGCGACGAATCGCTCCGCATAATTTAACCGTAATAATCCGGCAAAAATAAAATCAACAGATTTGTATAAGTGTAAGATGTTTTTTTTTGATTGGTCGATAATATCATCCATTGTTGATTTTGAGTGATGATGCATTTCGTTTTTGCATTTATTACCTGTTAATACTTTTGCTCATGTTGATTTGCTTTCTGTTGTGTCTGTTACTTTGTACGATCATTGCAAACGGATCAAATTGTCAGTCTTCTACGATTTATCCTCCATTAGATCGACCTGGTCCATCGTATACAGTTCCACGACGGAACCTCTCTCAATCTTTGGTATGCTATGCAGGAACGAATTATCACAAACGATGGATTCTATTTTTACCGGGTTCAACTGAAGAAGTTCATGAATTGTACAGTTGGAATTGGATGAACATCATGAAAAAGAGACATTGGCCATTTTGTACGTTACAGTTACCCGAGAACGGTTTGGGTGATCTGCAAATAGCTGCAGAATATATAGTTCATTCAGTACGAAAGTTGCACCGAAGGGCCGTTCGAGAGAAGAAGAAAGGTATTCGTTCGAAAACACGTATTCATATCATTGGCCATTCACTTGGCGGAGCACTTCCGCGTTTTGCACTTCGGTTTTGGCCAGATATACGATCAATGGTCTACCAATTGATTGCCTTCGGAGCAACGAATCACGGAACATCGATGGCTGATACAGCGTGTCAAGCGTTTCGTTGCCCGATCTCCGTAACTCAACAACGGATCAACTCCTCATTTCTTTGCGCGATGAATTCTTATCAAGAATCGTTTTCTTCGATAAGATACATAAATATTCTGTCGAAATTCGATGAAATCGTCCGCCCGGTGGAAAGTAGTGAAATTCACGGTGAAACTGTCACAAATATCTACATTCAAGATATTTGTCCACTTCGAATCTTTTCCGAACATCTCGGTGCAGGAATTTATGATTATTGTGGATATTTTCTAACAATGAATGCATTAAATTCTCGATCGTTGAAAAATATCTCCAAGGAAGAATGTTGTTCACAAATCTTGATGCCTGGTATTGATACGCCAACCACAGAATTTCTTTCCAAAGTTCTCTATTCGGCTGAAGAACATGCCAGACAATTACTTATGCATTTTGGAGAAATCAAAGACGAACCGGAACTAAGATGTGTATTTCGAATGGATTGTTTAACAAGAAAGAAGAGAGTCAAGCAAATGAGATTAAGATAATCTCAGATATCAAAGAAGAACTTTATAAATTTGTGTTTTGATAGGAAATTCTCGCATAAATATCTACTGTATTTGTTGAATGTCNTAACGGTGTTCGCTTATCTCTCGACAACATTTTATTCGAATACATTAGTTTCACGGACATTTCGAAACGAATTAATAACCCTCGTTACTTGTAATCATGGACAAAAGTTTTGTAAAAAGCCACGAATTGCTCCGTATAATTTAACCGTAATAATCCAGCAAAAATAAAATCAACGGATTTGCGTAAGTGTAAGATGTTTTTTTTCATTGGTCGATAATGTCATCCATTGTTGATTTGAGTGATGATGCATTTCGTTTTTTGCATTTATTACCTGTTAATACTTTGGCTCATGTTGATTTGCTTTCTTTTGTGTCTATTACTCTGTACGATCATTGCAAATGGATCAAATTGTCTGCCTTCTTCGACTTATCCTCCATTAGATCGACCTGGTCCATCTTACACAGTTCCACGATGGAACCTCTCTCAATCTTTGGTATGCCATGCGGGAACGAATCATCACAAACGATGGATTCTATTTTTACCGGGTTCAACTGAAGAAGTTCATGAATTGTATAGTTGGAATTGGATGAACATCATGAAAAGGATACATTGGCCATTTTGTACGTTACAGTTACCCGAGAACGGTTTGGGTGATCTACAAATAGCTGCAGAATATATAGTTCATTCAGTACGAAAGTTGCACCGAAGGGCCGTTCGAGAGAAGAAGAAAGGTATTCGTTCGAAAACACGTATTCATATCGTTGGCCATTCACTTGGCGGAGCTCTTCCGCGTTTTGCACTTCGATTTTGGCCAGATATACGATCAATGGTCTATCAATTGATCGCCTTCGGAGCAACGAATCATGGAACATCGATGGCTGATACAGCGTGTCAAGCGTTTCGTTGTCCGATCTCGGTAACTCAACAACGGATCAACTCCTCATTTCTTTGTGCCATGAACTCTTATCAAGAATCGTTTTCTTCGATAAGATACCTCAATATTCTGTCGAAATTCGATGAAATCGTGCGTCCGGTGGAAAGTAGTGAAATTCACGGTGAAACTGTCACAAATATCTACATTCAAGATATTTGTCCACTTCGAATCTTTTCCGAACATCTCAGTGCAGGAATTTATGATTATTGCGGATATTTTCTAACAATGAATGCATTAAATTCTCGATCGTTGAAAAATATTTCCAAGGAAGAATGTTGTTCGCAAATCTTGATGCCTGGTATTGATACGCCGACAACAGAATTTCTTTCCAAAGTTCTCTATTCGGCTGAAGAACATGCCAGACAATTACTTATGCATTTTGGAGAAATCAAAGACGAACCGGAACTAAGATGTGTATTTCGAATGGATTGTTTAACAAGAAAGAAGAGAGTCAAGCAAATGAGATTAAGATAATCTCAGATATCAAAGAAGAACTTTATAAATTTGTGTTTTGATAGGAAATTCTCGCATAAATATCTACTGTATTTGTTGAATGTCTATAATTGAACGATATTTTAAGATTCACAAAAGGTTTTCATTGATTTTTGGAAATCTCCTCAGGTGAGAGAAGAACCACGACCTCTGAGACGTCGGAGAAATGATACTTTAGAATTCTTCGCAGACCAATTATCTTAAACAGCCAGTCATTGATTAAATCAGTAAAATTAAGAAAAACTTATGTCTACAAGACTCTTCTTCACGAAAAAGAGAACCGATGAATAACCGTTGCGGTCATGCAATATACTTGTTCAGCGCAATCTTGTACTTTTTTTTTTGATCGGGTGATGATTTATTTAGTCGCTTCGCTCGGCAGCGCATGCGATCTCTAGATGGGGGTACGGTAAGCCACATTGAGTGCGAACAATGAGACACATAAGCATATATAAAGAGAAAAACATTTTTAGTAGTATGTCTGTAGGCTAGACGAGAGAAAGAGGAGGAAAGTGAAAAACAAAGGCGGACCAAACCATTGAAAACAAACTGTTGAAGCTAATATGAGATTGATCTACGTAGCGAGAAGAGAGATCATGAGTACTTAACGAGTTCTATGTAGTACTACTGATAGATCTTGATTAAAACGGGGGCAAGCCGCTGTACCTATATGTCTTGCATAATCACTGTCATAAAATCATTACGCTGGGTATCCAGAACTGAACGTCCCGATACCCAGGAGGATAACCGACGAAATTTTTCCGGTCGGAGTTCAATGCATATCCGTTTTCAGAAATCCGATCGGATTTGTTGGCCTGGGTTCATGAGATGGGTAATGCACTGAGCGAAATGTAACTGAGACAAAGAGTATCATTCACTTTTTAGCGTTGAAGTAATATCGATGTTGATATCCGTTGCTTTCTCTGATGGGATGACTGCACTTATCGTTGTGCGCAGCCTTTTATATATATTTTTTCCTTTATTTTGATACTGTGCTTTTTCTGTATAAGAGAAGGAGAAAATGTGGGGTATGCTGTGCTATTTTATCCTTTTCTGTGCATGGGTTCCTGTATTGAATGCATTCATAAGAAACCTATTCGAGTATTTTAGTTGTTTTCATCTTTTCTTTTTTTCTTCTTCTTTTTCTTTCGCGATACGTGATTTTCTTTCCTCCATTTCAATGAGTTTATGTATGATTCATGTCTTTCGCATACTTTCCTTAAATAGTGTAATTGTATACTGTCGATAATGAAAAACAAAATTATTTAATGTTATGTTTTGTTTTTTCTTTGCAGTATTCATATATATGTATACATGTGAAAAAGAAATCATTTCTTAGGTTTCATGCATTCGTCTTGATGATTATCTTTGACTATATATATATATATATATATATACTGTCGAAAACGAAAAACAAAACTATATAATGTTAGGCTTTGTTTTTTCTTCACATTATTCATCTAGTATACACATGCGAAAAAAAAAATTTCTCAGGTTTCATTCATTCGTCTTGATGATTAGCTTTGATTATATATATACCGTCGATAATGAGAAACAAAATTATTTAATGTTATGCTTTGTTTTGTTTTTTCTTTGCAGTATTCATATATGTATACATGCGAAAAAGAAATCATTTCTTAGGTTTCATGCATTCGTCTTGATGATTAGCTTTGATTGCTTTTGATATTTACATAGAATATATCGTTTGACGTTACATCGAAGAGAAAATTGTGGACTGTTTAATTACAGAGCGATATTTTAAACATATCTGTATTGAATGACGGCGGGATGGAGAGAAGAAATGTTTTGAAAATAAATTATCATCGATGTAGTCGAAAGGAAAAATCAGTCTCAATTTATCCTTTAGATTAACATTTCCTTTACAATGGTTGAGGTTATACCAATGGAAGATAGACATATAACTCAGCATCAGTCTACCATCAATCTACCGGATGATACCAATATAGAACTAGAGGAACAAGATCATTCTATCAGAAGTGTCAAATATGTATTATTTAAACGATTGTTTATTTTTTTATCTGTTTTTCTATTCGTTGGAATATCAACAACTGTTGGTATACTCATCGTTTGCTTTACTATAACAATATATCAGAGTAAATTTTCAAAGAATTCTCTTCGATCTCCCTATTACAATTGTTTGTAGCCCCAAGTTGTCTTCCAACATATCAGCCATTACTCAACCAACCAGTTCAAGCAAATTCCTTGACACGTTCAACAGCAACAGGTCATCTCAATGGCGATGGTCATTTAGATCTCGTCGTTGCTAATCATGGCTCACATTCCATTGGAATCTTCTTTGGATATTCAAACGGAACATTTAATAAACAAATTCCATACTCAACGGGAGTATTGTCATTTCCATCGTTCGTTAATGTTTTTGATATGAATAATGATACTTTCCTGGATGTGATCGTTGCGAATTATGGAACCCATTCGATTGGAATTTTTTTCGGTCAGGGAAACGGATCATTCAATGATCAAATCACGTTCTCAACGGGTGTTTCTCGTCCATTGTCATTCGCGATCGGAGATTTGAATAGTGATCAATTTGTTGACATCGCAATTGTTAATCACGGAACGCAAAGTATCGGAATCTCATTCGGATTGCAAAACAAACAGTGGTCATTGCCAGTGAACTATTCGACTGGATACGATTCTCAGCCAACATCACTTGCAATTGGTGATCTGAATAATGATCAAATTCAAGATATTGTTGTGACGAACTATGGCATCAGCAATCTTGGTTTCTTCTTTGGGATTGGAAATGGAAGTTTTCAACAGCAGAAAATCTTGTCAACTGGATCACAATCTCAACCATATCGTGTTGTTGTGCACGATTTGAATGCCGATAATTATTTGGATTTAATCATTGTAAATGCTGGAACGAACGTTGTTCAATTATTTTATAATTATGGGAATGGTACATTTCAAAATCCGGTGATTTTAAGTACAGGTGACGGCTCTATTCCACACGATGTCACTGTCGGAAAGATGAATGATGATAATTATCTGGACATTGTAGTTGTTAATTCCAAGGACAATACTGTCGGTGCATTTATCGGGTCACATAATGGCACATTTGGAGGTATGAGAAGATTTTCAACTGGATATCAATCGAGTCCACAAAGTATTAACATAGCAGATTTTAATGACGATAATCAATTGGACATCGTCGTTGCGAACAATCAATCGAACAACATTGCTCTTCTTCTCAATACTCCAAGTATTGATTTCCAACTAGAAAATAATTATGAAACAGATGATTCGAGCACCTCTTGTGCATTGGCTGTTGGTGATTTTAATCATGATAATCATTCGGATGTTGTGGTTGGAATTTGTAATACTAATAATGTTATTATCTTCTTAGGATTTGGAAATGGAACATTATCGTCTCCTACACTGGCTCTAGAAACTGATGGGTTTTCGCCAGTGTCTATAGTTACTGGCTATTTTGACAATGACAATCATCTTGATTTCATCCTTGTCGATTCCGATGCGAACACCGTCAGTGTTGTAATCGGACTAGGTAATGGAACATTTCAATATTCAGATTCATACTCAACTGGCGATTCATCCCAACCGCAATGTGCAGCTGTCGGCGATTTTAATCATGATCATTATCTCGACATTGTTGTTGTTAACAAAAATACCAACAATATTGTCATCTTTTTAGGATCGGCAAATGGAGCATTAGAAAATACTTTTGCCTACTCAACGGGTGATTCTTCTTCGCCGAGTTATGTTAGTGTTGGTGATTTCAATAATGATACTTATCTTGATGTAGCTACAGCTAATTCTGGTTCTGATGCTATTGGTGTGTTTTTAGGTCTTGGTAATGGATCATTTGCCTCACAAATGACATATCCGGCAGGAGAAAGAGCGGCACCGACTATCGTACGCATCGCTGACGTAAATAACGACGCTCGCTTGGATATCGTTGTCAATCGACCGTGGAGAGATGCGATCATTTACTTTCCTGGCAAAGGTGATGGAACATTTGATGACTCGATTAATATGTACGCTGGTTATCAATCTGTAACTACAACAATTGTCGTTCAAGATTTTAATAACGACAAAGTTCAAGATATAATTCTAGGTTATTCCAATAATAATTTTATAACGATGTTCGAAAAACATCCGGATGGAAATTATGAAACTTTACATTATACAATTGCAAGTACAATATCGGGTGATTCTATTGTGGCGGGTGATTTCAATGAAGACAAACGTTTAGATCTTGCTATAGGATTGAATAATGGCGTATTAATTTCAATTGTACTTGGATATGATGCGGGAACATTTGGTAGTCCAATAGTCTTCTCCACTTCCTACGCATATCTTCCATCATCAGTGATCGTTTTTAACTATAATCAAGATAATTATTCAGATATCGCTGTGTCGAATTTTGGAAGTGATACAATCGATATCTTTTTGGGCGATTCAAAGAGAACTTACACACAAAAACAAACTGTTTCTCTTGCTACGAATTCTCATCCATCGATGATTCGTTCTGGTGATTTGAATAACGACGGCATTTCCGATATTGCAGTTGCCAGTACTGGAACAAACCAAATTGCGCTGCTGTTTGAAAATCAAATTCAAACGTTTTCAACGAGTGACAACTCTCAACCATCTAGTTTAGTTATCGGCGATTTCAATCATGATAATCAATCTGATATTGCTGTTGCAAATTATGGAAGTAATACAATCGGCGTTTTACTTCGATTTAATGTGGGATTCTTTGAATCGATATCATTGGCTGTTTATTCCGTGACTGAAGCTTTAAGTATAAATGATATTCAAGTGGGCGACTTTAATAATGATAACATCTCCGATGTTGTTTTCGTTAGATCGAGCTATAACACAGTTGGCATCATTCTGATATATTCTAATAAAACATTTTCGAATCCCATTCTACTGAAGATTCAGAACAAAGCTCAACCGTCATCTATCGCTGTTGG